CTTATGTGCTACCATACTCAGGAGGCTCATGTTTCAGCTGTCTGTTATGGGACAGCCAGCATCTACAGAGTGGGGGCTTTAACTCAGAGAATCAAATGCACAGTTGAACAAACTAATATTTAAAAAAAAATAAGCTAAGTGTATTAAAGTGTATAGACACTAGGATGGAAATAACATTTAGAAGATGGTAAACACTTATCTGATAGAATATATCATGCAGCAGGTCATTACTCACATGCAGACGTAAAGAAACTGATAGTGTGAAAAATGAGAAGGGCAGAGAACATGTTGAAGGCCATCAGCTTCATTAAAGATCCTTGTGGACTCTGAGCGTGTGTGTGTTGTTCTGTGTGTGTGTGTGTGTGTGTGTGTGTGTGTGTGTGTGTGTGATCCATGTGGGGAGGTCTGGAGGTCTGGTGTGGTGTGAAGAGGTTGAACAGCTCACCTCCCAGTGACACTCACCGATGAAGAGGATTGGAAAGGTGATGAAGAGGAGAAAGACATGTGGCACCACATTGAGCGCGTCTAGGAAACAGCCGTTGTTCAGAACCCCTCCGTCCACATTGTAGGCCACCGAGTTATTCTCGTTCCCACAGAACGCCAAGGACATGGTGGAACCGGGACTCTACAGGGAACCGGCCGGAGGAAGAGGGGGAGGAGGAGGAGGACCAGAGAGACAGAGGAGAAACAGAGAGATTTAAAAGGGAGGCTCTCAGAGCATGTCGTCTTTTCAAAGTGAAGACTGATGGCTTCTTCAGTAGATCCCGGTAATTCCCAATGTGACCTCCTTCCTGCTCCCTCTCGAATCCAGCTTCCAAATATCAGATCCAGTGACTGAGAGGAGACAGAGGGAAGGAGGGGGAGGGAGAAGGGGGTCAGAGGCAGTCACAGTCCAGTGCTGCAGCAGCTCCCTCTCCTCTCCGGCAGGCTAAGCAGCTTCCCCAGCCACGCTGGTGAGAAACATCTGCATCCTTTCTGCCTGCAGTCTGCAGACATCCTCTATAACTGAAGCCTCACTTGCGCACAGCACTGCACTGCACAGCTCCACTGGAATGCGTTCACACATGCTCACACCGCACACACTCACACATGCTCTACAAACCAGAGCAGCGGCAGCATTCCGCAGTGCACCTGCTATTCCTGTCTCTTTGCAAACGAGAGCTCAGAGTCGACCTTAGAAGACGAGTGCGGAGTGTGCAGAGTGTGCAGGCGAGCTGGAGGACTGAGAAGCAGAGCCACTATAGGTAGGAGGGCGAGGGCGGGTGGGAACAGTGAATGATGATGAGAGAGAGAGAGAGAGAGAGGAGACAGAAGGGGGGGTGCAGCTCCTGAATGAGCAGAGCGATCGTCATACAAAGGTACGTGTGAAGCATGAGCAAGCACTCTAATCTAAATCCCAACAGCATGTTTTCAGGAATTACATAACTCTACCCCCCGTGTCATTGCATTCACATTATAGCTAAAAGAAAGCAGAAAGAGAACAGTGGTGACTGAATAACTAGGCTGCACACATGAAAAATAGTGACATAAAATATTAATGAATTCCCGAGATGGATGAATTGTGCATCTGATCCAGCAGGGAGAGATCCCGCTGCAGCCAGTGGCAGCTGATGTGTACAGGGGGATCAGCTAAGACCCACATGGGAGCAGATTTGGATAATCCATGTAACAACAAGGACAGACTCGTGGTTTTTTCTTAGTGGTTAAAATGATTCATGGTTAATGTAATCCATGCCATGTTGACCTTCACATAACAACAGCAAGGAGAAAAGCTTAAATGTATGATAATGTAATGAGCAGTTTACGTGTGTGTTGACACAGAATTGTCTGCTGCTTCACATGCATGGAAACTGGCTGTAATACATTTAAGTAAGAGGAAAAACAGTAAAAGATAATGTATTTATCAGTTCTTAAGCTGTTTTAGTTGCAGCGCCATTGGCTGAATTGAGAACCGGACTCAAAAAAGCAATAAAAAGATGCTTGTGCTTCTGATATGAACCAACCAGAAACAGACATTCAATTTGTTTTCCATTTAATGACTGACAGCTCCAAATGTCTGTTTGACTGCAGGTTTTTATTGTACATCAGACGTTGTTCTTCCTGTCTTAGCTCTCAACATTTTTTTTTCCAAACAATTACTGGAAATTCTTGCTACTTTTCCATTACAGCAAATCATAAAGTTGCCACAGGTATAAATAAATGTTAATTAAATAGTTGGATGCTTGAAGCTGTTGTGGAGCTTAACAGAACTGGAGCCTGATACTTCATGGAGAACAAGCAAACTTGCAGCAGAATAGACAGCGATGGCTTTTCACTAAAACAAGCACATAACTGGTCAGAAGGTCAGAAGCAATGAAATGCAGTAGAGACGGTAGGCAAAGCTGAGGGTGAAGAAATTCCTGTTGTCTTTCATTTTAACACCCAAGATGAAGAGTTCACAGCAACTGCAGCTCTCACTTGCTCTCACATATCAGTCATCTTTTCACTGGGAAGACCATAATTAAGCCAGTGGACAGTTTGGGTGAACAGTGGATTTTAAAAGCTTTTGAAAGACTGTTATTTCCACAAGCAAATGGATTCTGCTAAAACAGCACAGCATAGCAGGAACTTAGCTGACATTCTGTCAGTTTGAGTCACCAATGACAAGATTGTTTATCTTCATCTTTATCTTTGAACAAACTGCCAGCATCAATGCCTCAACTAAAGACATGTATGTATCATGCAGTGACTGTATAATTATTCTATCCAATAGCTGAGATAACTGGCTGGTTTGTAGTTCTGTGGTGCCCTACATCAGAGATTAACTCTTTTCCATCACAGGATCGCCTGGGGAGGGCTGAAGAGAAAAAAGAGAGAGGCTGGCTGGAAGAGCAGCAGGCACTCACACACAAACTTGAAAAAGAAAAAGAGCATTTAAACAACAGGAACTTAGGTGAATACAGCTACAGGGCACAGCTGAGGAACAATGCTTTCCTAAAACCATTAAATACCATTAAATAGGGTGACATCACTTTGTCATACAACCACATATATAGCAGACTTAGCAGGGCAGAGTGCTTGTGTGCGTGTGGCTGCTATGATTTTTGTCTGTGGGAGTGAAGTGAGGGCAAGAGGTGAATGATGAATCATGCATTACTTTGTGGAAACTATGTGAATCTACCTTGCAAGACTCTTTCTCGCCTCTACAGAGCAGAGAAAGAGGGCAGGGAGGTTACTTGTGCAGCAACCCATCTTTTATAAAACGTTCTCCATCTGGCTGTGAACATTTGTTACCATAATGTAACAGCCCTCCTGTGAAAACAGCACATCCAATATCTCACATTCTCCCATATTTTCCCTCCAGAAAAGAGCCCAAAATGAATCCCAGTGATGTATGATACCATTACAGTACATACAGGGATTCCTTGACTAAATGTGACCTAAAATGACTTGCAAGCATCATTAGATATATACCTTTAATCTACAGCCAATTCAGCTGTGTAAAATTATGCATGCAAATGAAAGCATTTCTGCCCCCAGTGGATATATATATATATATATATATATATATATATACATTATGTCTGTGTAATTAAGCAATACATCATGTCAAGAATACAAGCACTGTTGTGCAGCAGTGAAAGTATTGATCAAAGTGAGTGACCAGGTGACACAACCACCAGCACTTACCGGTTTATATCGTGAGATCATTGTGTTTCAGCTTCGTTTCCTTGACTCTTCAATATTGTCACATCCGTCGCTTGGATGTTAAAAAAGAAAGAAAGAAAGAAAAGGAGAAAACCCCCAAACTGCTTCTCTCATGTGCTGAGAGTGCAGCCGACTTCTTCCCGTCCCACTCGTGTTCGACCATCCGACCGAAGGCGGGGGTTTACGGGTGGAGGCAGGGCGCTGTCCACGGTGCTGAACCCGGGTGTACCGAGGTGGAAGGAGGAGGAGGAGAAGGAGGAGGAAGAGAAAGAGAGAGAAGCGGGTTGGATCTTCCACCTGGAGGCCACCTTTGGTCTCTGACATGAACCGTGTGACCGGCGGGTTACAGTGGCAAGGGGCGCTCAGCCGAACACAGGAGTCACGTATGCCATCATGTTGAACCGAGAGTGGGTGACTGCACGGAGCGGTTATGTAACAGCGAGGTGGGATGCTGCTGAGTAGAGCAACACACATGTAACATTACATGCTGATTGACCGGCATGTTCTGGTATGTTTTAGTATTTTTTTTTACCTAAAATTTACATTTACCACAATGGACTTTTGCAGGTTCTCTCAGTATAAGTCTGATTTAAACCTTGCAAATAATATCAATGTTTATTAAAGGCAGAATAATCAAAAGAGTGAGCGGTCTGTCACAGAGTCGCTTGATATTCAAGAAGGAGCACTATTGCCCCCTGTGGACATTTAATTACATATCTGTATGGCTCCCCATGGTTGCAATAAATCCATGGCCTTAACAGCAGCTAGGGAAGGTGAAGAAAACCATAAGTGAGGATGTGAAGCAGGGGAGTAACTTTGATTGCATAAATGCCATTGAAAAACCCCATCTAAATGGATAAAATCGAAGCTAATGTTTACATTGTGTCAGTCATGGACATAATGTTTTAAAATTACATTAAAAATGATTTAGCCTCGTTTGTACAAAGTAAAAAAGTAAAAAAAAAATAAGGGCAGAAAGCTTATGAGTGGAAAAGTTCAGGTCTAAAGGGTTTAAGATAGACATGAATCAGGATTATGTAAAACAGCTGTCCATCCAAGTAGGGGCCAAACTGTCAAAGAGTAAATCAGGACTTCAAGACACAAATCTAGACCCGAACCTGTATCTTCTTCTGCAAATGCTACTTTGCATTGACAGTGTTGGCTGTTTGACTCACGATTTCTCTCACAGTGACCACTGCATCACTAACCTGCGAATGTACTGTTTCAAAAAAGCAAAGCAGGGAATGCAGAAAATCAGTATACACAACATAGTACAATCTCTCAATTGTGTGGATGTGAGCAGCAGTCCTTTATTGGGCTTTGTAAGGCAGATTAGAGAGGTGTTATTGATTAGTTTGCCTGTTTTAACTAGCTCTTTATTGTTATACTGACAGATAAGTCACGTGTCTGAAGGAAGTATCAGCTTGGTCATGTCTATCTGAATGAGGTCAGCCATGTCCAGGCTTGACATAGGTGAAGAGGATTACTGGAGATGACTAAATATTGACAGGAGTTATGGACGATGATAATGAACATCAACTGCAAGGTGTCACTATGCTGATATATGACATAAGACTGATTCTCAAAGAGCTAGGTAAAAACAAAAAGACCACCTTAAGACTTGGTGTACAGATGGGAATCAAGATAAAGAGGAAACTATTTTATTTTATTGTGAATGAGATGACGGCAAATCCTGAAGGAATTGCCAAGAAACCGTCTTCTCGATCAGTGTGGTTTTCTTGACAGGCTGTTAATGAGACTAGAAGAACGTCCTACAGGAGAAGAGAGAGGAATTAATCAACAACAAGTAATTATCTCAGATCAACTTTTAGCAATTATGGACTGGAACACAGTTCTTTTTTTTTTTTACCATTTTCGCATTAGTCACTGCACATTGAGCACAACAGACCAACACACATGCAGGTGGATTAAATGATAATAAGGGCTTAAACTGAACCCAGGATTTCTTTTCCTTCCCTTTTTTGATTCAGGAATTTAAACTGCAAAACCCTTTTCTTTGGCATTTTTAAATTTTACTTTATGTCAACCTCAAAAATCACCTTGATCAGAGTCTCAGAACATATGAATTTTTCCTGTAGCAGAGCAGAAATCCTCGCTACAGCACCACCCAGTGTTTATGTATGTCAGAACATGTAACAGTCCTGTGGAACAACATCAATCAGAACAACTGCTGAAGGCTGGCAGGAGTCCGAGGCTGCTTTTATCAGTGTCCATGACCTGACGCCATGAGACAATACCACACATGTCATACATGTATGTATGTGTTTATATACGGCTCACTGGGTCAGGATTTGGCAGATATATGGTGGAATGGGTCACTGATCGCATTAGTTATAAATGTCTTCACTCAAATAGCATGGCTGTATCTTTGTAGAATGCATGCTACGGCAATAAAGAAATATTGCCTTGAGGCACTTTTCAAAAGGGAAAAAAAAGAAAAAGTGCATACTGTACACGCTGTGTACACTCACTGTCACGCTCGCTTTTCGTGGAACTAGCCAAGCTGTGGCAGTAACACATAAATCTGACAGGTGAGAGGAAACAGATACCAAAATACTCTATGGGTCTGTCTTCTTCTGATTGACAGGGAGACTGTCACATGTGCTCAGGAACGAAAATGGGGCCAAACAAAAACAAATGCCACAGCAAACATCCTCTCTGAGACGTGCAGTGAAGAAGAGGAAGTTTGAAGACTATGTCGATTACCAGGACGAGGGTGCGGTAGGAGGAGAGGGAGGGCTAGTGCTGAAGAAGGTAGCCGTGTCTGTACAGTGTTGCACTGCCTTCAAACACCTTTCTGTTCACAGTGGGACTGACTGATGCTGACTTAGGGCTGCATACACGTGCACACACATAATTGTATTTAAATAAGAGCAAAGATATTAATGATTATATGTATTTAGACTAAAAAAATAAAGAAGAGGAATTCTTACACTTCATCTTCATAGTCTTTCGGAGGGGAAACAGCAACCACAACATCGATCCAGTCCTGAAGGTAAAAAAAAAAAAAAGAATCCAATGAAAATATTATAATACGAATAGCTGCCTGACTGAGTCTGCAAGTTAGACCATGACAACAACGACAAGCACAAACATTAAATTTGGATTGATGGGGGTTTAACGATAATCAATACAACACCCTGCTGTTGTAGCTAAGGTAAATAATGTCTCTTTTTAAAAAAAAAATGGAGAATGGCATTTCATTGCGACACTAATCTGAGTCATACCCCTCCACTATTCCAGGCTCGAGCCAGAGAGTTTTGTCCCTCAGTCAATGTGGCATCAATCAGGATCTTCCCATTCACAGCCATAAGTTCATCCCCTGGTACAATGCCACCTGCAAACAGAGACATCAGAGACATTTCTCTCTCTCTCTCTCTCTCTCTCTCTCTCTCTCTCTCTCTCACACACACACACACACACACACAAGCTCCAGATGCTTGGATCTCTCAACTGACACAAGTAAAATGGTTGTCTCCTACAGTGATGCAGAGCTGTAATGGGGCAAAATGTCCAAACACACAGAAAAGTCATTAAGCAGGTAGGTATCACAGACTGGCATCCTGATATTGTGCCTAATGAAGCATCCTGTGTCCCTCCCTACATCTCACCATGGAGACAGTAATGATGGTGTAATAATAAAGTGGAAATTGCACATTCTGTACACACAATAAAGATAATGATTTACTTTCTATTCTCAAAGGAGGAAACATGCAGCAGATCTTATGTTTTCAACATTAAATGTATTTGCAGTCAAAACATGTCGCCTGAGATTTTGTTTAAGTGCCTAAACAGGAACATTGTACAATGAGATATACACTCAGTCGCCAATTTATTATTGTACAGTCGGTGTACACTTAAATACAATGATACATGTTTTATGGGCTGTAGTGTCGTTGAACTGTATTGTGTTATACTGAGAAGTGTTTCCAATATTTTGTCTGACCTCACCGATATAAGTGGGGGGAACAAAATATTAGAAAAGACTTGCCCTTAAACTAGCAATTAAGCAGTTGTGATTAGCTTTGATAGATACAGTAGAGATTTGTTTACAGACAGCTACAAGAAAATTATAATGTATTGGCATCAACACATACAGATGCACTCACTTATAACATTCATATCTAAATAAACAAAGAATTACACAGACACTAACAATAAAGGTACAAGACTGAAAACATACAGCACAAAGAATTCATTTTGAATGGAGGTTGGATTCGCTTAACTTAACATGAAGTTAAAGCATGAACTTTTAAAACCCAACTTACCGTGCTTATCCGCAGCACCACCCTCATACACAGAAGATATCACCAACTTTCCCAAAGGAGAGTCTGCTCCCCCCTCCAGAGCAAGGTCGAGCTGCCCAGCCTGCAGAGCAATAACAAAAACATCAGCACCGTCAGTCGTGAGCCAGAAAATCTTACCTGATGAATGACGAGTGAGATTCTTCTCATCAATAAACTGAATTATCTGAAGTGAATGCATTCGCTACCTTTTTGATTCTCAGCAGTCTCACATCTCGCCCGGCTATCTGGTCTGAGGAGAACTAATCAAAACGGGTGGGGGTGGGGTTGAAGAAAGAATAAACAGAGATGCCAACATAAAGGATGGGTTCCCACTCTTTGAATAGTTGAATGGTCAAGGTCAGTGATAAAATAACATATTTACAATACACCATGCATAGGCTATTTACAATGGATGACAGACTGTATAATAAACAGAGGACTAGTACTACTGGGAATTTACATCAGTAAAGTTATATACATTTTCTTTGGAAACAAACTGGCAATCTGTCTTATTCACAAAGCAGTCATCTAATTTTGCCCTCTCTGCTGTATTTACTGAAGTTAGCTTATTCAGTTATTCATCAAACTAGCAACTCAAGTTAACTTCCCTTTTAACTTCCCAAGTCAAGCTAACCAGGGCTTTCAATGCAGTTACATTGTGTATAAGAAAAACAACACAGAAGGAATTGGTAACATGTCTAAGTGTTTGATGACAAGACAGTTAACATACATAAAATGATTTTGAGTTTTGTGCATCTTTTAGTGTTGTAGTGATGCCAGTTTTAAGGCTGCCATGAAAATAAGTCAATAACACATTGTGTAACTATAGAAGCAGGACCTAAGAGCTGTTTGCTGTTCACCACTTTAATGATTCATATTTATTGCATTTTCTGCATTGCTGTGGTGTTAACAAGACCAGGCATACAATACCATTGAGTAGGGATCAAAATCTTCCTCGTATTTCTGAAATCCCTGAAAGAGAACCATCATGCAGTTAATTGAAACTGATCAATACGTCAATACAGAGTTAACAAACAGGACACAAAGGCAAATGAATTGCTTAGAACTCTCTACAAACATGAGCTGTGTAAAAAGTCACTGCATCAAATGCTGGTAAGATTTCCTTTGACAATACCACCCTGAATAAATGGAAACCATGGAGACACTCTGAGTCATTAATTCAAAAAGGACAGTGGCTTTTAAAGCCACCACCTTGATTTAATGACAAGGGTAATTCAGAGGAACACATGCATACACAGAAAATCATCCCTAATGATTCCTACCAAAGATGACGGCTATTTAATTTCATGGGAAGGGGGAAGGAAAGAGAAAAAAAGCTCTCAGAGAACGGACATCACATTTATCCATATATAATGACTCACAGAGCTATTTTTCTCACTGCAGAACAAACACTCATTAATCTAAGTCTTCATTTCCTGTTGTTCCACAGAAGCTCAAAATCGGACATAAAAAATGAACTCACATGGAATGTGTGATTGTATTTGTTATGGCTGGAGACAACAGCTGAAATCAGACGAAACAATTTAAGTGATGTGGTGTTTGGAATAGTAGATAAATCTAATGAGACTGATGTTCTCTGTCTCAACACAAGGTGAAGGTACATAAAAAAAAAAAGTCCTTTCTTTTACTAATGCACGCTGCACCAACCCATGTAGAGAGACAGATTACAACCTGGACCTCGGAGTCTTCTGTGAACCTTTATGGGACAGTGCTTGATGTACAAATCATCTGTTGCAACTAAAGATCAAAACTAATCACTGCAGTAAGACCGAAACACTGTGATATGCATTCCCACAAACTGTATGTTCAAAGTACCATACTACAATGTGCTTCAAATCAATGAAAGTGCAGTCATGCATAACCTACACAACTGGACCTAAAGGCAGTAATGCAGCCTACAGTGAGAGGACATAATGAAAAAATAGAGGAGCCATTACTGAGTCTCCAGTCAACCATGAGGAAACATGATGAACAAGCACAGACACAAAATGTGCAGAAAGAAGAACAGGACAAAAGCATTCAGGAATAATAACAGAGTGAGAGAGGTTTTCATAGGGATTACTTGTCGTTTGGTGTTTGATTTAAAGGACGAGTTAAAAGGCACCATCCGTTTTAGCATTTCTGGAGGCTGAAACACAAGACAACAACTTTTAGTGGACTTGAAAATAAATAACCCACTTCTATGCTCGACTTATTCTATCTATATCATGATTTTTAAAGGGTAACTTTGAAAAACAGGTTGAAAAACAGTGTTTTACCACTCTGGATGAAAGTCTTAGGTCTGTCTCACTTCTGACCACAAATGGTGACAGGTTTGGTCAGAAATGTGTGGTGCTACCCTTCACAACCATATCTACACACCCTGGGGAATACTTCTACATCACTGCAGCTACGTGAAAAGTTAAACCACTGGAAAGAGAATGCTATACACACAGATTATTAACAACAACAAATTCAAAATGTGAAATAATAACATAGAATTATGTGTCTAGATATATATTCCAATTCTGAGGTGAAGAGTTTTGATCAACAATACTTATCAGGTGGGATAGATTCATTTTTGGATTTTTGTTTTCTCCTGGGATTTGGTGACAATAGGCAAATTACAGAACACCACCAGCCTTATCCTTAAAGTTATTTGGTCTATTTGTTCTGCCTGATGAAGTGTGGTGACAGACAGAATTTCATGTTAATACTATACAACCACAGTCCTTGAAGAAAAACTAGACAAAGTATAATTGCATTCACAAGCAATTTTCTTTGATGTCAATATTTTTAACTTGAAAACTGTGTCTCAAAACATCAGTAGAATAGTTATATAGTGACAGCATTTTAGAGTAGGGTTGTTTACCAGCATGCTTACTTATGATCAAGGAACAACATGACTTAAAGCGCCCCCTCTTCAACTACCACAGTCATGGTGCCCCTCAGCAAAGCATTTTACCTCCAGTGGCTGATGGTAGAAGTGTGTGGCTGTGCTGTTCTGTTCTCATCTGTGAATGTGTGATTCTATTAATATTAGGGTTTCAGGACTAGAGGGTTGCTCTGTAGACTAGTACAATGAAAATGCAGTTTGACAAATAAATACTCTGCCGAGTTTCATTAGAGCTTACTGACGGGAAGAAGAATGGCTCCCCTGTGTGATCTAATAACCCCAGACTGGGTTTCTGTGAAACAGCTGGTGAGTCTGCAGGACTCGCCATGACTTGGAAAAGAGGCAGAAATGAATACATCAGCCAGATGATGGCATACTGTGTCAGATGTCTGAATGCTTTATGACCCTATTAAACTGAATCAAAGTTTTATGCAGGGAGTGGATTACTGTAAAGTGGTGCGTTTCATACCAGACCATCAGAACGGAGTGCAGGTCTGTGAGGATCTGGTCGGTGGGTCTGCGACTGCGGCAGCATAACAGGCTTAGACATGACAGGGGCTGTCTGACGCCTCTGGTTGGGAGGACTAGGAGCTAGTTGCTATTGGGGAAAGACCACGGTTCCAAGCAAAAACTGAGTATAGTATATGGAAGTCATTTTACAAGAAATGAAATGAAATTTATAAAGCTCATTTTTTTGGGAAAAAAAAAACAGGGTGTTCCCAAAACTTGACATACTATTGCTACAAAAAGAGACTCACCAAGGGCGTGCTTGAAGTGGAAATGTGACTGGCATGGGATGTATTTCTCATTACCTGAACCACAGTAAAATAAAAAGAATCTTTAGCCCCCAGGCCCATGCAGCACACCGCAGGAATATTGGTGCAACACACACCAAGACTATAACATGAGGCTTTCATCACAACTACACAGCATGCAACACCCCACTCAGTCAAACAAGCCACACACCGACAAGCAAACATCAATATCAACTAACTGCCCCTCCGAATGCATTACCCTCAACTTCAAGAAAAATGGAAATCAATGAAAGGCCAATTCAGTCATGCTATTACAGTGTGTCACTCTGTCTTCATGCATAAAATATCCCAATACATAAAACAGACCATGCACATAAACCTGTGTCGAATCCTGCAGCATTGACAATGCATTAATTCTGAGAGCTATCTACATATTTCTTTGAAACGGCTGATGCAACTTTTCTTCATAGATTGAAAAAAAATCAATTGGACACTCGTAAACTAAAGCAATAACACAGCAAGGAAAAGCCAGTCTGACACATCACCCCTCTCACATGAGAATCTCTAACCTTTGGACTAGAGGGGTAGGACATTTCACTGGTGTTCGACGAGTAAATCCCTCCTCTCGGGAGATAGCCACCTGCCTCCCACTCACTCCTGCGCTCGGGAGGACTGGGAGGGTGTTGGAGGTGATGGTGATGATGCTGGCGGTATCCGCTGAGGGTGCCTATCCGGTCTTCAGAGTGTTGTGGAGGTGGGGGCGGAGGGGGAGGTGGAGGTGGTGGAGGAGGAGGGGGCGGCGGAGGAGGAGGCCGTGGAGCCGGTTGAGGGGAAGATGGAGGCCACGATGACTGAGACGGAGGAGGGTAGTGGGAGGAAGGTGGGTTAGGGAGATGGGTTTGGGCAGGGTGATGCTGAGGGTGAGGCTGTGGTTGAGGCCTGCGTCCCTTGTTGGTCAATGTAGATGGGGCAGAGGGAGGTTTCCTAGCGCTGGGTGGAGACGGAGGTCGGCGCTGTGGCGACGCTCGAGAGAGAGGAGGAGAGTAGCTGGGAATGGTAGGGTTCAGCTTGGGCGAGGGTGGAGGGAGAGGCAAGGGAGGAGGAGGCTGGCTGGTACTGGGCTGGGTGGGGGCCAGTCTCTTCAGAGGGCCCCTCAGGCTCTGATCAACATCATCCAGGTTGATGTCATCCAGATCAGTGGTGGCCAGGTGGAGACCACCAGGGAAACGCTTCACCTTGGGCTCAGAGGCAGGAGAGCGCGGCGGGGAGAGCTTAAAGTCACAGTGACATGAAAAATGTTTCACCTTGTGTTAATTATCCTTTTAACCTAATTAACAATTCATGCTTTTTACCCTCCTGTCCCTTCCTACTAATTTCACTTGCAGGAACAATCACTTATCTTTTTTTGTATGAGTGTACAAAAAATGACAGCTACAAATGCACTCACACCATTGTGAGCAGCTTCCCTAATGTTTCTCTTGTCATGTAACTCATGTAACATAACATCCAAAGTGACATGACCTGCTACATTTTACTCCGTAACATCCTGTCTGAACCATAAATATTGAAAATGTGGGGAAAAGTCAAGCAAGATCAACCATTTTTCTAAATATTGGTGTAGACCTGCATCAATGCTGTTATCAGAGCTTTACTCATCTCCTTGTAACAGTAAAAAAATGACGTATTACAATTTAAATTTTTGTGGTAAGACAAAAACATCAGACAAAGAGAGAGGTTTCGACAGAGTAGGTCTCACTCTGTACCTCTGGGGATTCGTTCTCCACACAGGAGATCTGCTCCAGCCGAGTCTGACAAAGACGCTCCACCCAGTGTTGCACTTTCTCAGACTCCTCTAGGTCCTCTCTCTCCGTCTCTGAAACCTGGTACAGAGGCAGCATCAGGCTACATGCATCAGTCACTCAAACACCCGCTCACACAGTCAGCTGTCACATAACCAAGACGGGTGGCAATTTAACTAAAGTCAAAGCTTGAAACATTGAAAGCAACGTTAACTTTTCTATTTGGCGCATCAGAAATGCCAATCAATCCAAACCAATGGTTTAATCCACATTGTCAATTTCAAGCCCACTCTATAGCTCACTTGAGTAAACACCTCTTTTCATACCTCCTGAACCAGCCTATTGATCTTCAGTTGCTTCTCTCGTTCATACATCTCTTCTTTCTCCTTGGCCAGTTTCAGCTCAAACTCCATCTCCTTCTTGCTTTTTCTCTGCTCCTGCAATGTGTCTGTGTTTGACACCTTCTTCTTTTTCTTCTTCTTCTCTCCTTTCTGAGGTGTCATCAGTTAGTCAATATAAATAGCAGGGGACAAACAAATCTGCCACTGCAAACCACACACTTCTACCATGACATGCACAAATAACTAGTGTCACCATACTGTGTACGGCTGTGAAAACCACAGTAAACAACTTAAAGTTTTAGAAAGAAAAAAAGAAAGAAAACTCTGGTCTGAAATATATAACCACCTGTCACGATGAGAAACATTTAAAAACAAGACGAGCGTTATGCCAGACTTTCCTTTGTGACAACTCTAATACCACACTTAGCTCACACAGCTGACAGTACCTTGCGGATCGATGGCAGTTTCCCCTCATATCGATAAAACCAGCCAAATGCTGAGGATGGAGACGAACATAGGTCATTCTCACAAGTATGTTATATAAAAAACAAAGTTTAAACAACGTCTCAGCAAACTCCAAGCAGTGTGCCCATTTGAAAAAGCAAGACATTAAAGAGCCACAACACAGCATTCAAAGGGAAAAAATGACCCAGAGTGATCCATTTGGGCAAACTCTTCTTAAAAACCAAATGAACAAAACCAAAACCAAATTTTTGGCAGCGTTCATTATGAAGATAAAGTTATCTCCAATTGTTACATTTTGGTTGTCAAGGGAAATCTAGCACTGGTCTGTGTGAACGCTGGTTTGCACACACCCCCCCCACACGACAGCTGTGACAGCGCACAGCTGAGCCTCCGGACTTACTTGTCTGTCCTCCTCTTCCTCCTCGTCTTCCGCTGTGAAGGAGCAGGCTTCAGCAGCTTAGAGGTGAGGCCATAACAAGCAGCACAGCACACGGCAGTGACAGTAAGACAGCATGCAGGGAAAAGGAGGAAATAAGGTGAGATAAAGGAGAGAGATACTTCTAAAACTCTGTGGTTTCAGAAGAAAAGTAAATAAATACATTCAAGAAGTGAATAGAAGATCCATGCATTTTAAGGAGAAGATTCACTCATGTGTCCTTACGAGAGCTCTTGGCCTTTGGAGTCGGGGTCGTTTTTATATCAGGTGGGGCAGGCGATTTGCTCTTTGGAGTGCGGGGGCTCTTAGGGCTCTTGGGCCTGTCTTTGGTGCCCCAATCCTCCTCCCATTCTCTGTCCTGCTTCTTCTCCACAGCATCAATCCTACACAGGGCAAGACAAGTAATGAGATATGTAAGATATATTATCAAAACAACACTGAATTTGCACTTTATAGACAATTAGCTGCATACTTCTCCATCTCCTTTTTATAGCGCTCCTCTTCATCTGCAGTTTTCTGAGAAATCTCCATCTTTCGCCTGTTAAACACAACATAGACACACAGGTTTCAACATAAAACTCTATCCACGCAGCATGCTACAGAGCAGGGCTAAAAATACAGAATATATGACTTTAATCCAGTTATGGCTGCTATTGAGAGCGTCAACCCCCCAAAACACGACATGCATTTCAAGTATTCATCCCAAGATATTGCTGGCATGAAAGCAATGAGAAAATCTAGTGTGTCCTCTGAATTTATTAACGCCTGCGAAAAATGTGCAAAGCATTCACTAAAGTGAACACGAATCTATATTATGATGTAGCTACAGAGAAATTATGGGAAGGCCCTCAGGTTAGGTGAACAATCACAGCAGGTCATGTTTACTTTGCTTGTACCTGATTTATGTATGCTCAGTTGTTGGGTAAATGATTGATGCCTCTGTTCAAAAGCAAGCAGGCCATTTCATGCCCTGAATTTGAACTATTTGAATATTTGAATTAATTCATTGGAAACTCTGGGCACTGAATGAGAGGTGATGTATGAGGCTGGATACAAAGGAGGCTGACTCTAAAATGCACAGAGGGATTTCTGGAAAACAATTCGTAATGTCAGTCAACACCTTTGCTACTGGGTGATTTGAGTTTCAGATTGGCCACAAATTGATACAGTATTCCCCAAGTTGATTACTGGACCCAGTGGTTGGTTTACTTTGTGCATATTTCTGAGTTCAAATCAAATTCAACTTTATCCGACAGCTCTGCAAAGACAGCACCACTCTCTGAATAATCAGAAAAACTCAGCCTTCCAGCTGTTGGTGACTAAAAAGCTACCAAGCACATGCTTGGTACCTTTTTAGTGTGTGGCATGGTTGTGTCGAAATGTATTAAAATGTCAGCCAATTTCTCAGAACAAATAGTTGCTTCTAATCAGTAATGCCTATTTATAGGGACTATTATACTTCCTGTTTTCTCAATTACTGTTCTTCAGTTTAAGGATGAAAATGCAGTGGTTGGTTGGGCAGCCAGAGGGGAGGCTACTTAACTTGCAGAGCTACACAGCATTTACTGTATGAAATATCCACTGCAGTCGCTCATCAGTATCAGTATTATCATTACTTCTGACATCTAGAAAAGGGGTCAACATCATCAACGTCATCAAAACAATGTCATTTCAATTTGGGTTGCGTCGATGCATTAAGTGATTTCCTCAAGAGGCAAAAATAAAAACAGGGTTGTTAACTTGCAATCATTGTTTTTGGGGGCAGTAAACACAACATTGTCATATTATAACCTTTTAAAGTTGATATGGCAAACATGTTAGCAAACAGTCCAATATTCAATCTCCTTTAGACTCTCTTTTATTTTCCTATATGTTTCTCTTTAGCTGTTAAAATGCTCCACTATCAGCTGGACACTAACTTTGTCTGTGTGCTGTTTGGTGCAAGGTAAGAAGAGCACAGTGAGTTTGTACTATAACAGTGAGCTGAAAGCCGCTAAAACACTCCATAAAACTACGGAAAACTGCAGGAATGAGGAATAATTATTTGTTAGTTTGTCACTATGAGCAACACCGTTTATCACAGCATAAATGTTTTTTTGAACCATTGTTAGTATTAAAAAATGATCTGAGCAGCAACATAAATATGACTTCCTCTGTAGCTTTGAGCTGTAATAACTATCACCTGAAGGTTGAGTGACAATATCTTTCGGAAGTGAATCAGATCAAAGCAGTGGATGAGTATGAATAGACAACAATCTGCCATTGCGATCAAGCTTATGTCTTTTTTGTGATTACATTACAAAACAGGCTATACACTATAACTCCCACACTCCATGCCACACACTGCAGGACAAGGTTATTTGTAAGAAGTTTTCAACTCTTCACTCACTGCCTCTCCTTCTCCTGCTGCTCTTTAATGATTTTGTTGGTCTCCAGTGCCACCCTTTTCTGATGCATCAGCTCTTGTCTCTCCAGCTCCCTGCGGGCCTCCACTGCCAGACGCTCCTCGTCTGTCATAAACAACTCACTGCCCTGAGAGAGTGACAACAGCCAGAAAAATTATCAGAGAAAGAAATCGAGTACAGCTGGGGTCCTCAAACTTTCTGGCTCTGTAGACCGACAGACAAGTCCAAACCAGTCTCCCGGACCAGGGAGAGAGAAGTCTGTGTTTGTCACGTAACATCTTTGAAGTTTAAATTACAGCCTGAGAACCACTCATCGATGGCATGTGAACAATTTCTACAATTACTATATATATGCAGAAACAAAAACCTATAAGATACATAGAAGTAGAAATACTTTACTGTATAGATTTGTAATCATTTATTGTTGCAAAAATAACTGTATGGGAGGCATGAAAGACAAATATTTCTTCAAGTACAGTTATTTTTGCTTTAATGTCACCTGTCACATAAAAAATATTGGCTCCTTTTGGAACACAGCCTTCAATTTCAATAATAGTGCATGTACTGGATGTGTCAAAATGAAGACACACACACACTTACACAAATAAATCCATCAGACAGTCACAAAAGAAAACAATAAATAAGATTGGACTTCTTGTCTCAGTTAAGCAGTCACTGTCAATAAGTCCTAAGGCATACAATCTGCCCAGTGACATGTCTGATGATAAATGTTGTTCCTGCAGACAGCCAGGTTGAGGAAACGCCTCGGTAATGGGATGTCTCCAAAACAAAACAGCACATTTATCTGTGCGATGCAGGAATGCGAAGCGAGTAAAGGCAGAAGTTTGTGTTCCCACAAACAACAGATGATCCCTTCACTATTTTTTTTTCCTGAGAGAAATACATTTCCTCATGCTCCCATTCACAAAATAGGAGGAACAATTCTAGACATTTTATATGCACCATTTTGTTGAGCCATTACCACTGCGTCAGGATTATAACTTCAAAAGTCATTAAGATTTTTACTATGTATTTCTTTGTGATTTATCAGTTAATTGATTAAACACATTTTAAATTTTCCAGAAACTTGAGGATCTGTGGGAAACACTCTACATGTAAGAAAATAACAGCAACATGTGCCACCTAATCCAGGGTTATTCATTTTAAATGTGCAGATGTGGGTATATGTATCCCAAACCCATATGCTGTGTCTTCAAGTGTATTTAACAGTACTCACAAGAGTTTACAGCAAAAAAAACCCACAAGACTTATGTGAGGTGAGGTGCAGAAGAAAGCATAGTGTTGAATACTATTATTATTAGACATAATGCAGTTGATGTACTTACAGCTCCTGTCAGAACAGTAATAGTCAGACTCCTGCTGCTCTTCAGGACTTTCACAGCCTGGGAATATAATAACAAAAGATTTCAAGTAATGCAATTAATTATAAAGATTATAAAGGTTAAGGGGAATATGTTAACACTCTATGTGTATTCATCAGGGTGTGAAATCATCACTGGCAAATACCAGTAAATATTAAAAGCTCAGCCACTTTGGTAAATAACCAAATGTCCTGGGTTTTTTTTTCTATCTCAAAAACATTTTGGCTGGTTAAACACTAATTTGGCTGTGGCTCTTCAGCTCAGTGAGTAAAGCACAGAACAAACACTGCCAGTGAAGAGGGGTTTAACTTCCACTGGCATGATGAGTATCGTAACAACAGATGCCTTCATGTAGCTGAAGTGCTTTGGATAAAAGGACAAAATATACAAAATCTACATAATAAAATGACTGATAAGATTTGAACTCATCATAAATCATCGTAAGTGGATAAATAATTAAATGAAGCAAAATTCACCTCTTTGTGGTCCACATTGGTGAAATCCACCCCGTTCACCTCCACGATCTGGTCTCCAATCTACATTTTGATATGATATGAGACACAGATATAGTTCACAGCAGGCAGGAAAATGAGTGTCAACATTTCACAGAGGTCATAGAGATCACCTGAAGTCCAACTTCTGCAGACAGGGAGCCTGGCTTGACATTACTGATGTAGATGCCAGGTTTCTGGGTGGGACCACTGGATATGCTGATGCCCATACCCTTCGTTCCCACAAGACTGAGGAAAACTTTCTTCTCCTTGATCTCCTTCCCTCCGATCGATGCTAAGCCTGCAATGCTGTTTTTTTTCTCCTGGGAGGTAAAAGGAGAAAGAATAAAAGAAAGAAAAGTCAATAAGCTGTCTGCTGGTGTGATACAACTTTTGAAACTAACAAATGCCATGAAAAAAACAAAAACAAACTCTGTCTCTTACCCCCGACTCAGACACAAACTGGTCAACAAACTGCCACTTCAGGGGCTCATCTGATGAGCTGGAGAAATGTGAAACGTAAAACAGAACGCAATAGAGCAAAATGTCACTTAACAATGGTAATTTACCATGTTAACTATATTACCTTTTCACTGGGATCATCCCCACATCTGCAAATATGGAAAAAAAAAATCAAATTAAATGAAAGATGCCATTGATGTTGAACAATATTCAATTGAATGCACATCAGTGATGCTGCTGTGGTTGGAAAATGAATTTGCGCTTGACGTACGCCTGACTTTGAGTGACACAATCTTCTTCGTCTTGATGAGACTGATGACTTCCTCGTGGATGCATGAGGAGATGGAGTATCCGTTGATACGCACAATCTCATCACCAACCTATAAATCACCACAAGATTGAATATCAAGAATGACACATTCACTTTCAATCTATCGAGTCATTTCACAGATGAAGTTATTGCTTCTCTTGTAATGTACTTCTCTGTCAACTGAATAAACCGGCCACTATGTGATCTATTCATCTGCATGGTCTATTTACATTTTTGATGTTTTAGCCATCTGGGTGATGCTCTCAGCTAAAGTGACTTACAATCCCCCACCAAGAGCAAAACTGCCATATTCTCTACTGACTGTTTCTCTGATTTATGTCCAGATATTGGACAGGACCATCCTTGCCTAAGATGTCATTCTGAAGCTTTGTCACAATACACAGTGACTCTGATCTGTATTAAAGCATCTATATAAACAAAGGGACATTAACTTTTCTTTCTCGACAAGACCAGTGTGTTTTAATTAAGTTCCATCTAGGTGAATCTGGTTCAACATTCATTGACAAACATTCAGTCCCTGTGAGAGTTTAACAAACATGGTGCTTCACCCCACCTAGTGGATGCTGGTATTATGACACTGACACTGAGACAGTGGCCAAGGAAAATGAAAACAATTTGATTGACTCAATAGACAAAATAAAATTATACTATACAACTATAGTGACTACAAAATAATTGTTTTACATACATATAGCTCTTTATATGGTACTTTAACTAAAATGAGAATTTAGTGTTTCAGAACTATAAAGGACATTTAGTGGTATAAAATGAAAATAAAAAATATATATCACGGTTGGCTCATAGAAATGTACCTGAAGGCCGACATTACCAGCCTGACCGTCTTTGACAATCTGTGATATGTAGAGCCCACAGCCAAACTCCAGACCTCCTCGGACACTCAGACCCAGTCCATCACGATGTGTCCGATCCAAACGCACCTCTTTGAGCTTCCTGCTCATTCAGGAGACAATACAGGATGTATGAGCCACATAACATTTTGAAACGGAGAAGGTGGATGGTTTCATTATGAAAACCAAAACAATACAATGCCATGCTATACTCACCGTGACCTCTTGGGGGTGAGCAGGTCGTACTCCACCTGGTGTTTGAGGGGGATGAGAGGTCGGATGGCGTCAAACAGGGGCAAGCGCTTTGGTTCATTGATTACCAGCTTCAGATCCCCCACCAGCACTGGCAAATCCATCGACCTGAGAGACGGGTTTCAGGCAATAAATGATGCACATTTCTAACTGACAATAGTTACATTCAAACAGAATTGAATAGGGACAATATAAAACAATTTGATACAAACACATAGGAAAGTTCTGAAACCCCTGTAAATTGTTTTGCTAATTTGATTTATTTGTTTACTATTATTTTATCTTTTTTTTCTTGAAATAAACTGACTATTAAAATAATTTCCTCTGACCAAGAGCACTGCACTGTGGAGTTTTAGGTTATCCAAAGGTGCTGTTTCAGAGGCTTCTCTGACCTGACAAGAATATAATTCTGGAGATAACATTCAATACTTGCATTGTTTTTTCGCATGAACATAGCCAGGCTTTATCGTGAATGGTCACAATTAGAGATACTGAATGACACTTTACTTTTTACACATAAAAGTACATGTAATCGTAATGGCCAGCAGAGGATCTCATGAGCCAAAATATCATTCAAGTCCTCCTCTAATCTTTCTTTTCTAATTCAAATACATAGCAATTAACTATAATTTCTCAATGGTGATGGACTGTAGAATCCAGTCTTCTATCTTTTACAATTCGAAGAAAGACAAAAGGCAATTAGAACAGCAATTAAAGCAGCAAAGTAAAAGCTACTGTATAAAATTTGTCCTCCTGGCCTTCTTGATGAATTATTAATAGGTGCCATTTCAGCTCTGTTTGGAGGATGAACATAAAAAGAGCTTTTGTGAATAACTGGCCAGGCTTGTCGAAGCACAGTGGAAACTGATCAGAGGCTTAACCAATCGGGCCACAGGGCTCTGCCTCAGTACGAAGATTAATTGAAACCTAGACCACTAGCCCCCCGCCCCCCCAGGCTTCTGAGACCAGGCTGTTATCAGAAACCATGATGAAGAACACAGGTGCATGTGCATCAGAGCTGACTAAGGCAGGATTAACGGCTATTGATAATTAAACATGTAAAGTTAGAGATAAGTTAATGGAAGTCAGAAAAGGCATTTGGGCATCATTTCACCTGCAGCTAACATAAGACAAGAAGGAATTCCTCCAACACTTGAGGCAAATGAGAGCAAATGTAGCCTTTCATCGTAAAGTTTACTGTTTTTTATATTTGTATATGCAGAAACATTATATTACTGGTTAAAAGAGGCCATTATTTAACAACACAGCCTATCCAATAACTATCCACAGTTTATTCATATAGAAATATAGAGGTGTGAATTTACAAATGTAAAACAAATAAGAAAATGCAACCTGCTCACAGACACACTGAGTGGTGATGGATGCTACTCACTGGTGATACATGCGGAGGACATCATACAGGTAATCCTTCTCTGCTTCATTTTCAATCAGCAACTCCACCTGCAAGACAGGACAAACATCTGGTGCCATCCTTCTACACTGCTGAATCAGAGGAAACGTCAGCCCACTGACACACACTGTACCTCTCTCTTGTGGTGCTGTCAACACTGCAGGGGGCAAGCCGTCTGTGTGTCTGTCTCTGTGTCTGTGTGTATGTGTGTGTGTGTGTGTGTGTGTAGGAGTCATACAAACCTGATGGCAGCTCAGCTGCAGCAGGATAGTTTTGAGGAAACGCCTCGGCCAATCACTGATGTAACACATTTCCGTCTTACTGACTAAATCTGTCCCAAGTTAAGCTGTAAGCTTCGCCCCTAACCTGAGTGGCTTGTTTCTTTATTAGAGTGAAAAGTTAAGATAAAACCAGGCTTTAGGATGGTGTTGCTCCTTGGAGTAAAGCAGGTGTAATGGGCTGCCCTTCCCTAACTATCAAACCACTGGGAGGGAATAATGGCAGAACAGCTGAGAGGAGGCAGCAGTGGGAAGGTCAGCAGTGTCATCTTACATCTCAGACACAAACAGAGGTGAGCATTCACACCCAACATTTTCTCTCTCTCTCTCTCTCACACACACACACACACACATCATCATCATCATCATCATCATCCAACAGTGTGAATGCATAGAGAGCAAAAACACATGGACACATGCACATTAAGACACTTCTGTAGTCTAATAAACTACACTCCATGGTCCCCTACTGTGAGGTCATTGCGAAGTTGTGTGGTGACATGACATTTATGACTGTCATAAATTTCTCTCGCTTAGGGCAGTGAAACACAGCCAATGCCAGCCACTCCTGCAGCCTGAACTACATGCAGACTTTGGCACCATAAATCCAATAAGATAAGAGCTCACTGGCCAGTCAAATACCAATTCTGAAAAGCACTGTCTGGTTCAGAGATTTGGACTGTTTTCACAAAATGAGATCCTAATGTGACATTTACACAGATTGCGGTGCATACTTAAACCTCCAGAAATCAAAATCAACCTTTAATTGAAGATTTTACAGTGAAGAAACACAATAATTCAGTTCTTCAGTTTGAATTAGGACAGATAAACTGACACACACATTCAACCAAACAACTAAACAGAGATTCAGTGACTATGATAATGTCCCCAAACAGAAACAAAGCCTGATTGTGCTCCCATCAGCCTCTAATTAAACCCATAAATTGTCCCATGTCTTCCGCTCAGCTGCTCGTCTCTGACATGGACTAGATTATCTAATACTACGATGCCCTTTATGAAGAGCCAACAATATGGGACCCTGCCTGCCTGTGTGCAGCACAGATGGCTGTTGGTGATCCCTACATGCTCTGGGGCTGAAAACACCCTGAACATATCATGTTCCCTTTCTCTGTTATCTTTTACTCATAATTATCTTTACAGGGCTTTACCTATTGCTGTAATTTGCCAGCTCCAGCCAGAAAATACAGTATAATTTGAGTTTAATTCATGGAACTATACATCATGGATCCACATAACATTTATTTAATCATGTTATTGTTACTGGCCATGGTGGCCTCAGCTGGATGTTTACATGTGCAAGAAAAGGTATCAGCCACTTTACAAAAACAGGCAGGATGTCATAGAATATAATTGCTATGAAAACACTGTGGCTACTTACTTTTAAGCCTTAAAGGAAACAAGGAAGATTCAGATTATACTCAAAAACGTGTGCTAGTAAGTACCATCTAGCAGAAAGTAGGTACTATCTAGCAGAACAGTTGTGTGAATATTTCTCTTTAAACAGCTAAAAGAAAAGCAGTTGTTTCAGTTGAATGGGAATCTATTAATCTGTTAGCAAATCTAATAGCTCTGTCTATATTTCTCCAATTGACTTTATAGTAAGTGATACACTAGTGATGAATGAGATTTTAATCCAAAGGCTATCACCATATAAATTCTAAATTATATATTTGATTTATTAACATCATTTTTAATTTACTTTAAAATATGATATTCTTTTAAAACCAATTCTTGAATAATTTTTAGCTGCTGTTTCTTTTTGTAAGGCCTGTGTCTGCGCAACATCCCACCGGGAGAGACACCTGAGCCAGTTAAGTGACAACCAGGTAGACAAACAGTTTTTTAAAAGAGCTATTTAATCAGTGTCCGACGAGAAAAATGTCGGTATCTTACCTTGTGCCTAAATTCCCGAGCAACTTTTCGCTCCATTGTTGAGAGAGAAAAAACGGCAAACGGTCAAACGCTAACTCACTGTGTCGATGAAGTTTGTCAGGATTGGACCTGGACCGGGGTTTGTCGTGTCAAGCTAAACGTTGTTAGTTTCCGGTTATGATTTTCATAGTAAAACAAGGAGGGAAACTTTTTTGGTAATAAATATGGCCATGATTAACATAAAAAAAAAAAAAAAACATGTGACCTGACTCTAAAGTATACAACTTGTGTACACTTCACGTTCTCTAGTCTAATTCTTACTTCAATTTAGCCCTTTATTTTGACGGGATATCCGTTTAACTTCAGTTCCTTAACAAACTTGATGAAACCGACGACGTTGGCATGTTACCCATCAGTTATCTAGACAATTAGTTGTTTAGATGTTTCAGTAGACACACAATAATTTATCTACACTGCAGACACACTATTTTAAAAACATTTTTTAAATCGCTGAACCTACAGAAGTAACATTTGACACAGAAGAAGCTTCTAATGACCTCCTGAACATCATAAATCATGGTAAACTTTTTATTCCAAAAAACACAACTTACCCACATGTATCACACAAATGGCATCACAAATTACGTGGTTATTGTATTAACCACTCCACATATTTATGTTTAATAGTGGCCGCTAGTTGGCAAAATAATATCACCTTCGTTCCGTATCCCACGAAGAAGACGAAGAGGCGTAAACTTCCGGCTTTCAAAAGCTTGATAGCAACGAACAACACAACTGCACCGAGGGCTGTGAGTTATAGAAAACTGTAACATGTAAGTAAAATATATCATATATCATGTTTGTTGAAACGCTAGAGACGGATGGAAAACCACGTGCAAATGCTACTGCCTTTTACGTGCTGATTTTAGCCACATCTGAAGTTTCATCATCAGTAATTCGTGATAGATTAATGATTTCTTTATGTTAAAGAGAACTGAACATACTTTCTTTCCCCTCACCCTTTTATTACCACTAATAACCTCAGATTGCTTAGCTAAATCGAGCTGTCTGATAACTGAGTGTGTTTTGTGGTTAAAAATGTGTCTAACTGAGAACAGTTTTGTGCTTTCAAACGTCCCGCTCCCCCTGGCGACCAATCCATACCAGCAACAATAACTCAATGCACAAACCAACTTAAACATTTTAATTATCTGAACTTATCTCTCCTGTGTGGTCTTTTTATAAACCAGACACAGAACAGATTTATTACATCTACAAACGAAGCAGCATAACCCATCATTACTGAAGGGGTGAATAACTCTTCTTAATTGTGCTATTTTTGTTATAGTTAGCGGTTTTGTTACATGAATTACTGTACCACTGCTACTACTAATAGACAGTATAGAAGGAAATACTGGGTCTTTCCTTGCAAATTTAATATCATTTTTTTTATTAGCCACGTGTAAACCTATACGTTATTGATTTGTTGATATTCTAGTAAGATGAAATTGACTTTTTGTGTAAGAAATTCATAAAAATCATAGAACAAGCACTTTTATCAACCATAACGTTTTAAGGGGATATGAAAAAATGGCAGCCATCTTAAACATGGCTCTTGCTTTAAATTGTTTTTCACAAGGGCTGTGACTGTTATCTTTGTAATAATATAATAATAATATTCAGTACATAGCTAGTTGCCATTGACCTGCAACAATTAAGTCATTTTACAGTACTGATGACAGCCAAATGTATATTTCCTGTATCAACATGTGAAGACAACCCTATCATTTTAACTCTTTAACTACTGTTTTCAGTGTTTTGTGCTGGGATGGGATCTCCAGCAAAAGATGCAACACCACACAGGTAAGATGTTTAGTCAACACACAGGAGGACAGACATTTTTGTAGCTTTCTCTGCAAGAAAAGGGACATAATGCTTTTAACTGTAATCTCCCTGAGTGATAATTAGACTTATTTTGCCAGTCTTGCCCCCCCACTGTTACAGTCCTAAGTCTTATCCCACATGGACTTAGTCTTACTTCTTAAGTGGGTTTAAATGCAAGGTTTATTGCTTGCTGTTTCTCTGCAGACATATGTGCCTGCACAGGGTAAAATGTTCCTGATACTGCAGGTCTAGAGTCCCCTCTCATATTGGCCTGTAACATCCTTTTTGTTTTCATACAGAACCAACAGTAGGACCCCTGGTCGGGAACCTGACTCCCCACTACCTCCCATCAATGAGCGTCTGGCTTACTTGCGGCCATCCAGGGAGCTGCTGGAGTTCTACAGACAGAAGATCGCCCAGTTTGATGGGGAACACGAGGAGCTGCTACAGATGCTAGAGAAGTACAAAGGCGTCACAGAAGACCAGGTGAGACATAACAATGACTCACTGTATGTGCTGTTGATTTTATATTTGCCTGTTTTATTGATCTTCTCTCTGCCTTGGATATCTTCCCAGCATAAGCTACAGTGGGAGGTCCGACAGCGTGAGGAAGAGATTGCTCAGCTGCAAAACGCTCTGAGCGACATGCAGGTCTACCTTTTCCAAGAGAGAGAGCAGTCTCTCCGGCTTTATGCAGAAAATGACAGACTAAAGATCAGGTGGGTGAAACCATAGGAGCAGTAAGAGGCCTTTTTGACAGCAGAAATGTCAAAATGTTATAACAACTGGTGAAACAGAGAACTAATAACATTAATAAGGCCTGCTTTCCATTTACGTCCAGATCCATGATCCTGCTATTACATGTTTGATCACTTTCATGACTTACTGGAACACTTTGATAGAATGGAACCGACATTAATGTTATCGGTTAAACTTGCGCTTTTCCTACTATGTTGACTGCTGCTATGAATAAAGCTTATTGGATGTTAATAGTAATAGCTTATGGAGCAATCTGACCGGCTGCCATTGGACATACTGCACATTATTTCTACATATTATTTGTGATTATTTAAAGTCCATACCATGGTTGCTTAACCCATGGTACACCAAACAAGCGTTTTCACTTGCCTGACTAGACCTCCTCACAAGACTGTGTGGTCATGTACCAACTCTTCTTGATTTACAAAGGGGTAATCAGCCAGAGTGAGTGAAAATACCTGTGCGAGGGTGCAGAGGCTTTAATATTTATAATAACTTTTACAAATAAAACTGGATCTAATTACCTATTCACTTTTGTACAGGGAGCTGGAGGACAGGAAGAAAATACAACACCTTCTCGCCCTGGTGGGTCCTGATGCAGGAGAGATAACATATTTCCACCGGGAACCTCCTCACAAGGTACACATGTCATCAGAGGCCTTTGTCACAACAGAGGTTTTGATTTGTGAAACACTAGTGTAATTAATTTCTCTTAATAAATGCTTCATTGGCTGGCACACCTAAATCAATGTTATTAGTTATAAATTTTCTTGCTGTGACAAGTCCAAATATCTGGAGTTTTTTTTTTTTTGTGGATTAACAAAAACTTGTTCCACTTAAAAAAAAAAAAAAAAGGCAAGAAAAAATCATCTGGGTTGAGTAGAACGTTTTGAAGACACACTATATGTGACTATATTTCAGGTTACTATCACTCAAAGGAACCCTGAGTCCAGATTGGAGGAAAATCTCAGTCTCAGGCCAACAAAGTTAAGACCATCTATGAACAGGAAAGGTTTGAAAACATTTTTTTTTTTTAAATGCATTTTCTACATACATTATTGTTTTTAATTTGTCTAATAATTTCAGAAAGGTGTGCATATAATTTTGTTGTGTTCTTTAATGAAGTCTCTTTAATCAACTATGTAATTGTGCGTTAAAAAGCTTGTTATAATCAATAATAATGATCATAAAGATGTGTTAATGTTTCCTTTTTAATTTTGTTTAAGTTAAGCACAAAAAAAACATCTTTTAAGTGAGCAAATAGATGAGTAATTTTCTCAGACATTGCTTTTGTTTATTCTCCTGACTGTCACTGCATGTTTGTTTAAGTAGAGAGTAGCAGGAGAACAAAATCAGCAGACGGGGTAAATGGAGAGAGCCTGGAACAATACAAGAACGACAACCAGACTTTGTTACTACAGGTACAGGCCCTCTCTACGAATGCATTTACTGGGATTTAGGTGATATTATCTCGCATACATATGCTGCACATGACCCCTGAAAAGGTCTTTGAATGGATTGAAACCGGCTTTTATTGTAATTATTTTGTGGCGTGCACTTCCAGGTGGAGGCGCTGCAGGCTCAGATGGAGGAACAGACCCGTTTGGCCAAAGAGCAGGTAGAGTCTCTGCTGGAGGACAGACGGATTAAAACAGAGGAGGCACAGGCAAAGCGGCAGAGAGACCAGGAGCGGATCACCGCTCTGACTGACAAGTGGGTCTTATAATGTTTACGATGTCTACATTTTTAGTTGTTTAATACTCCTAGAAGAGCTGGGTGTATTTTTTTGAATTTATCAATACCTTCTGCCTTCTTTTTGAAGTGATACTTTGGATGATAATAAATCTTCATACTGTCTATAGTGTATAACTGTCACTTCCTTTCACATTTGACACTTTAGGCTTCAACGTACCCAGAACCTGTTGTATGAGAGCACAAGAGATTTCTTACAGCTAAAGTTTGACTCACGCGGTCATGAGAAGAGCTGGATGGTGGAGAAGGACCGGCTGCTGAGGGACCTGGACTCCTGCCACAACCGTCTGAGGAAGGCCGGGTCTGCTGGCGCTGAGCTGGGCCGGGCGTGGCAGCCCAGCAGCAGCAGCACAGCCCTGCTCCTCCCGCGGCCTCAGCCTGAGTCTCAGCAGACACTCAAAGAGGAGCTAAAGGTAAAGTCATGTGTATATGTTAATTGTAGGACATAAGAAGACATTCCTGCTAACCCATACATTTTTTAGAATAGAATAAATATTGTCAACGTTTGACCTTGATTAAAAAATGTCAGTAGCTTATAGTCATTTGTCTTTACCTTGTGCTATTTCATCAGGTAATGCAGGAGGATCTGAAGCAAGCCCACCGTCTGGCAGAGATGTACCGGGAGCAGTGTATTACTCTGGAGACAGATCTGGCCCAAATCAGAGAGGAGGGAGATGTGGGCAGGGAAATATTTAAGGTACCATGTTTGGACTGACGCTTATGTCTGTAAAATTCATGCGCATCTCTGATCTATTTTGTGATGATTCCCATGTTTCATCTAACTGACGTTTTCCTGTTATGAAATATTTCTGTGTGCAGGACCGTTCAGATAAAATGGCCAAGCGTCTTCAGCTAATGACTCAGCGCTATGAGGCGCTGGAGAAGAGGAGGGTCATGGAGGTGGAAGGCTTCAAGACTGACCTGAAGCACCTCAGACAAAAATTCAAAGATGTTGAAAAACAGCTCCTCAAGGTGAAAAGCCTTTGGGGTTTCCCAGTAGTCTTACATTGTTGTTTACATTTTTTTTTTTTTTTTTAAAGTTTACAAGAAAGTTATATTGTGATTTCAAGATAACAGGCTTGATTAAATAAGTAATTTAGTTAAAATAGTAAAACACGATTGAGAAAACTTCTTCCTCTTCCCTCTGCCTTCCATACTCCTGTTATTAGAAAATTATCATTATCACTGCTTAACTGTGTATATATGTATTCACTACTAACATATACTTATTTTCTGCTTCAGGTTACACTAAATATTGGGCCCAACCAGGACTTAGCTATTCTGCATGAAGTACGCCAGACCAACACCAGAACAAAAAAGGTTCAGGGTGAGCTGATGGCCCTGAAGGCTAAAATATACGGGCTGGAAAATGAGCTGAGATTTAGCTGAAGAATGGACAGTGATGTGTTGTGTTTGCCTATTGAGGAGAATCTCTGTGAGGTTTATCCCAAACATACATGTGTGTGCTACTGTGTTTATTACTGAGACCTGGATTGAATGTTATTTCTATGTCGTATTTTGGACCAATAAAGATGTTTTATTACAATGATTTTAAATCAGTGAACACCCACAATTATTTACAGAATGAATTCTGCAAGCAGCAATAGGCTTCTTCACAGCAGCCATTTTGACTTGTCATAGTCAGAAAATTACAGGTGTTACTAATAACATTAACAATGGTTCTGAGTTGGCATGAATAATGCTTTATTGTGTCTTTTTATCATCCTCACTATGCTAATACTAACTACAACTTTCACACTAAGAATAACCAAAAATGACATAGGAAATACCTGGTAATTACAGCACCAATAATAACATATCTTGGCACTAAGTCATTTTACCTGTCCTCACCACAAATTACCTGTAAAAACTGGCACCAGTTTCATCAGTGAATTCAACTGTTTGTTTCACCAAATCAAAGTATTTCTCTGGTCTTTCAAGATAACTGACATTAATGTGAAAAAATTAGCAAAAGCAGTTATGATATGATGATGATTTTAATTTTCTCAATTTCTGTACTCAACAGTACTTTACAAGTTGACAGGCTATGAAAAGCAAATTTCAGTATAGCACTTTATCTCTCACTGCTATGCAGGTGTTTAAAATCCCCTTTGAAGTGTAATTTTAGTTTCTTAAAAAGCTTCATCACCACATCTCAATTTTGTAAATTGTCTTTCAGATTAGCTGTGATATAATGTACAAGTCTTAAACTCAGAATTATACTTCACGCACGGACCCATTTTGCACAAAAGTGTCAGTTGTAAACGAGATGAGTGAGTGATTCAGTTTCATTTCCGCAAAAAATAGAAACCGGTGGGATATGTGACGTAATGCCGTACCAGGAAGTTTTACGTACTGCGCTTGCGCGTCCATTGTCATTAGCGGCTGTGTTACTGTGTGAATGATGGCAGCTACACCAACAGCATGAAGAGAGTGCGCAGAGTGGAGGATTGACCCTCGATATGACCCATTTCTTCAGTCGCCACATTTGCTAAGTAGACAGTTACCGTTAGCTTGACTGTGTCTGTACCAGTGTCTCTTCTACCCGCCGGCCTTTTCCCACTGGTGTCTGGAGAAATGCAGAGATTGCGGTCTTTGAAAAGGGGCTGGCAGCTGCTGAAGTCAAGCTGTGAGGGAGCAGCAAAACATGTAAACACCTCGCCTTCGTCCTCAAGAAATTATAGCCATGTAAGTGAATGCCTTATTCAAACTTAATTGAAACTAAAACGAAAGTGAACGGACTCAAAGTGAAGAAACTGTCATGCACGTTTCGTCTTTTAATAACTTAGCTGATGTGCTCAATATTAAAGTGGATAAGAAATGTAGCGTGAGAGTGGCACCATGTTGAGGCTAATCACAGCACACACACTGATTACTATGGTGTGTGGTTCACCTAACATTTACAACCTCGGTTATTACTATCTACTTCTATTCACCCACTTTACTCATCAGCAAGTTATCCACTGCAGTAAAACTCTGATTTGTGATTTATATACTCTGGGAACAAAGTCTCACCCAGTTCCCTGTGTCTGAAGTGACGAGATCATGGCGAATGCTCAGCCTGTAGTATTGCCACAAGTTAATGAACAACGTTATGTTTTTATACTGCACATGTCCCCACTCTCTGGCCCAGCTCCATCCTCAGGGCTACAACTCCTTTGGGCTCCTCTTTGACATAGATGGGGTGCTGGTGCGAGGCAGGACACCGATCCCTGCAGCCAAGCAGTGCTTCAGGAATCTGGTGGACCGCAATGGGAAATACAAAGTGCCTGTGGTGTTTGTCACAAACGCCGGGAACTGCATGAGGCAGACCAAAGCTGAACATCTGTCACATCTGCTTGAGGTTGAGGTAAACTGAACATCTTTTTAAATCACTGCAAGTGTCCTCAGCTTGCTTTTTTTTCTGCTTTACATCAGTCTTTTTCTCTGTGCTCCTTTCATGTCAGGTGTCTCCAGACCAGGTGATGCTGTCCCACAGTCCTTTGCGAATGTTCACTCAGTTCCACAAAATGTGTGTGCTGGTGTCGGGACAGGGTCCTGTGGAGGAGGTCGCTCACAAGTATCCTGTCTTAAATCAGGGACTCTGGTTCCTGCACTCTGTCTGGATGTTGACCTTAAAACTGTTCATGTTCTGTTTATTCAGTGCATTTTTGTTCATGTCCTACTTTGTTATCAGTATTTAATCTTTGTACCCTTTGTTCCCTTTGCGTCCTGACAGTCTCGGTGGGGGCTTTTTCATTGATTTCTTTTCTTTTTCTTTTCGAGGAATAGGTTGGAGTTTTTCCCTTTTCTTATTTGGGATTAGTTGTTATTAGTTCACTGAGTCAAAGTGTGAATGTTTGGATTTCACTTTATGAGTAAATCAGTGGTTGATCAATTCCTGGTTTGGTGTGACAAAACCACCCTGTGTTGGTCTAAACTGAGACACATAGGTGATATACAGTGGACAGATATTTTAAAGTAATTTAAACAAATTACGAGGACCAGTGACAATGAATTGCAAGATTGCCACTAGGTGGTATCCAAGACTATTTTTTGGACACAAGTATCGACCTTACATCTGCTTTGTGGCTCATAACTCCACTTGTGTTTGACTTTAACCTACCAAAATTCAGCCTGGGCTTTCAAGATGTTGTGACTATAGATATGCTCAGAGAGGCATATCCGCTACTGGATGTCGTGGATCACAACAGAAGGCCCAAAGGCAGTGTGAGTATTACCACTAAGGCCAATTTATGTTCAGTCACAGATGAGTTAGACATCTTACCAGTTGTGTAAAATGTCTTACAGATTCCACCCACCAAAGGCTTACGGCCAATAGACGGTATGTTTCCAAAGACAGTCAACACTGTAGCTATAAGTGTCATGCTTAACAATGAATAATAATGAATGCATTTGTGACTGTCTTTTATATAATTTCCTTATTCACTGGTTTGTTCCTACAGCTGTCATCTTATTTGGCGAGCCAATCAGATGGGAGACCAACCTCCAGCTTATCGTTGACGTGCTCCTAACAAACGGGAACCCAGACAATACCTGGAGCTCGATGCAGTACCCTCACATCCCGGTCCTGGCCTGTAACATGGACCTGCTGTGGATGGCCGAGGCGAAGAATCCTAGGTAAGGTACATATGTGTCAAAAATACACGTTACATTGTAGATCAACCCCTGAAACGCTGTTATAAAATTTGAATAACTACAGCGTTATTACCTTGAATGTCCCTGTCTCATAGGTTTGGTCACGGTATGTTCCTGGTGTGCTTAGAGAGCCTGTACAAGAAGGTCACAGGCCATGAGCTGAAGTACGAGGCTCTTATTGGTAAACCTAGCGTGGTGACTTATAACTACGCTGAGCTGCTGATCAGACAGCAGGCTGAGAGACTAGGCTGGACCTCACCTGTGAAGAGGCTCTATGCTATAGGGTGAGACACTCATCACTCAGAATCATGTTCCTTTTTTTCCTTTTTCTAACACCAAAGCTTTGATTTGAACTAAAAGCTCCTTTTAATATGTTGACTTTCTTGTCTACAATCACAGCGATAATCCCATGGCTGATATATACGGAGCCAACCTCTACAACCGCTACCTCCAAGCTTCCTGGTCCACCAAGGCCCAGAAGCAGGCTAAGAGTGGCGGAGGAGGTGTAGATCCCTTGGCCGATACTGTTGATGATGCACCTAAAATGACATCAGCAGAGCTCGGCGGAGCGTCCAGTGTTTACGGGGCAGAGGAGGACCTCCCAGAGGGGTGCAGTTCCATCCTGGTGTGCACAGGAGTGTACAGCAGGGACCAGCAGGAGCTGCTCTCAGACACAACACAAACAGTCACCGAGCAACAAATCTTCCACGGCCACCGGGACTTCCGCTTTGACCCCAGCCTCACACAGCCGTCCTTCGTGGTGCAGGATGTAAAGGAAGCAGTGGAGCTGGTGTTCCAGCAGGAGGGCTGTCCTCTGGAGTAGGACGAGCCTCTCAAACTCTGGCTCCATCTCACAGCCTTCCAGTAAACAGCTCTAACACCTCGTAACCAGTAGCAGCAGAAGCTTTGTGAGAGTGTTTGTTTTTTTTCCTAAATCAAATCCCCTGATTATCACAGGGGAGATGTAGCTGTTACTGTGGCTAGTTCTAATAGATTTTCATAAAGTGCCATAGATTCAGCTGCACAAAGCAAAATATGCAGTTTTAACACCAAATATAGGAAAGTTACAATTACAGAAGTTTTACGTTGGCCCTGCATGATAGTGTGTCAGAGACTGCTGTAATATTTTTTATACCTCTCACACACAACACAAACTTATCGGTTTCTAATAGTTCTAGCTACTGCATAAATGTAGTCAAGGACTCAAGTTCAGCAAGTCTGTCCTTTTTTGCCTTTGTACAAAACAATCTTAAATCAGCTGTCTTTTAAAAACATACAGATCATCTAGGTGTTAAGTTGCATGCATTTTTACTATGTTCAGACTTTGGTAAAGTATCTGTCAGTTCATCGATGAGAGCTGAGATACAGTTCAAACAGTTACACCTTTAGCTGTATAAAGTTCAGATTGATCGAGAAAGAGCTCTGCAAAGATAGATTTGTTGGTTCATCTGTGACAATACCACATATTGTCCAGATAAAGATGAATTTTATGCTTTGCACAATAGCCTACCTAACTGGGTCATTTTTCCTTTCCAAAATATACACCCCCCAGCAGGTCTTAACTAGACCACTTCTGCTGTTTGTTTTTACTGCTATCATATTTCAGCTTGTATTTGTTTTTAAGTTAGGGTGGATATGTAACCACTAATACTGATGAGATTAAATAACCAGGTTTCAGTTAAGTACCTCATCAGTTTTGATTTTTAGCCTTAATCAGGAGTATGATGATTTAATTTTAAAAAACAATGTCGTCTTATTTTGTTAATTGGTCAGAATTATACAAAGTACCACGGTTTCCACAGAAATGAAAAAGGTGCTATTTTTTTGTCAACTGGTTGTAGTTGGGAAAATTTTATGAACGGTTAATGTGAATGTCTGTATTAGAAGACTGCCTTGGGAGAAAATTACGGTGGCAGCACTAGAGAAAATTTCATATAGTGCTAGTGTTTTATATTTGTAACTGAACAGGTATAACAGTGTATGATTTGCAGGTGACTTCAATTGCAGGTTAAAAGTGTGGAACTTTGGTAACGTACTGTAAAAGCCATACTGTATAAAAGAACAATTAAAAAGGATGAAAGACACAAAAAGTTGTCAAGTGAAAACTTTCTGTTAGTGTGTACAGACTCTTCCAGCAGTGGTGTGGTTTGTAACACTGGAGTCATTACCACATTACCCATTTAAAACCTCTGTTAAACTGATTCTACTAACTATAAATATTAAAATTCAAAACATATACAAAACCTATATTCACACACACACACACACACACACACACACACTGCAACATATGTAGTTTCTCAAAAAAAAAAAATCTAATGCAAATAGCCTCCCTTCCCTTGTAGAGGAACTTTTCAAACACACACGTACATTGAGTATTCAAGCTGCCACCACTATTTTTCAAGCAATTCTTAATGGACACGTCCCTGCTTCAATGCGCTCAGCACCCACACTTCTTATCTGAGGACACAGTACCATGGACTGGGTGGGAGCTGTTACTCAACATGAACTGAGATGAGTCTTGAGAGGCCTCATCTGTGATGGGCATGCCATTCCGTGCCAGCAGCTCCCGGGCCATGAGGATGAAGGCCGCCTCCACGTTCTGGGCCTCCTTGGCTGAGGTTTCTAGAGCAGCAAGAACATTGTTGTTTTCTGCCAGAGTGCATGCATCCTCGAACAACACCTGCCTCTGAGCATGGAGGTCTGACTTGTTCCCTGCAGTGGTGAACAGAAGAGGGATAAGTGGATTCAGGTATTTATAGCTATCAAGTTATCAGAGCTGAATGATCTGAAAAAGAGCCCAGTAACCGGCACATAATGCAAATAACTAATAACCCAAAAGAACAATAAAAATAGGGCTGGTAGTTTATTATCTGCCTATTATGTTCTTGATAGTTTCTCGTTTGTAAAATATAAAAAAAACACACAAATTTATCCAAATTATTAGTCCAAATTCCAAATCCCACAAAATATTCAGCTTATCATTCAGTTTTTTATCATATACAAAGAAAAGCATCAAATCCTCACTGAGAGGCTTGAACCAGACAGTGTCTAGAATTTTACTTGAAAAATTACCAAAATGATTAATTGATCATCAAAATAGTTTTCTATTTATAATAATTTTCTGTTGATTGACACATCGATTCAGTGACTTATTGTTTCAGCTCTAAATAAAACACATGGTTCCACTCATCTGAATGTAGCAACCCTGTTGCTCACATGTAGAGCTGTAGCTCCTTTGTATCATGGTGAGAAACAGCTGATATAACCAAGTCTCTACAGGTCACACCAGAACTATAAAACACGAACAGAACTAATAAAAAAAAAACACAATAGAAACTATAATTTGGTAACAAAATATTCTTATGGATGCAGCTAACATAAATTTTCGACGTTGAGTAATCAAAAAAATTTTTGTCTCTTCGTCTCATCATTTGGTCTGTTTAACATCAAAACTTGTGGAAAAAGAGGTAGAGTAGAATTTGTATAAATGCAAATTTGAACCCGACCCAGTCTAAGCAATGATTGCCAGATCATGTGTCTTATGTAAAAAAAGTAATTTTAATGAACATATATAGAACGTGGGTAATGGGTGGTTCAATGGAGGGGGACTTCAGCTCATCTGACAGGGCGGAGTGGGGTACCATCATGGAAACCACTGGTGTATTGTGTCCACTTACTTGCTCCTTTCGCTACACCTACAGTCTAAATATGTTTCAGGTTTACTGACCAATGTATTTTATTTCTTCTTACCAATGAGTATCAGCACCACACTGGCAGCTCCATACTGCTCCACCTCCCTGATCCAGTGGGGAACCGATTCAAATGTGCCGCGGCGTGTGATGTCATAGGCTACCATGGCTCCATGGGCGCTGCGGTAGTAGCTCTGAGTTATGGTGCGGAATCGCTCCTGTCCAGCTGTGTCCCACACCTGCATCTGTAATAACACACAAAACACAAATCAATACAATTTGACTTAAATAGCTACAAATGTGGATCAAGTAAGTAAATAAACTTATTAAGTTATTCAGTCCTTTTTGAACAGCTTCTGTGTACAGAACCCAAAACTAATTAGCATAACAAGACATCCATGCAGTTAACAAAAGAGCACACCCAGAAAGCTAACACACAGATGTTATCATCTGACAGAAGCAGTGAGCCACTCCTCTGTCCTCTAAAGGAAAAACACACTGATTAACTGAAACAAGCAGAGGGATTACTTATGTTAAGACAAGAGTAAGAACATAGGCCCATCTCACGTATCCATGTTTTTGTTAATTTATAAAAAAAATTACATGCATATCACCTACCTTCACTCTCTTGCCATCGATGTCCAGGGTACGAACAGTAAAGTCGACCCCAATGGTGTTTTGCTGTTTCTCAATGAATATACCAGACTTGAAGCTTTGGACCACGCAGGTCTTCCCCACATCCGAGTCCCCAACCAGGATGATTTTGAATAGAAAGTCAAAAGAGTCCTCAATCTCTGGATCTGCAGACTGCATGGTGAAGGGAGGAACACACACATACAAAAAACACTGAGGCTGAAACACTGGATCCAAGACCTTTGTGCCTCAATGCAACAGACCTAGTTTTCTTCCAAGTTGCGTCAATAATAACTGAGACTATTTACAGAAACAGCAGTTACATCCTTGTTAGAAAAAGGGGTAAACTACCAGCTGTAGTAAAACAGTCCATGTGGTTCCAGTTGAATGTGTGATCCACAGGTGAAGCTGTCCCAGTCAGACAAAAAAAAAAACACCTGATACTATGAATAATCTTAAAGCTAAATTCAGTTCTATTCAGAAAAGAACACCAAAATCAACTTAGTTATCCCATAGTAGAGGATTCAAATTCCTTTTCTTCTGTACAGCAAGTGAAAGTCAGCATTCAAAAGCTTTGTTTTCTTCATCCTGTACTCGTTTCCATGTCTACCTTACACTTTCGGTCTAATTCCTGAAGACCTTAGAACAAGTGTAGTCTCTACTTCTGCCCTTTAGACTGTCACTTTCTGCCCTCTGTGCTTTGCCCCACTCACATACATGTGTCATTCTGAGACAATTTAAGACACGCCTCCTACCTGTCTTGGTAGGTGTGATCTCCAACTGCCAGCCCACCTGCACCACTGCATCTTGGGATAAGGATTTTCTACTCAGGCTCTGTAATGGGACACAATACCTGGAAGAGGGAGAGATAAAAGTCAGTTACTTGAAACATCACTTATTGAAAGCACTGTGTGTAGACAGATGTAGGCAAGATTGAGCAATACTTTGCGTTGTCATAAATGGGTTAAGACCTAATATATTTAACTAATTAAAATTCTAAGTACACAGAGAGCAAATTTGCTGGAGGCTTACTTTGAACAGAGCCATAACTCTTTATGGAAACAGTTTTACTTAAAAGGCTCAATGTGTAAATACCTGATAAGCAAACAGCTCAAACCACTCCTACAGTTTAACTACTCCTGACAGAATGTAAACACCTGACTTCTTTGTCTTAGCTGCCGTCCTTTGGACCCAGGAATCTTTCTTTGTGCATTTAAAAACGCCCTACATAATCAGTGTCCTCATTATGAGCCCCCTCACTGACTACTGTCAACTAACACATTCCACAGCCGTCAACAGAAAGGGGTTAACCGTGGACGAAGACAGCCCAACACACAACAGACAAAAATACAATGCAATGGAGATAAAGATGGTTATTCTAGAATAAAGTGTAATTGAAATCATTTTACCTCAGGCTTCATTTATTGACATCAGAGTGAGATGCTAACACAGAATGAGCTCTGAATCTGAATCATTCTCTCTCCCTCTCTATGTGTCTCTCTCCACCCCCTCACTTGTTTCTGTCGTCATCTCAGCCCACAGAAGAACAAGGCACAGCTGGACACAGAACAATGTGTGTGAGGGGCACTTGACCAAGCTGGGTCTATCTTTGGCTGTGACCACGAGCCACGTTCTTTCTGTAGTGCCGTTGTGTGTGGTTTGTGCCTTATTAAATGCAAAGAAATGTGGTTCTGTTGACCACTCAGTGATAGAAAAAAGAAGACAGGGACAAGAGCCAAAAAGAAATGTTTATACTCTCTTTATCGTAATAAAAAACTGATTCAATTTACATAATATAAAAGAAAATGTTCCAAGCTTTTAAATGTGCATGTAGCCATCACAACCTAAGTAATAACAAGTTATAAACTATGAACATCTGTATCTGTGTGAACATTCTAAAACCTGAACATTTAGACATTAAATTGGAGTTAGTACATCATTACAAGTTCCTCCAGTATATAAATCAAATACAATAATGAAAATTAGTACATGTACTGCATTACTGCAGCCATATAAGAGAACAGAAATACTTCTGTGACACATCAGAGCGTCTGTTCAAGACTTGTGGTGGTTTGAATGAGTCGAGATGAAGTCACAGACGTCAGTCTGCTTTGTCATCTCCTCTGCAGCAATTGTGCTGTTCTCACAGTGTTTCTGAGTCTAAAAGCAGTGCTGGGGCTTTGTTGGCTTTTTCTCTGTTTCTGAGGTTTCTTGCCAGACGTCTTACTCAGTGATGTTTCTGGAGGAGGGACGTGAATCGGTTTCCATGGGATCGGATTGTAGAAGCTGGGTGATGGGTAGGATTTGTCATAGGGACCTGAAGGAAATCAAACCGATACAATACTGATACATAACAAATATCAACACGGCAAATAAACTGATTAGTTAAAATCACACTGAAAGCAGTCCGAAACCAACGTAAAAAAAAAAAATACTACTACTACTTAAGACTACTATTCCTGACAAATTTGCATGAAATCATAGATTTTTATCATATGTCAGTTAATCCAAAAATGCTAAAGCATGGTTAATAATTCCCAGATAACTGAAATGACCTTACTTGTTGGGTAGCTATGTGATTTTGGACTTCCTCTGCTTTTTTCATTGGTTTTTGCCAGCCATTCCTTAAACCTCTCCTCTGCCCTCTTGCGGCGCTCCTTCTCCTGCTCTTCCTTCAGGGCTGCTTCCTCCTGTAAAGAGAAAAAAATCTCTCAGAATCTGGCTGTTTTGTCATTAACATTAGAATATTTTTATAAAATGAAAAATAACCAGAAAAAAAACACATTACTTTCTCCTTCTTTTCTTTTTCTATTTTTTCTTGGTTCTTCTTCTGCAGCCAGTCTTTGTACTTCTGCTGAGCTTTCTGTTCAATCTGCCTCTGTTTTTCCAACCGTCTCTGTATCTCCTCCTCCTCTTTGCTCTGTTTTACAAGCTGCTCATGCTTCTCCTGGGATTGTAAGAAAAAAAAGATTAGAGAAATGACAACTGTAGACCACTGTAGCATCATTAAGAGAAACTGTGATTTTGTTTAGTTTAAAGAAGCAGTTCTGTACCTGTTCTTTTTTCAACTTAAGCCATTCGTGAATCTTCTCTTCCATGACAATCTTTTTCCGTTCCTGTTCCCTTTCTTGCTGTTTTGTCTTTTCTTTGAGTAGGCGCTCCTAAGTCATAGGGTATAAAACGTTGTAGTCAGAGATGCAACCCATGTGCAGTAATAAAAATGGTAATCACTAAAACAAAGCAAAGGAAGAAAAGTAAACACTACTGTGATAGAAACTATGAGAAACAGTGGTTTGCCTCTTCTGCTTTCTTTTCCAATTTGAGCCGGTCCTCTTTGGCTTTGTTCACCAGCCACATTTCCCATGCACTCAGACTAGGTGAGGCTGCTGGCTGCAGGGCAACGCTGAACATCTGCTGTGTTTTAGGTAGCTCACATCTATAACGAAAACAAATGTACAGTTATGCATATTCTGCTCTATACATGTTACCTGTCTGAATCACGCAGTCTATGATATTTTACTCGGCTAAGAAGGTATCTCAGGTTTTAAGCATTCAGCTGTACCTGACTGGTGAAACGCTACGTCCGGAGTTTTCGCTCGGCCTGGGAGAAGTCTGCTGAGCTGGGCTTGGCTCCAGGTCCTCTTCATCGCTGTCAAAGCTGTCATGATAGATGGGAGAAAGCAGGGAAAATGTGTCTTCGTCGTCGGATACGACTTCCTCGTCCAAGTGTCTGGAAGTGTGCAAGATTTTCCCCCGGCTGGTCTTGACGGGGGTCGAACTGAAGCCCTCGTGTGCAGAAGCAGGACCTTTCGGCATCCTCCCTGTCGACATTACAAACCGATGTCTGCTGCGGAACACATAATGTCGACACATGGGTACGTTTTGCATAAGTTGTGAGTGGCTTTTATCTGTGTTAACTGAAGTCAAATAAAGCTATGCAACTTTACAGCAAGGCAAAACATACAAACACAACTAACTAGCTTGTTTGACAATCACGTTAATAGTTTGTTTTCACGGTTAGCACAGTGGGGCTAACGTTAGCGTTCGCTAGCTGACTTAGCTTTAGTATAATCTAACCTGCTACGAACGTTTCATGCTAAGTACTGCCTAAGTCCACAATATATTTGTGCAGTGTATCCAGTCATATCTGAAAGAAATTACAATATTTGGTTGTCTACCTTTGGGCGTATACTTGAAGAAAAGTGTCGCTGTAGTTCTCGTGTCTTTCTCCACTTTTGCAACTGATTTGTTAGCAACTTCGTTTCCCATGATACACCACGCCCCCACGCTCAACTGAACGCTTTTTCTGTAACCATGGAGATGTGTAACGCCTTTTTAATACACACTTTTGTCTCTCCAACATATGTTTTCAGTCATAAAGCGAGTGTTTTAATGTGTCTGTTGGTCGTTTACAACTAAATTGGTTTCCTGTTTATTTACTCAAATAAGCATGGAATGTCATATAAACACATGTTCAGTTTACATCTATTTTTAGTGCGTATACAGTCCTTATATATTTTAATTTTTAATCCCTTAATTTTCATCTTACAATTTTACCCCCGATTAAGAATTTTTCGTTGACTTCCTACTCAATTATACACTTTCTAACCATTGTAAGACAATATTTGGCCTATAACAATCTTGTTACAATTCATAAGCAAGACTGATGATCCCCCTATTCATATCAGACTGTGAAATGCAAAATAAGCTGTAGCTAATGTCTCTTCATGACAAAAAGGATTAAGGACCTTTACAGATGATCCTGCTTTACATATTTGGGAGTTGTAAGTGTTACAACAAGAAGATTCTTTAAAATTATTCATTTGTTCTTATTTTGGTGATAGATATTTTGGGCACACCAAAAATTTCTGAGTTAAAACTTAGAGGCAAATAAACAGAACTATTTAGGTGATCTATATGTTTTATAACTGGAAATTATTCCCTTACTTTAGTGAACATGTACTCTCTTATTGTGTGCTGGCCTGGGCTGTGCATTGTTCTTCAAGCAACCAGTTTACAGCCTCCTGTAATAACAGACAGTTGTTGTTTATCTAGCTGCGCTGACCTAGTTGAAGTTAACCTGCTCATGCACTCAGTCTCAATCTCACTTAACATTATCAGTCTAATTACCAGCAGGCGAGCCACGCTTAGCTCGTACACTGATGGACTGCTTTCACAAAGCAATGTGACATTTTGTGAGTGTTTGTAATAACCTGCAGCACAAAATTAATTTTTTTGTTGTTGTCTTTTGTCTTTTAATGCTACATATGCAACATTGTGTATTCTTGATTTTTGTCATTTAATCTGTGACTATGGTTGTTGCAAGCAGATACTGTTAGTTTAACCGAATTAAAAAAAAAAAAAAAACATTTTAAAATTGAGAGCTAACAGTCTAGAACTAAATTATAGTGATTCAATCATTAAAGAAAAAAACAAAACAACAATATCATGTCTGTATCTTGCTGGTAATTATAGAAATATTTCTGGGATCCTTTCTAAATAGCTCCCATCCATCACTCTTCCTGGATGCAATTTCGTCCATAGTTCTGAGTAAGATCATGACACAGAAGGATAATCAGCCACCAGCACGTGCAGAATGCAGGTAGGTGTGTCTGATCCCATGTGTCTCCAGTCCAGCTCCACAGTCACACCAAGGTGAGGGATTCCAGCTTTACCAATGCTGGTCCCATCCTCACAGGCCAGTTCCCATTCAGAGCTTTGCATGGTCTAATACGGACTGCGCCCCAGCAACCAGCTCGCTGGCCAGGTGGTATGGTGGAAGGAGAACTTCAGAGAATGCCAGGCAGAAACCAACTGCGACGAGTCTCCCAGACCCCTTTTCCAGACCAGGCGCCTCCAAGGAAGTCTCGCAAGAAGCTACAAGTTATCATCTGTGTGCTCCTTGTGGAGTTGTTTGAAAGATTCACTTTCTTTGGGATTGTGTGTAACATGATTCTCTTCTGCACTGTGAAGCTGGGCTATGATAACTACCTGGCTGCGACAGTTAACCTGTGCTTTATAGGCGCCAGCACCCTGACCCCTGTCCTGGTTGGGTGGTTTGCAGAAACCTGCTTAGGAAGGACTAAAGTGCTCTACTTGTGTGCTGTTCTTCATTTCTTTGGTAAGATATAATGGGTTGGGTTTGATGCATGTTGTCCGATGTGAAAAATTTGAAACTGTGTGACTATATGATCTTGGACAGAATATTTCTGTTATAATGCAAAATCAGTGTAAGGCTTAACATTACAAAGGTTATCTGTGATGAACTGCTGTTCATGTAATATTTGTAATATTTTTGCATACAAATCTACCGAGTGGGTCAAATCTGCCACTCTAAAAACAATATATGTATATGTAAAATGAACAAGGAAGATGTACGATCATCTGACATATTATGAATCTCAACCTTTAATGTGAGCTAATTTCAAGAGTGTTAGTAATTCTGTTTACGTGTCATGGCTCTGCATCTGTGAAATCGAGCTGTAACCAGATGGCATGAGCTTCACCTGTCATTGTACATTCTAGGTACAGCCATGCTGCCCGTGGTGGCATTTCCCTTCGAAGATTTCTACATCGATACTCATCACATGACGCACCAGCTGGAACCTCGGGAGCAACAGATCCTCTTCTACACCGGCCTCCTGGCTGCTGCGCTGGGCATCGGTGGCATCCGGGCCATCCTCTGCCCCATGGGAGCCTACAACCTGCAGGGCTACAACCAGCACCAGCTCCTGTCCTTCTTCAACTGGTGGGTGGTGTTGCCATGTGAATGCAGTCATTCACTAGGTTAGCCAATGATCGGACTCCAAACAATCCACTGATATTATTTCCATGATCAGTTTTAGGATCATTTAAGAAATTTTCTTAATGATGATCTTTACAGTTCAGGGATTGTGCATGGGGATACACTATGTTTTTGATAAAAGAGGCTGATCATCCTGTTAGATTATGAGATTTTGTTTTTATTTCGTTAACATTTACTTATTGCACCACTCCCATTTTGGCATGAGGGTGGTGCTTTTGGAATGTTCATGGTGTTCAAAATAGAGAGGTTCATCCTCTGGGGAAAATTAACATGCTCAGGATATATCCCAACCATCTGCCCTCTACATTTCTATATTTTGTGACACTTATCCATACATGGCAATTTGGCCATATACATACATATACATAGCTTTAGGATATATACTGTAGCCAATGATAGGTTGACATTCCAGTCTGACTAATCAACCAATACCAACATACTGATGCACTGTTACTACAGTAGTAAAAATATTAATGTTTTATTATATATGTACTATAAAATACTACATAATATTATCTTAGAATATACTACATAATATTATTATATTAATATAAAATCTTAACTAAAAATATTAATGAAATAACTTATTCTAAGATTTGTTTTCATTACATTTAGGTTCTACTGGTTGGTGAACCTGAACTCCACTATTGTGTTTCTGGGTATTGCTTACATCCAGCAGTCTGTGGCCAAAAATCTGGGCTTTCTTATCCCCTTCACCTCTGTGCTACTGGCTCTCATTGCCATACATATGATGCGCAACAAACTCACCTACAAACCCAAGAAAGGTAACATATAGAGAAAAAGAGACAAAGAAACAGGTATTCAGGCACACAGCTTGAATGAACACGTCTGCAACCTCACACTGTTCTTTCATGTGTCCATCGTAGGTGGATCTTTACTGACCACACTGGGAGTCTTCCTGAACTCTTTCAAGATGTGCTGCCTCCACTATCGGCACCTGAGTGGCGATGTGGCGTCTTGGCTGGACCGGGCCAAGGAGAACAATGGTGGCCGTTACAGTGAGACGCATGTAGAGAACGTCAAAGTCCTGGCAAAGCTCTTCCCTCTTTACGGGCTTCAGCTGCTGTACAGAGCCTGCATCACACAGGTAGGCCACTAGGAACATAATGGTTCTTTTTCTTCTTCTTTTTTTTATCAGAATCATTTCCCTATATGAATGTTAAAGAATATGTTTCCCATAGATTCCCTCAGGTTACTACATACAGACAATGAACTCCAACCTTCACCTGAATGATCTCCTGCTGCCCATCGGAGCTATGAATGTGATCAGCATCCTGCCTGTGCTGCTCTTGGCCCCGCTGATGGAGTGTGTCACCACCTGCTACCTCTCTATGGAAAAAACTCCTTTGGCCCCTGCAAAAATCATTAGTGAGTTATCTCCACATATGCAAACCCCTGCTGATGCACACATAAGTTTTATGTCTTCAGCTAAGCATCCCTTTGTCTCTCTTGCTCTTCTACCTCTCTCATCCTCTCTCCTTTCCTCCTGTAATCACAACCCCCCATTCTACAGCCCCCTCTCTCATCATCCCACTCTGTCCATCCTCCCCTTCCAGCTCTGGGCCACGTGTGTGCCACTCTGTCAGTCCTGGTGGCAGGTTTGTCTGAGCTGCAGAGGAAGACTTACCCTCTGGTGGAACAGACGCTGTCTGGAAAGGTCCTGCAAGTGTCGTCCATGCCATGTTTCCAGCTGGCACCCCAATACATCCTGCTTGGTCTGGCAGAGGCTCTTGTCACCCCTGCATGTGAGTAAGGCACTTAAGCTGTTCATGATTTCACGTGATACTGGTCGCATATATTCTTTTGATGAATCTTCCCAAACACTCTGAATTTGCCAAATTAGCACAAACCAATTGATGCATGATCAGGGAGTTCATGTGAGTTGCTTACCTTTCATGGTAATGATGCCTTGCATGTCACAAATATGGAGAGAAGATGATCAGACATTTCCGCCGTCACTTCCTCTCTGGCAGGTTCCCTCATATCTTTCCAGCTGACTCCAAGCCACATCAGAGGCATCTCCCTGCACTTCCTCACTCTGTCCTATGGAGGGGGCTGCTTCCTAGGAGCCTTTATCGTTCAGCTGGTGTACTTTCTCTCTGGAGGTAAAAATGAAAAAACTTTTTGGAATTCATCATTGATGCTGATTTGACCACAACTATATTTCATTACAGGTAACTTCTACCCAAGCATGCTGCATGATGGGAATCTGGAGAGATTCTTCTTCCTCTTGGCCACACTGATGGCTATAAATACCCTTGTATTCTGGAGTGTATCTTACAGGTACAGTGTTATTTTTAACTACCTTGACTATATGGTGGAATAAAGGTTCAAATAGGTTATTAATTTTGCATAAGAATGTTGTCATGTATGGATTGAAGTGAGTTACCCATGTTCAGTTCCATTACAGATCATTCTAATGTGCTTTTCAACAACTAGTAAAGACATTTTGTGGAAGATTGGGGCAAAGTTTGACTTTAAAAGGTTGTGATTCATGGCTCTAAGTGTATTTTCTTGTTACCTTGATGTTGCCCAGGTACATAGACCTGAGTGTGCGGGGCAAAGCACTGACCCTCAGCCCACTGACTGAGAAACTGCGGCATTACAAAGCCTTCCTGCGCTTCTATGACACCGTGGATCGCTCCTACACAAACACCTCCTTTGAATCCATTTTATGACCGTCTTCATTGTGACTTCTACTGTGAGTGGCGCTGGCGCTGCATGTTACTGTGTCAAAATCTGTAACTTGGGAAATTGTGGGCTGAACTGTATAATTGAAATACATGGAATGTACATATTTTTGTTGCTTTTACAATTATGTAATAACAGTAAATACAGAATTTCACATCTAATCAAACACAAAAATGTAAATAACCACATTAAATCAAATAAACAATAGACATATCATTAGAAAAGCATCGTCTTCTATTTGAGCATATTAAGCTAAAGCAAAGTCATTCTGCTTGCTTGATGGACTGACTGATTTTTCTGATAATTAAAAATACAAAATAAACACAGTGGTAGTTAAAATCATGAAGGGTTAAAAAACAAAGGCTTATTTCCATTGTGCTCCTCCAACGTACAACAGACAACAAAACAATGAAACTATGACATTATAATGATAGAGTGGCACAGCCTCCATGTTCCAAGCATTTGTCAAACAATAAATCTTTGAAGATGCATCCCGGCTGGTTCGAGTTTAGGCTTGTAGGAAAATGATTTCTTTTTACAGCATAAAGAACAGAAGAAATGTTTTTAATCATCAAAGCATTAAAATGAAACAATGTCCATTTTGTTCAACAACCTGTACACTCACCTGTAGCTGTGAGTGTATTTCATTGGCAGTTTAAAAAAAAAAAAAAGATTTATGAGAAATATCTCAATAAAGTTGGTCGTATCTGTCAGCCAGTAAAGCTTTCTGAAATAGTCTGACTCAGCATGTGTAAATGGATGAAGTTTCAAGATTACCCATACTCATTTGATTTGTGCCTTCTGGAGTTTATTATGATTGCCAGAGCAAGCCTTAAATGTGATAACTGAACAGAAACAGCTGAACAAATTCTTCTGTTGCAGTTTTAATGCAACATTTAAGAGAAAAAAGAAATTTAAGTTTTCCACTCTTTGATTCATAATCTTGATTCTCAATCAGCACCGAATGAGCCAGTTGCACTCACTCACTCACATTGTGAAAACTTTTGTTCTGTCCATGTACCATGTAGCAGACAATGTAAAAGTGTAGCAAGTCCTGAGGTTTACATTTACTCATGCGGTTCAGCTTAGATGTTGCATATTTTCAGCGTTGCACCTAAATCAACAGAAAAGCCAGGATAGAGAGGTTCAGTGAAGGTGGTCTGGCTTCGGTGCAGCAGCATCAACCTGTCGGAGTTGTGAACACTGAAGAAATCCAGCATTCCTGCTTCATAATCAAGGTGTACACCTACTCTGCGGGACCGAGCCGGAGGGATTTGGCCTTTGTGAAGATTATCGTGCCAAAATGTGCAGCCAGAAGGAGAGCAGGTTAATTTCCAGGACAGATGATTGTGGCCAAAACAGCAATCTTGCCCAGAACCCTTTCTTTTAATCCCTTTGTACGACACAGCCACCTCGACAATGCCGCCATCCCACTCCACCTCCCAGTAGTGGTTGCCCTGTAGGCCCTTTTTGCACAGAGCTTGGTGATAGTAGGTGAATCTTTCATGGTGGTCAGGATGAGCCTGGTCCCTGTCACTCCACGATATCTCTCTGTTACATTTAGACAGGCTAAGAAATGCTGCTACTGTGTCGGGATCCACCTCCACTTCCGAGTCTGCAAGGAAAGATCAAAAACTCATTTAGCTGGTGAAACTCTCATGTACGTGCTGATATCTATGTAAAGTGAATTAACATCTCGCTTACTCTTGTATTTGGTCAAAACCTCTGTCCTTGATTTTATTTCCTCTTGCAGCCTTGGCATTTTTAACACTGATGAAGAGAAAAAAAACACAGCTCATTCTCTTTAAACAAATTACAGGAAATAGACTGATGATCGTAAGGTTTAGAAATCCAAACTGGTCATACGTACACACATGTTCTTCAGAATAAAGTAATCTGTTCTTTTCTTTGTTGCACATATTTTTCAGTGTATCTTTCTGTGCAGTGACAAACTCTGCCAGTGTGTCAAGTCTTTCATGTGAGTGTGGGGATGCAGTCAGGTTACCCAGGGCCTTGAAACCCTGCACAAGGCAAACACATACAAAATGGTAAATCTTAGTGAGCAGCTGGAGGAAGGTTAAGTGAGTCAGTGGCTCAAGCAGAAGCATTTATTGATGCATCAAAGAGTAGAGCGATGAACAATGCAAATGTTAACAAGTTAACTAGTGTAATGTCACCCCAAATCTGAAGGAATCCCTCCTGGTGGCCACATTTAACCCTATAACTACGTCATGCATGTTATTCTTGATATACACTGAGATACGCTGCCTAAATGAAAGAAAACAGAAAATGTCCTCAAAGCGTGTCATCACCTGAAGGAACTGAATGGGATCCTCTGTCAGTGAGAGCTGGCTGAGTTTATCCTCTCTCCTCTTCAGCTCGGACACCTCTCGCTGCAGTTGCCCGAGGCAGCTGTTGGTCCAGTCCACCCCAGCTTTCTCTGCCCCTCCAACTTTCTCCCTCATTTCAGAACGCTTCCTCTCCACAGAACGGACGTATAAACGGATGTGCTCCACACACAGCCGCTCAAAGTCGTCACACGCCTCCCATGCAGCATCCTAGTAGGGAAACACACCTTTTTATGACTGCTGACATTTACAATAGTCCTATGGAACTTTACAGTTCCATTAATTATTCGGCAACATATGATCAGTAACTTTTTTGTTTACAGTGTAAATTAAAGTTTTTTTAATATATTGTATAATATATCAGAAATATACATATGTCCGATACACAGAAGTAAATTCATTTTTCAACACATTCTAAACATTGCTTTTTGCAGGCCCATGTGAATTATTTAAGTAAGAATTATTCTTTAGTTGACCTGCTCTCAACCTGGAGAAACACGTAGCTGGAGGAAGCAAATCTGCTCAATTTTAAAGGAGTAGTTTGACAATTTGGGATAACTATATGTCCGTTTGGCCTAACACAGTTTACCCCCACATCTATTTCCTCTATACTTTAAATATTTTTCATCTATTTTTTATTTAACATTTTAAGAAATAAAGAAATGTATTGTTGAATAAAGTGATAAAGGACAGTTATGTTTGTGGTTGACACTCACTCTTATAGAGTCTGCAGCATGTCTCAGTTCTGCCATCTTCAACTTTGCACTCAGCACTCTGTCTGTGATTTCCTGTCTGGTCCTCTCCAGTTGTCTCTGTTAAAACACAAAGCGTCAGTGACAATAGAAAGAAAAGGCAGCAAATGATCTATCTCGGCATGGGGCTGAACTGAATTACCTCCATTGCACACTTTTCTGCTGCAACTGCCACAGTGTCGTGGTCTTTGTGTTCATCCATCACACACATCATGCATGTGAACTGCTGATCGGTGCGGCAGTAAATCTCCAGAAGTTTGTTGTGACGGCCACAGATGCTTTCCTTGATCCTGGCTGAGGCTGGAATCAGACTGTGTCTCTTAAGCGGCGGCACTTCGACGTGAGGCTGCAGGTGAGTCTCACAGTAAGAGGCCAAACACACGCGACAGAACTTGAAAGCTTTTCTTTTTCTCCCCGTGCACGCGTCACACTGTACATCACCAGGTGTAACGCAACTGTCACCATCATCATCAGCAGCAGCAGAAGCAGCAGCAATAGCAGCACTTGGCCCGGTTGTCTTCCTGTTTTCCTCCAACAAGTTTGACAGAAGCGTGTTCCTCTTCAGTACAGGCCTCGGGTAAAAAGTCTCCCTGCACTGAGGACAGCTGTAAGTTTCTCCACTGTTGTTATTTCTATCCCAGAAGCTATTGATGCATGTTATACAGTAACTGTGTCCACACGCGGTCGTTACGGGATCCTCCAGTAACTGTAAACAGATGGAGCAGTCGAACAGCTCTTGATTGTAAGCCATGTTTTCCCCCCTTAGACTGACGGAGTTAGTTTCAGTTCCTCTGAAGAAGGAGTGGCTTGTTGGCAGTTTGTTTGGCAGCGGAAGTCAACAATGAACCTGTGTCAACCCTCACTCAGGCTTGTCTCAACAACCTCCAAAATTGCTCCAACGTTTCTTTTTCCCTGTTACATTCAGAGATGAGTCGAAAGTGTCGGTGTCTTTCTTTTTTCCCCTGTTTAAACAATGGTGTTGTGAAAGCCTACAGTCCTGAACTTTGTCTCTGTGACTGTTGTCTGAGGACAGAGGGAGCATTTAGGGCAACACCACTGTATGTGGTGGGATTTCTGGAGATATTTTGTTCTCAGTTATGTACTGTGTTTATCATTTTATGACAGAACTGAAGAGGCAACGAGCAGAGGGATGACATTTAGAATCTACCAATGCAGATCTCATATATATCTTCTAAATTGTTGTTGACTATGTTGAAAATGTTGGAGAAAAAAACAATAGACTTCATAGGTGTAATATCCTTAGTAAATTTCCCCATTTTTAGAGGTTAGTGTAAAGTAATAACTCTAAAACAGCTGCTATGTTTTGTCTCATATTTGATCCTATTCTGGAGACCTGACAGGTTTTCAACAGTGCATTTGCACTAAAGCCTAATCAATATCATTGCATGGTATTGAAATCCAAACACATTCATATACTTTACCATCTCCATATAATGAAATACATAAAAACCTAAAAAGTGTAGTAACATTTTAAATATGCAGACAGTAAAAACAGGGACATTTCAAAGAGGAAATAAAAAATAAAATAAAACGGACATACAGTAAAAAATAAAAATATAGAAGTATAATGTAAAGTTGCTTTGATGATTATTTATTATTCAAGTGATGTATGTACAAGAGCTGTATTGTATATTGTTTCAGTATACTTTTAAGTATTTCCTTAGTCAATAAATGTCAATTTCTTATACAGTTTTCAGCTTTCCCAAAGAAAAACACCTCTGGCCCAGAGCACAGAGGCATAAAAATGTGTTAAACAACAAAGCACACTGATACACCATCTAATGAATAACAGATTCTGAGATGACAGCGCTGAAATGCAATGTACAATGTGCCAATATTACACTGGGATTGTTTCTCTTTCTCTGCCTCTCTCTCTCTGTTTTTCTTGTGACAAAACATTTAAAAACTAACATGAACCGAATGCACTTATTATTTATTTGTAGCGCAACTAGTTACATAGTTACATATTTTGCCAGATGCATTTATTTGAACTGACAAAACCCCAACTCCAGGAAATTTCACTGCAAGTAACCAAACTGAGGTAAGCTAACCAGTAATAACAACTGATCTTGACATGCTTAACACTGTACAAACTACAATGGCTGTTTACTTTGTTGTGAGTATCCTAACAGAGGCTCCTCTGGAGACCATGAACCCAGGGTACAGAGGCTTGGAGAATGTGGTCTGCATTCTGTGAAGGAGCATCATCTGACCAGAATCAGACACACTGTAGAAGGACAAGCTCCCGGCCTTATGGTTCAAATACACTCCTACAGTAGAGGAGCAGGGGACGGATATTCTAGCAGTGATTCCATTGTGCCAAAAACTGCAAATGGAATTTGAAAGGGAAATGCACCAGGACTTATCTGTGTATCCAAAGCAACTTTCCTGCAGCTCTGCCCCTTTGTAGCACACAGCGATCTCAACCCTGGGCCCTCTCCATTCAACTTCCCAGTAGCAAACTCCAGATAACCCCTCAGTGCACAAAACTTGATCATATTTTGTAAATCTGTCTGGGTGGTATGAATGACGCTGAGCCCTTTTAATCCAGGTTATCTTGCTGTTTCCCTCAGAAAGTATTAGGTTTTCAAATGCTGTGTTGGGATCCAAACTGAGGTGGTAGGAATCTGAAAGGTAGATAGAGTTAAAAGAAATTATCATTCAGTGTGACTAGTGAAGTGCATTGGAAGGAATGGACTTCATCCAAATGTGTTTATGCCAAAATACAGTGACCACTTACACAGAAGGAACTCTTGTCTTGTTTTAGGATCAGGATCATCTTCAATTAAAAATAGAAAAAAAACATCTCACACCAACATCAATCCCAGTAAATAAACAGAAATGAGTTTAATGGTATTTTCTTACTTGTCACTGTTATTTCTGCAATAGCTTTTGCAATGTTCTCCATTTTGTCTCTTAAATCAGAAATGGCCTTTGTCACAAAGTCAAAAGATGTGTGTAGGTGGATGTTGAAGTCTGAAGACACATCAGGTTCTGGACAGTCAAAAACTGACTGGCAGCTCTACAAACATTTAAAAACAAAAACACAAAATGAACTGTAGTTTCCTTACCACTACATTATCTGATCGATCTGTTTTGTGTCTGTGTACCTGCAGGAAATGAATGTGATCCTCCGTGTGGGACAGCTGCTTCAGTTTATCCTCTCCCATCCTCAGCTCACAAATCTCCTTCTCCAGCTGATTCATGAGTGCCTCAGCTCGGCTCATCGCAGCCTTCTCTTGAACACTGATTGTCTCCTTCACCGCACGTCGGCTTTTATCTGCCATCTGCACAATTTCAGCATAGGCTTTCTCATTCTGATTGGCCGCTGCATCTGCAGTACACTGACAATAGAAAGACATTGAGAATAATCTTAGTTACTGTAAAAAGAAATGGATACAGGACACATGCATCACGTATAAGCCAAGAAAAAGTAGGAAGACAATTCACCTTCAGTGCTTTCATTTTCTGTCTCAGCTCCCGCAGCTGCTTCTCTTTCTCCTGCATCCCCTGCTGGTATCTTTGTTTTTTCTTTCCAAATTGTTTCTGAAAATAAAATCATGTCATTTTACCCCTTTGTTCACCTTTGATTTTCAATACAATTTTACACTTGACAGATATGTATATAGATATACAGTAATAAACCATACAGTATAAATCTCCCTGTCATTAGTAGAAAACAACCTTTAAACCAATTGTAAAATTATATTTGAATTTAATTTCACAGGAATATGACTGACTGAAGACTTTCAAGCACAAACTGGGGCCAAAAATACATGTCCTTACTTGTCTCTCTTTCCTCTCTGCTGCAGCCGAGAGAGTGTCATGACCTTTGTGGTCATCCATCACACAAAGCAGACAAATGCATTGGCCATCACTGCGACAGTAGACCTCGAGCAGCTTGTCATGCTTAGGGCAGATCCTCTCTTGTATGGAAGCATATACTTCCACCAGCTTGTGTCTTTTGAAAGCAGCAGACTCATAGTGAGGCTGCAGGTGAGTGGCACAGTAGGAGGCCAGACACACCAGGCAAGACTTGACAGCTTTCAGCTTCCTCACAGTGCAGAAATCACACTCCACATCCCCTGGACCGACTCCATCCTTTACATGGGGTGTGGGTTTCTCTGGTTCCGACATTTTCCCCATCAAGTCAGCTAGCACTGTGCTTTTTTTGAGCACAGGTCTTGGTTTGAAAGTGTGTCTACACTGGGGACAGCTGTAAACACCACTTTGGTCCTCTTCGTCCCAGTAGGCATTCACACAATCCATACAGTAGCTGTGGCCGCAGTGAAGGGTCACAGGGCTCTTCAGTACATCCAAGCATATCGAGCATGATAGCGGACCTGCCGCCCAGCTTTCTGCCATCTTCATCACAACACTTTCTAACTTTCGTTTTCTCTAAAACGAAAATAGGAGTGCCTTCTCTTATTGTCCTGAAGTTAATGGTGCCCCAAATACATCTGCTTATTGAATACATTTATAAATGTACAGGGAGCGTATGTCACCCTTTAAAATTCGTTTGTGAGAAGTCGTGTCACTTAAAGTATTTAAGGGACCAAAGCAAGGAGACAATGTAGGAAACCAAGGAAGCAACGGAGGAAACAAATAGACGATTAACATGCGAGATTTGAGTGGAACGCGAGATTTCTTTGGTATCCAGGGAGACGACGGCAGCGTTCGGTATCTTTGCAGTGAGGAGGAGGCAGTGTTGTGTCTCCTCTGGTGATGTTTATGTTTTAGCAGAGAGTATTTGACACGATGGACCTACCGGAGACGATCAGAAGACGTTTAGAAGACTTCTCTCGGAATGTGTTATTTGACCAGAGTCGGTCTGAGCCTTTTTCAAAGGAAAATGACACGTTTTTGCCACACGGTAAGTTCAACCCAATCCACAGCTAACGTTATGGACGAATTAGCTCTGATGTTAATGCAGCTAACTAGTGACAGGGACGGTTGTACTGGGCTGTGTTTGTCTCCAATGTAGTTTTACACTAGTTGTTGCTGATATTGGGCTCTTAAAATGTTGCCTTTTTGTGGTTTGTTTATCAGACAAGCGGGTTTTGTCAAGTCTCCACCTCCAGATGTCTCTGTACTTTAACATGTGGTTCTTCCCCTTGTGGTGGATCAGTGAAATTGTAATGCTGCACCTCAAGGTAAGGCAAAACGAGAGAAAGTGACATTGGATGTTAATGTGAAATACTGCTAATGTTTCTTTTCTAAATAAATAATCGGACCGTGTGAAAACATAAACATCGGGGGCGCTGTCATTATAATTAGGGTATATTTAGGATGGTAATAATTACATTCACCAATTAAAATCAAGATAGATTTAGCCCTCAACAGACACTTCATATTATCAGACTACAGTACATGACCATTGTGGTTGATCCTACTAGTTGGCTCCTCGAACAGATAGACCTGTATGTGCACTTCTGTTTGAACAACAAACACAAATTATTTCACCATCCTTAAAAATATATTATCTAGTATATTTGGGGAGTAACATTTAAATCCAAACCTTTGTAGTACTCAGGAGAAAAGTATCAGTTACCAGAAAAAGAAGCTGTGATATTTATGATATTTAAGTATGCAACAAAGTGATTAAGTGATACCTGATGGGCCGATGTAGGTATTTATTTTTACTGGCATTAATTGTTATTGTCAGGAGTACCTAGAAACAAGTTAGAACATTAATTAAAATTCAGTTCGTTTAACTCCATTGCTGTGATTTCTTCCAGTATCCTGCCTTGCCAGACTACTACAAGTTCATCCTTGTGACTGTTCTCATCGTGATGACTCTGATAGAAGCCATTAGACTTTATCTCGGTTATGTCGGGAACCTGCAAGAAAAGGTGGTGCATCATGTATAAAGATATAGTTGATTTAGAGACACAACACAAACACAAAACAAGAGGACATTAATTATAGTGAATATAAGGCAGAGATTGTAATTCATGTCATGCTTGTGTTTGTGGAAGGTCCCGGAATTGGCTGGATTTTGGCTCCTGAGCATCCTGCTTCAGTTTCCATTGATCCTGTTTCAGCTCTTTAATGAAGCCATTCTCATACAGCCCCTGGAGAGAGGTGTTCACATAGTTCTCGCTATATTCATACTAACACAGGTATGTATACATTCCACTTAAATACTGACTTGTGTAGTTCAACAATTTCCAAACAAACCAATGCATGTACTTATTTTTGGAAGGCTATATTATACATGTTTTCAAGCTTTCATTACTTTGTGATCATTGCTGATTTAATCTAAATGTTTTTCTTTAAAAATTTCTGTTCCTGAATGATATAGGCCCTCTCTGGTTTTGTGGCACTCCGGGACATGGTCAGACACACAGAAACCCAGTTTCATCTCAGACAGTTTCACTAAATTCTGAAGCTCACTTACATGCCACATCTCGACACACCAGGACATGTCCTTACCTAACACCACCCAGACACAGAGGCCAACAACAAAAATTATATGTCACTTTTTATATTTAGTGCAGTACATGGGTTATTTTCTTCCCACAAATGATTATTAAGGAGAAAAATGTTTGACCATATTTATTTTTGTATTTTTATTCACATTATATTTCATTGTATTGGATTGTATATGTATTGTATTGCATTGTTATTTTTATAGAGTTGCAATAAATAAAATCTACATAACACAGAGCCTGTGTATCATTTATTAGGCAGCTTATATACTGCATCATTGACTGTCTGGTGGTGTGCTCTGAAAAGTTTTATCATCAGTAAATCTTGTGCTTACCAATATCAAGACTAAGCACAAAATATTAGGATTGTAATTAAAATTAAGCAAAATATCAGTTTTTATAGTTAATATCAATTTTTATCAATATTTAAAGAGGACATATAATTAAACATTAAACAAAGATTGCCAATGGATAGTAATTATTACTTGGGATTTGACTTAACTCCTTCTGTCCATACAACACAAGTTTGACCTGCGTCATGAGGTCTGTATAAACGAGGTAACAGCAGTGTTATCCCCGCATATCTGTTGTTTCACACACCTGTTGAAATTCTAGCAAAAAATATAATCCTCTTCACTCATGAGTGGAAATTCTCATCACTGGCCAGAGAACAGAGAATAAAAATCAACCTGTAGTTCCCAGATTCTAAATGTTGCTCCCTACATTGGGGCAGACTGCGATGGTCTTGTGACCATTGCCTCTTGTGGATCCATTCTTATTTGGCTTTCTCTACCAAAGTGATGGTGCCTGATGCCTTTCGCCTGAAGCCTCCTCAGGGTGTCACTGTGTGGATGTGGAAGTTCCATTGTCATACCTGAAGGCTTTGACACAGGGGGTAAAACACCCATATGCCTTTTGTCTTCACAAGTCTCTTTGCCAAGTCTGAGGAAATTGAAAAAGGATAGGGAGCACAGAAGACCTTTGAAAGACCATAAAAATGAGGTAAAATGCTTAATGCTCGTCTTATCACCACTGCACAAAGATTGTGTTGTGATCATAAATGCCTAACACCAGGGCTTATGTCCCAAACAATGACCTTCAATGGCAACCTGAGCATTTAACAGAAAGAGAATGACGGATAATTAGAGAGTGTTCAAGAGGATTAAAAATGAATTAACCTTTTTCCTCCTTGGTCTGTGGCCCTTTGCACAGGCACAAATAATTTGCTGTGTGATTTCGTTTCTCTCACGGGGATGTTGTGGGTGAGATCTCTCTGGTTCTGCTCTCCAAGCGGTATACATCTCAACAGGGTCAAACCCACTGAATAAATGGCAAGATCAGGTAGAGAGGAGGTGAAGTTAGTGATACATTAAAAAAAACATACATTCTTATAATAAATGTGAATATCAAAAAACAACCTGCGGGATCATCTTCCTGTTCCCCATTCTGCCGTTTGGTCTTGGTTGTATCTGCGTGTGAGGTGGAGGACTCCTCAGGCACAAAGTAACGTTCTGAGACCCGTAAAGAATTTCTGTCTCTGTAAATATACCGGCTGTTGAAGTTGTCATTGGTGACGCTTGACAGCAGGCGCTTTGTTGGAATAATGTCTGGAACCATCTTAAAGCACATGGATGACCTGCCACAAACATTAATTTAATTTAATTTAGTAAATCTGACCATACCTCAGCATTTAGTTATCTACTATCTATTTAATAGTAACATTTCACTGTCAGGTTTACCTGTGGGATGTTCTAAGGGAAGATGGATGCCCTGAAAAAGGGAAACAAAAGTTACAATTTGGGGAAGGCTCGAGTTGACTGATAGATGATGGAACTTTAATTCAGTTCCATCTGAAGCTGTACTGTAGATGCAGACAAACCTCTGTAGACTTTATAGGAGACAAAGGGTTGTTGGGGGTAGTGATGCTGTTGGTGGATGGGATTTATGACATTCGGTGAAGGTGGAATAAGAGCACTTAGGTGCAGTAGCTGAGATGAACATCTCCAGTGTCCTGTATCCATCCCCAGGTCATCTGTGAAAGCAAGCCAAACACACCATTCACTGCTACACAAGACCTTTCCTTATGCAGAGATGGATGAAAAATTCATCGCTTTCCCCTCAGGAGACTATCTACTTAAAATATAAATAATTAGAAGTCATAAGGCAATATGATTAACCTTACAAAATATGGCACTAAATTAATAGTACTAGTGAATTAGACAATGGGCATATAAGGGCAATTTTTAGAAAAGCCGAACCTCCCAAAAAAAAGGTTACCTGTGTGAGTTGACCCAGCTGTGAGATGACATGCCCTGCGATGCAGGTATGCGGCCCTCATGTTTTCCAGAGAGTCGTCCTAAAGAACAGAAAAGATCCCAAAATCCAAGTCAAATTACAGATTTTGTTCCATTTTTTGAAGCATTACAAGAACTTTCTCATTGTATCAAATAAAATTGAGTTGAGTATGTGAATACATGTTTATGGCTGACCAATAATGTGTCAGTATCGGTGACATAACAGTTTGGTGGGGATAAGGTGACTATGAGGGAATTCAATCTCTTTACCTTGACAGGTTCGCAGCCCTGCCACAGAGTCACCTGACTAACCTCGCCAGAGTGAGTGGTGGAAGGAGGAATCACAGCTTTTTTCATCAGACTATTTACCTTCACAAAGAAAGAAATATTAATAGGAACATCTCAGGAAATCTCACTTCTTTGTCTGGCTGGCTCTGTCTCCTACACATATTCACTCTCTTTACTTCATACCTGCCATTTTCTCCTGTGCCTTCCAATCCTCTCTGGGATGCTCTCTTTAACTGTGTTCTCATGTGGCAGGCTGGACTCCTGCAAAGACCATTCACTACTCAGTCTTGTTTAACGTCAGTAATACACACTTATAAGAGTGTGCATTCATTAATGGACCGTTTAGTCAGTAGCCATTCACAATATTTTTGATACTGCTTTGCAAGACCTTTGGCTCTGTGTTCTTCACTCTCTCTGGTCGCAGCCTGTTCCTCTCTTTATGACTCCTTAAGCGTCTCTTTTTCTTCTTCATTGGAGATTGCTGTTGAGGAAAATAAGAGTATGTGGTAAACTGATACAAGACATGATACACAATCGATTCTGATCCAGATGTGAGATTAACCTTACAATGAAAACTGCAAATTATCTAGCGATAACATACACAGACTCACAAGGTGAAAACAATACCAGCCACAGCTGGTAATAAGGCATTAATATGTAAAACAGATCTCTGTTAGTCACTATACCTCTGGATGGAGAGTTTGTGGCTGGTTCAGTAAATGAACTGGGAGTCCATCTGAATCTGAACTATTTGAACCACTGGTGCTGTGAAAGCAAAAATATTCGCATTCAAGCTGAGTGAGAGCACATTTCATACTTATCCCATATTGCCCAAGTATAAATAATAATAATAATGATAAATTACTAAATCACCTCGTTTCCAGGTCAGACACAGAGAAGTTACAGTCAGTGCCCAGATCTTTGCCCAGCCTCTCTCTGACTTCCTTTCTCAACATCGCTGCCAGCTCTGACAGACAGTAAGTGGTCTGAAATAAATACAACAGAGGGAACATTAAAAAAACAGCTACACAAACACAACGCTCACTTTTAAATGTCAAGAGTCACAAAATTCAAGCTTTAAATACCAGTATGATGCAGGTATATTTTGGTGCTCCAGCTATGGAAGGAGTCTACATTTCTATAAAAGACATGAGGTTTTATCTCTCACCTTTGTTGGATCGGGATCACAATAGTCTAGCAAGGTGTCACAAAAATAAAAGCCCAGGGACTTCAGGTCTCGAGTAGTAAAATGTGTTCCTCTTCTGTCACCTAACAGTTAAACGGATGATACATCATCATAGAAGAAACACGCAAGCTTATATACATAAACTCACATTCAGAAAACTTAAACTAAACTTACCTAGAGTGGAGCCTCCAAAGGTGGCCTCCATAGTATAGCTGTTTCTGATGCCAAGTTTCCACATGGCGATTCGTCCTGTTCCCTCTTTGCTCTTCTGCACCCTGAATTTACAGCTCTTGAATGAGAACTGAGCAAGACAGCACAGTAAGATGTTGTAGCTGAATGCTAAGTAGGCACAAATGAATACCAAGGAATAGATGCTGCCTCTGAAATGCAGTAAATATGAAGTGTTTGACATATTGTAAAGAGTAGATTTGTGTGCAACAGATTGGTGACTGTTGAATAAGCATGGTGTCCTCTACCCTAAGAATTTGTAAGCTAAATAAAACAGGACCATAACAGGCCAAAAATAATAAATGTAGCAATTCTAATTGTACTTCAAACAAATTAATAAAAATGTTCAAGGACTATATATAACTCAGACTAAATGAAGGTATAAAAGAGTTTTCAAATACATTGACTTTACCTTGTTACTGGCATTCTTGCTCATCATTAGTGGGAAGACTCTCTCCTGAAGCTTCAGAGAAGCATCACCTTGGTTGTTACAACCGTACATGAAGACATTGTTTTTGCGGTTGTGGCCATGAAAGTCACAGTAAAGAACTACATCCGTCTCAGCCATCAGCCTGGGGAAAATAGAACATAACAGGGCGAAAAGGATTTTGTTCAGAATAGATTGTGATTTGTCGACTTTCCAAACAGACAAAATGTAGGAGAGAAATATAGAGCATGCAAATATAGTATGTGCCATGCTTGGGAAGCTGCTTTGTAAATTTAATTTTGAAAGACACAGTTCCCAGAAGAAAAAGTTAAAAGTTCCACAAAGCAGCATTCGACAGAACTTTGTATGCAACTTCAAAGACCCAATTCAATAAGCAGTCACTGAAATTTGTTGCATCCCTGCCTCTCTTCTTCAGCTTTCCTTTCTGTTTTTACCGCTGAACTATGTAAGATCCTGTATGTGAAAGAAAAGAAGTTACAAAGTCAAACGATTTTTGACCGAATGATAGTGGTATACTAATTTACTGGAACTGGTATCTTATAGCTATCAATCCAACCATTTTTTTCACATGTACTTTTACTGCTATGAATAGTAGAGTCCTACTTGTATGATATAAAAAATAGCTAAAAGAAATATTCATTAATTCAATTGGATCCTGTGTTAAGTGCCTCCAACATAAACTGGTTGTTCACTGACACAGTGTAGAAGAACTAATCATTTTCCGGTTCTATGTAAATATAAAATTAATTAATAAAAGAGCCATATAACATCTGATTTGTGCAGTTTAACTGGACAAATATACACATGAATGTACACATAAATTACATAAATGTAGAAAAAAAGAAAGGAAAGACTACTGAAAACACTAAAAATACAAGTTATTTAATATGAAACCACTCTCCTTGTGTTTGTTCACTCTCCTTACCTTTCCACCAAGTTTCGGGTGTGCCACACACAGGGAAAGGAATCTCTGAGCAATGTCTTATAATTTCTGTTGAGGTCCCTGCCCGCCAGAGAGCAGCGGTAATTCCCCACCACCACACCATCGGGGTTCAGCATGGGCACCACCTGCAGCACATTAGAAAAAACTGTTTGATAGCAATATATAGAATCACAACACAACCTCAAAATTCTGTCCATTCACGGTCTAATTTGTAAATTACTATTCAGACATATAAATTTAAATGTATTGAACTAATGATCATGATAATAATACAGACAACAGACTATGAGCTCGAGGTCTCTCACCTTGAAAACAAAAGTCTCCCTGAGTAGCTGAGCATCTTCCGAGTCCCCAAGCAAGAAGTCCAACAACCCCTCCATCATCCACGACCCGTTGGTTTCTCCAGGGTGCACTCGGGCCGTCACCACCACAGCCTTCTTGCTCCTGCCCTCCACCCTGCCAACCCCCTGAGACGTTATTGTCACCACATACACAGCATTCCCAGCAAGGCTGTGGCACAGGACCCGTAATTTACAGTATGATGCAACTGCAGGTTTGGAAGAAATATGCTTAAGGTAGTGCTGCAGGTGTGAATAGGTGTAGGGGTAGCAGTGGGCCAGGTAGCAGGTGTCTGAGTCATATGGGAACTGGAGAGTCCAGGTGAGTGAGAACAGGGCGATGGTGTCGCTGTTGTTGTCCTTTGTATTCTAAATAGAAACAGAGACAGCTTAATACATTTTATTACTACGCAGCCTCTCCAGCTGTTCTACCTTGCAGTAAAACTTTCTGCAAAACCATAAAGATGACTAAATGTTCTCTCTGATTACCTTTTTAAAACAAGTGACAACTGGTGACTTTTCCCACTCATGTCAGAACGTTCACATACCTGATTGCAGTTACGGTAGTATCTGATGTTGGAGCCGATGCGTTGCCATCCAACACCTTTCTCCTTGGCAGCCCTCTCAGAGTAGAGGAGTGGTCTCATACCCAGAGAATACAAGCTGCTGCTCTTCATCAAGTTGATGATAGTGAAGCGGTAGGTCACTCCAGCCTTCATGTTCCTGACCCTGAAGTAGAACCACTGCGTGTGCTTTCTGGTGTACATGTCTGTTTGCAAGGTGAGCTCATAATCATAAACACCCCTGAAAAGGGAAGAAATATCAGCGGAAACAGGGAGAGAGAGTAACTTCACCTAGAATCACAGGGATGGAAATAGAATGGTTGAAATGCTGCAACAACAATAGACTCACACTTGCACGGCTTTCTGAAGGTTCCCACTCTCAAAGCGTGATTCAAATTCGAGGGTGAAGTCTGTCTGATTGATGTCATATGATGTGGCACTCTTAATGGACCCCCTGCTCCCTCCGACACGAGAACAGGTGAAATAGGGGCGCTTGGTGGCTTAAAGGAGTGACAACAACAGGAAAAGAGTGATTATAAAGTCAAGGGTATTAAATAAAAATAAACTTGAGTTGTTTTCAGACAGCAGTGACAGGGTATCACACGTTTATCTAGAAAATTATTACGATTGTTGATATCTGTAATAATACTACTGAGGAAAGACACTTAAGCTGCCTAATGGCCTACCACAATTCCCATGACTATACGTCTATATTAAAAGAAAGAAAGCAAGACTTGTACATTGTTATACAGCAGTTACATATGGGGATGGTGATGCCAATATGAAATCCACATCTTGAGCCATAAAGGAGTTAGGTTGGGTTCATATTCATAATATACAAATACTAACATACAAATGTATGGAGTAAGATGCTTTTAAATTCAAACAGAATTTGGTGTCTAAAGTTGTACCATGGTCAATGCAGTACACCACTTTCCCTCGCTGCTCTCCGACTGGCATCGGTGTCCTCTCATGTCCTGTTGCCTGATAAAAAGGCTCTGGCTCTGGGGGGTCCCATTCTACAACACACACTCTCTCAGTGTCATTGTCATTGTCAGTGTCGTATCAGAAACACACCTGGTCACAAAAAAAGGTTTGAATATATATGAAAATTACCTATATGATGGATAATGTCGCTGATGACCTCACACTCTATGGGCCAACGGGGACGGGAGATAGATGGAAAGTTAACCAGTTCCAGTGGTGCCCTGAGACTCAAAATTGGTCTGCCACCATCAAAATCTATGAGCAGCTGCCTGGTCCGCAGAGTCTGGTTAAGGTTTCTGGACACTGAGGGGGAAGATGAATCACACCTTTAATATCTGTTCTTTCATCCTCCTGTTCTTCTACACTCTGGGGTATGTATTTTTCATCAGTTCTGCCTGATTGCCTCACCTAGACCGAACAAGCTAAAAAGGGATTATGCTGCACCTGATTGCTTTAATTATCTCATTGACAAAAGAGCTTGTTTAATATATAATGATCTAGAATTAGGGATGAGATTCCACATATTCATTCAGTGTTAACCAGTTGTAACTTGTCACAGTCCCATCTCAACAACAGCTAGCTACATACAATCTACATGCATATGTTGTTCAAATGCAGCCGATATGAAAATAGCTTACTCTGCCTTCTTTCTGCTAATTCCTCCTCGTCTTCTTCAGTGTTGGAGTTATTGGTGTCTGATTTGTCCAAGTGGAAGGTATTCCACCAATTCCTGATAGCAGAGACAGCCTTGGTTGATGTTTTCTCTACCTGATTGGGAAATTTAAGTCATCAATGTTGTACACTTATTTCCAAAACTGTATCAGGATAAGACAAAGATAAATTATGTTATTATCAACATGAACTTGTATAAAACCTTGATAGGAGAATGTTTTATATCAATACAATGCAATACTTGGGCTTGTGTGTACAAATATGGTCTGAAAAGATACTCTAAGTGAATTCACATGGGGAGACAATAAAACAAGTAACCAAACTCACATGTGGGGTGTTCAGGGAGGTATCTCTCACGGGCATCTTTAGCTGACGTTCTGCTAAAAGGAAAATGCAAGAGAAAGTCATTTTTTTTTCGGCATACCAGTGTAGTTAACTGGATCGCTCGAACACAACAGCTCATACAGTGTCCCGTCTTCAGCACGGACTTTCTGGTATTTTTGCATGGATTTAGTTAGTTAAAGCCGGGTTTCTCGCTTCTTGTGAGGGACAGCATTTTATTACATTAATGTGCCCCTACTACATTAATGATTGACTGGCTTTTCTCGTTGCTAAGATTAGCATTAGCTTCTTCAATTGACTACTGCTACCACGCTGTTCTCAACGTGTGCAACGTTTTTTTTAAACAAATGTTTGACAGCCACTTACCTCGCTTACATTTTTATTGCACTGCCATACATTGAAAACAAAAACAAAGCACCCGTATTTAAACCAAAGACCGAAAATCAAATTTGTTGACCACGACAAATGGAACAATCTTTCTCCGAGTAAGCAACGTTACCAAGCAACAGGATGTATCAACAACACCACGGTTGTCGTGGAGATGCCCTACTGTGTCATCGAGCCAGGAAACGCTTCACAAAATCACAATTTTAAAAGACAAGTCATTGGAAAAAACCATTTAATAACTTTTTACAAAATATACAAGCTCAGTGACATTCCCTCCCCTTCCAAAAACATGGCTTAACCCACTATACATTTTTATGTACACAGTTGTAAAAATGTTCAATAAAATAGACAATCCCTCCAAACAAACGGTGGTGGTCATCTACATGGTGGTGGTCACCATTCATAAACTAACGAACTCAAGATATTTGGCACATTTACAATTGTGGCTACAAAAACAGGACAAAAAGGACATTCAAACCCCTCTGGTGAATGGCCTGCCATGTAGGGGCCTTTACATGTCTGCATCATGAACATGGAAAATGGTAGAAAAAGTCCACAGATCACTGAACAAAACTTAAACTTGGGAAGGATGACCTTATGTTAGTGATAGGAGTGGATTTAAAAAATGCTGAGCAGGCGGTGAATGACCCAGGCTAGATGTTACGTGCTATTCAGCTTCCGTTTCTTCAATCGCTCCCGCCAGTCTTCAGGAAGTGCTTCAAAGTTGGCATTCTTTGATGCTTTTCCTCTGGAGAAAAAAAAAACCAATAGTACAACATTTAGGGTAGGGTTACATAGAAGGAAAAAAACTAAAGAAACTAGATGTGAACTCAGTGTAGCTACATCTGTATATCAGTGTTGTATAGTATGTGCACAATTCAATTTTAATTACATTTTGAGGCTGTTAAAATGGTGATTGGACATTGTATGGAAACATACGTCATGAGCTGCTGTTGCTTCCAATCCTCGATACTCTTCTTGTTAAGTTGGTCTCTGTCCTCGTCACTGGAGCTGCTCTTCTCTTCCTCATCCAACTCTTTCTGGATGCTCTGCCACTTCTTCACCAGGGAAGGCATTTTGGTCTTACTCTTCTTTGACTACAGAGCAAAAGAGTGTATCCCAACGAAAAAAGGTTTTTTTTCTGTGACATTTAACATTGTGTTGACTTCATATATTGTAGCTTTAATAATGAATATTATTGGTATTTAAGCAAAGTTTTCTTTAAATATATCTACTACTCTCTTTTGACACGTCATGTAAATGTAAACTCCAATACTAACCTTATCCTTTTTGGCTTTCTTGGTCTTGTCTGTAGGTGGAGCTTTTGCTCCAGGAGGTTCGAAGGGTGGCTGGGATGGTGGCAGTGGTGGTTGAGGAGGTAGGGCTGGGACAGGTGGGACCGGAGGTTCACAAGGAACCAAGGGGGGAGTGACAGCCGGCACACCCCAGTAGGCAGTTGCTGACATTATAGGAGCTGCAGGCAAAGATAACCCTTATTATTATTATTATTATTATTATTATAATAATAGGGTAAACATTTAAAGGTTGTTGTTTGAATTACCACTCTTGCACTACCTCAGTGAGGTGCTATACTGCTGTACTTTGCTCAGTATATACATATTTCTGGAAAGTTCTTTCATGTTCTTTGTTTTTATGATTGGAAGCACTTGCACCTTCTTGCACTGTAAAATGTTCAGTGTTTAAGGAGGACACTGAAATTGGTCTTGAGTCTTGTTTCAGTGGATGTGTAATAAGGCAGTTTACACAGATTATCAGGATTAGCAACAAAAAAAAACCTATCATATAAAGTTATGTATACACAGATGTGTAGCGATATCTGTTTACCTGCACTGGCAGCAGGCTGGGTGTAGAGAATGGGACTGCTGCCAATAGTAATGGCTTTATTCATCTGACCAGCTTTACGTTTCTGACCTTTCCCCAAGGGGCCTGATGACTCTGCAATCTGTGTGAGTGACAAGAAATACAAGAAAAGTTAAACGATGCTGCACATTACTATTCTAAATTTAAACATGTAAAGCTATCAGGTACAGTATTAACAGAAACAATCTAATTAAAGAAGAAACTTGATTATGCCAATACCTTCATGCTACCAGCGGCCGGAGGTAAAGGAGGCCTCCCACTGCCGTCTTCCTCAGTTCCAGGGGCTGGAGGCTCCCCATCATTATCATCATCCATCTCCATCTCCACCTCCATGATCTCTCCATCGCTGTCAGGAGGAGGAGGAGGTGGAGGAGGAGAGCCTGGGGGGAGAGGCGGAGGCGGGGGAAAGTTGGAAGGTGGAGGTGGGCTGTCGGGAAGAGGAGGTTGGGATGGGGACCAGAATGCACTGGGCTGGGGGGGTGCTGGTGGTGCAGCAGCGGGATAAGTAGATCCTGTTTTTTGAAATAAGGCAAAAACATGGGGTGTTTGTGAGGGACAGCAAAGCAATGTTCACCTAATATTATCCATGCACATGTTCAATAGGAGTCACACTTATTTTTCTTCTCTAAAATTATTAAAGACAACACTTAAAAGGGGAGATTTTTTAGTATGAAGGAGCAGCAGTAGTAATAGACTGACCTGTAACCCCACCAGTAGATGCAGATGATGTTTTGGTCTCTCCTTGGCTGGAAGTCTGTGTCTGGGTACCTTGGCTGCCTTTCAGGTCCTCCTCTTTGTCCTCCTCTGCTGGGAAATCCCACTGGGATTCACCGGTCCGGTCCTTCACATAGAAATACCGCCTGTGCTCTCTAAAGAGTGGGACAACAGAGATAGAAAACAAGAGTCTCAACGACTGGCCTAGCAACTGGCTGAGTGGCATGATACCCTGGGACTGTGGGGCAAGGGAGTGGACATAATGGCCACAGTAAAGGGGCAGGGGTGTTGACATGGACAGCAACTTTAGCCATCCAAAAGAAGAGCCCAATTAGAGTGTGGTTATGAATGTGGATAGGGAACCCACCTTGCTCTCAAAATTAATAAAGCAAAACAAATCATCTCTAGGTCCTGAAAGTAGCATTCAGCAGCTCACACCATGGTTGTCACATTTGTTCCGTTTTAGACAACCATTCCCACCCAGACACAGGAAGACGCCAGGGAGGAAGTATCATCATCATCATCATCATCATCATCATCATCAACAACAACAACCATAGGTCAGAAAATAACAAGCACACAATCAACTCATTTCACATCAGAAAGAGGAAAATAAAAAAACAGGAAGACATATGAAATAGAGTTGGTCTGACCTGCTGGATTCCCGTCATTGCTCCATCTTCACCTTTTATTTGATGCATGACACTCGTCGCTTCCAGGGCGTCACTCTGTCTGCATTGCATTCTGGGAGTTGTAGTCCTGTAAAGTGCAAAGCTCTCCCACGCAACCAACCTTCTTACCATACCCCCCCTCCCAATATTTTCCTTTGATTGGACCCGTAATTTGCCCTCACAAAAAAGGGCTTAACAGTCTGTTATAGGGAGAGGGAGTCCTCTCTGTGGCAGGTATATTTTACAGGAAGCAGGCTGGCCCAGAGTGTATGCTCCCTTATCAGCAAGGCAGAGTGCCAGGATAGCATCATAGAAACCTGAAGAGTCTGTTTCTGGTAATTATTTCAATCCACTCGAACTGGTTAAGCTTCTCCCCAAGTCATGTTACAAAGTCTGCAACATCTGCAGTGAAGGGGGTGTAGTCACACGGTAAGATTTTTGGGGGACGAGGGAGTTTAGAGATGTGAAAGGTAAGGAGCGCGTACCTGTCCCAGTGGCAGGACCAGCCTTTAGGGGTGGCGTTAAGTTCGTAATATTTAATGTGTTCAGCAGCTTCCTGCAGCCTGCGGCGAAGATAGACCCCATTCAGAGCGCCCTCCCTCCAGTCAGCGATCCGTGTCTGGAGGAAAATTTAAAAAATAAACCAAAAAGAGAAAGGGAAGGGACAGGAGGAGACAAGAGCGAGATAAAAACCCAGAAAGAGGTAAATTAATGACAAGATAGATGAGTAACATAGAAGAGTAATTACAGTAAGCTTCCAGAATGACACCATGTGATGGATTATTATGAGAATTTTAAATATTAAGTACTACCACATGGCGGTGTGCAAAAATGATATGAAATAAAATTAAGCATTAAATATTTTAGAAGCCCCACTGGGATAGCTACAAGTGGAAGCTACAGTAATATTGCTTATAAAACTGAACAACCATCCTCTTACCTCAGTTTGGAGCAGAAGCAACTGGAAGTTTGAGATTGCCTTTTTGTTTATCCCCAGGAACTCCATCTTGCTGGTTAAAGTGTTGGCTAATTCTCCAATCTGAAACTACATATTTTTTTTGCATTAAAAAATGTCTTAGAAGAGACTGTCACAGTTATTATGGTTAGTAATAGTAACATTGCTGTTACTTTGAGCTCGGGCGTTTCCACTTTGAGCTCAGACGTTTCCAATTCTTCTTTTACCGGAGGTTTTGGAACCGTTTTCTCCTCAGCATTGTCCGTTTCCTTTTCGTCTCCCTCTGCCACATTCTCTAGGACTTTAGAGGGTGCTATAGGACACAAGAGAGGAATTTAAGTTTGCAGGAATTTCTGGATCAAAACATTAACAGGTTGGAGTTTTTAATGTAATTTACCCAACCCTGTCATGCATATCACCCTTCACTAGCACATGTAAACATTTTGACTCACCAGTCTCTGTGTTGTCCTGTAGGTCTGAGCCCCTGCTGTTAGACTCTGGGCTGGGAGCAGAGGGGAAGGCAGTCTTCCATCGGTTTTTCTTCAGTAGAAGAGCACGAGAACTAGAGGCTTCTTGGCTTGTCTCAGAACTAGGACTGGAAGCCCCGGTGCTCCCATCACCCTCCTCTAGTGCCCGGAGCTCAGCCTAGGAGTCAGATGTTAGAGTCAGGTTAAAACTAGGTGACATTGAAATTAACATATGTCACTAATGTAAGAATGCAACTACTGCGCACTAAAAGACAATTTCAAAGTAATTCCTACCAGTAATCAAAGTTAACAGAAAAACCGGCTTCAAATGCCTACCTTTTTCCTCTCCAGAGCCAGTTCCAACTCCATTGTGTCTTCCTCTGTCTCCTCCTCACCATCCGAGTTGTCTCCCGACTGCTTCTTGGCACACACATCTTTCTGGACAGTCGGGGCTGAGTCCGAGTCACGCAGAGGGGTAGAGGGGGATCCTGCAGGGCGTACACCCTCTCCATCAGAATCCAAACTGTTCTCTGTCTCATCCAACCCTTTTAGTAGCCTTTTTCTCCATTTTTCCTCTGCTTCTTTCACTTCAGAGGGGATCAGAGGACCAAGCAGAGACGCAGCCACTCCACGGCGCTCCTCCTCTTCACTTGTGAGTCCTACAACACTCTCGATTACCTCCTTTTGTACAAAACATGAGAGTAATATATCAAAACTCAAGATAATAATCGTAAATACCACAGAATCAAGCTGATTCACATTTGTGTTGGACTTGAATGAAACTTGCCTTCACTTTGGTCTCTTTCACTGATGTCTGGGCTGCAGTAGATGCAGCCTTTTCCTCTGTGTAATAACCTCCATGGGCTGTGCCATTGCCATTAACGCTAGAGCTTCAAAGAAACATATATAACACATCAATCAACTGAATTTCTGTAGTGGGACTAAACCAAGAAAACTGAAACGAAGTGTACCTCAGATTATGTAGGTACAGTATTTTTATCTGGCTTCAAAGATGAAGATGCCATTCACAAAGTTCTGATAATACACCCTGTCTTTCTGTCGGTCACTCTTACCTGTTGGCATACTGCCCCAGGCTTTGCACCTGATCAGCTAGGTAGTGTGGCAGCTCCCAGGACACCTCGTTGGTCACAGTGTTCCAGTAGTAGTAGCAACCAGAGTTGTCATCCCATACCTCCTGCCAGTCTCCCATCTCTACACCCACTGCAAAAAAGCATATGCATGAGATGCCACGGAACAAAGGATGACATATTTTAGGTGATATATTATGCACACTTTCTCTCTTCCCATAAAAACACTGTCTTTAGGATTTAGGATATATCCTGAATGATTTCATTAGTGTTCAGCAATCTGGAAAGTTGATCCAAAACATCAAAATTCTGCTGTTCTACAAGGTAGTTGGCAAAAAAATCTCTTTCCTTATATTATAAAGACAACTATAATTATCATGCAATTGCTTTGTTAAAATATTACAACAGAGACATGAAAAGGTCTTGACTGGAGTGGAGGAGACATCCACATTTGATCTTTAATACAGACAGTTACATTAAGTTTACTCATTTGGCAGATGCTTTTATCCAAAGTGACTCACAAGCGAGGGACAACACTAAAGCTTCAGTGCAATAGGAGACCTTGGTGTAAGTAGTAATCACTACATCTATTCAATAAGTGCAAGGAGATCAGGTAAAGAAACAAACCAAAAGTGCATAGTAAATTTTAGTTAGGCATGTTAGGGTGTCGCAAATAGTTACCTCCAGCTAGTGAGTACTGAGTATTGTACTCAAAATCTGTACTTTGCTGATTCTGTTCTTCACTGGTAGCCGGCTGCTGAGTATTAACCTCAGGTCTGGGTGGGGTAGCAGTTGGGACTGAAGGATGAGATGTTACATCATCTGTACTTGGCTGAGTCGTGATTGCATCAATTTCCTGTGGTGGGAAAATGACAACAGTAATGAATGTTTTTGACAATAATATGTTTTCAGTCCAAAGTATGAACAACACTCTTCTAAGAGCTAGTCTTTACATAAATAATGTGATTTATTAATGAAGAACTAGGCCCAAGTTAGCACTGTGTTTGTTGCTTCTGTGAACTTGAGGTTGTGCTTCTTAAAGATAATTTAGGATTAACATTAACACTGTTTTACAATCCAGATAGCAAAAGAAGGGATTAAGATGTGCAGCAAAATATATACTCACAGCCATGAAATTGGCCAGTGTACTGTCGATGTCTGCTGATTGGTTGTGTTGAGAAGTTGCAGTTGAACGCTGAGAGTCTCCAGCATCCTCTTCATCACTATCCTCGTAGGCTCCAAGCAGGGACAACCCCTCTACAGGTGGAGACAAAACAACTTGGCTCAGTCAAACGAGACTTTTTTGTTTCCACTGTCTAGGATACACACACATACAGTTACCTTACCTGTGGCCTTTACTGCGGGAGCTTTCATGTTTGTGATTCTCACGAATCTGTGTCCATCACCCTCCTGCTCGTCTGCAATTCACACAGCCAAAAGGTTAATGTTGAGCCTCAACAGTTAGACTGCAGCAAGATGGCTAGCTTTAACGTTACACGCAGACACAGACTGGCTAATGGTTGGAAGCTAACGTTATTCACCCACACAAGCAAAGTCCTCACACTCATAGATAATGCAGGTATAGCGTAACACTATGTATATGTTACGTAGGTTAATTAAGTATTGGTTAACTGACCCAGTCGTTTGCCATAAGCCTATATTTGGCAAGCCCCCAAACCTGCTAGCTTAGCAAGATGGCAGCTAGCTTCTGGTCGATCCGCTACATGAAAAAACAAAGATTTCGTTGCTTTAGCTATAGCCACTTGGCTGTTTTTGTTGACAGTGTATATCTGCACCATATATTAACTAATTTGTTAGCTAAATATTGTTGTGAATTGTTACTGTCTTTGTTTCTTTACCAGCTGGGCCCATTCTACATACCGCGACCGTTTAGCCTTCAGCTAGCCTGAAACTAACAAGCCACTGTGATAGCATGTTTTCAAAAATATTACCATCAGATCCCGAGGGCGCTTCTTCCCTCTCTCCGGCGTTCCCACTGCGGATCCCGGGAGGTGAAAGCTGTAGGATTGTTCTCCGACCCACCGCTCCTCCTGTGAGGCGACTTTTCTTCCCCATCCCTAGTAAGAGGGCCTGCTCCCTTCACTGGCGTCGTTGTTGCGGCTCTGCTCTGCTGTTTCGAGCTGCTGCCACAAGCGCAGGCATGAACTTCCGGATCATAGGGTCATGTTTTGTGTTTAGCAGAAGCTGAGGTAGAATGCCAGCTAAGTTGCTAACGAGCTTAGACATCATTAAGTCAATAGAAAACATCGTTGTTAAATCTTCTTCTTTTGTCTTTCAGTCTTTTTCTAATTTTTACGAGTGATCTAGCTTGTGGACCAAAAGCTAACACCCGGATTCTTGAGTGTGTAGTTTAATAAACGTAACATGGGAGGGTGAAGATAAGCAATTAGCTACACAGTTTAGAAGGGGAGCCACCCACTGATGTATGAACACAGGGATCCACCACAGAGGCAGCAGTCAGCAGGGCTCGAAGGAGGAACAAGTGCCCAAACCAGGACCAGAAGAAGGTCGGGGAGCCACGGATCAGAGTCGATGGGGGCAACGATGGGACCCCTTCTCCACTGGCTGCACGATGTGGCAGCTGTGACTCTCCTCAAAGCCCGTCGGACTCTATTTCAGGCTGGCATCCTGTTTTGTGTCCTTGGGCTGCTGCTGTGGGTGTCCATCTTTCTCTATGGAAGCTTCTACTACTCCTACATGCCCACTGTCAGCTTCTCCACGCCTGTGCACTTCTACTACTCCTCTGATTGTGATGTCTCTGAGCAAGTGCTTTGTTCATTCCCCAAAGCCAACATCTCTTTTATGAAGAATGAGAGAGACCAGGTGATGGCTTACGGCCAGCCTTATCGCATATCTTTGGAGTTAGAGATGCCAGAGTCCCCTGTGAATGAAATGTTGGGTATGTTCATGGTCAAGATGTCTTCGTATACCAAGGGTGGGAAGACTGTCTCATCAGTGGGACGATCTACAATGCTGCATTACCGCTCCAGCCTCCTGCAGACGCTCGGTACTTTACTGTTCTCTCCTTTGCTTCTGAGTGGGATGGCTGAGCAGAAGCAGCTCATACAAGTTGAGCTCTTCTCAGAATACAAGACAAATGCTTATCAACCAACTGTCGGTGCTGTCATTGAGATCCAGTCCAAACGAGTGCAGATCTACTCATCTCAGCTCCGTATCCATGCCTACTTCACTGGTATACGCTATGTTCTGTACACCTTCCCTCTGACATCTGCAGTGATTGGCGTGGCCACCAATTTTGCCTTCCTCAGTGTCATTGTGCTGTTCAGCTACCTGCAGTTCATATGGGGTGGGCTCTGGCCTCCAGACCAAGTAAGAGTCAGAGTTATGATAGGAGACAACACTCGCATCCAACAGAGGAGAGAAGAGGCCCGGAAGCGCATGGAGAGAGAAAATTCACAGAAGGAACTTGATGTTCCCAAAGTGATTGGATCTGTGAATGAATCTGATTTCCAGGGAAGTGACACAGCGGCTGAGCTGTCCTCAAAGAAGCCCTCAGTTATCTCAGATGCCTCAGGGGATGATGCACCAGATACCAAGGAGGAAGAGTCCCATGACTCCAAGGAGCCTGATGAGAAAGACGGCTCAGACGTGTTGGATGGATGCCCGCTGCCTCACCAGGGTGAGACAACCCTCCGACAGAGACCTGGACCCTGGATGAGCCTGTGAACCATGCCACCGCACACGCTTAAAGTACCTGTAGTGTATGTTCATTTGCCATCTCATTTCCCATCACTCCTCAGCAGATGGGAAGTGATTTGGCAGATACTGATAGATTCAAGTTAACCCACTGTTTAATTGGCACAAATACAAATGCATGAGAATATATTACCTGTGTTGTAGCTAAAAAAACTACAGCTTATTGTCTTGTCTTGATAGGTTTACCTCATAACTTTGACCTCTGCTCACCTCTTTCTGCTAATTGTCTGCTCAGTGTACACAGTCCTGAAGACAACAGCACTATTATAGTCTTATGTTTGTGCCACTTGTGTTTTGATTGTGGCCATAGCAGGAGGTTGCTACATTCCAGCTCTGTGTTGTCCAACATTATTGTCAGCAGGAATCTGGCATTACCATCAGCTGTTGTCCAACACTTTAACACACCCTTTTTAAGTCTGTTGAACCTGTTTGTGTTTTATTGTTCTGATGTCTGTAGGGTGGCACATTGTCACATCATGGCCAGCTTACAATAACTGAGTCACACATCCTGACAATCTTTACATATAGATAAAAGTAGACATTGACTCTTCTTACTTACCAATTCAAACATAATTAGACTTGATTGTATTTGAATGTAGCTGATGTGCACTTGAAACAAAAATTTCACTCTTGATTTGAAAATTCCAGAACTGTTTCACACCCTTTTAGATCCACACAAACATGCCTTGTGATATGTTTTTTTCAGAAGTTCTGTCATAGCAATTAGTTTTGGAAAATTTGCCTTAAAAAGTGTCTTTGTTTTTAATAACTTACCGGAAAAAAAATCCAAATGGTCCAGCATGAGGAATTAAAGGAATTAGTTGAATTTTCTTTTCATCGTGCAAATAGAGACGTTCTATCTCAGTGCAATGGCTGACTTAACTGCCGTGGCACATTAAGTCAGGGGTTCAACGCTTCTACAAAGTTGGTTTTCATTCCATCTGACCATTGTATTCAGTATCTGTTACAGTGCAGTTTGCACTCTGCGGTTTAATGTTGTGAACATATGTATTTATTTGTGTGTTTTCATCACAACAAAGAACCAAGATATTTTAGATGGGTCTTTTAAGAAATATATATGTTTGTTAATAGGTCTGTTAATAAAAACATGTCTGTAACATCAAGGAACATACAGTATGAGAGGGATAAGGGGAGATACTGTTGTGACGTTGGCTCTTGTTGGTAAAGCTAATGATGATAAGGTAATGTAGGAATTGTTTGGATATAGCTCAGCCTCCATGTGTTTAACCTACACTTCAGGCGAGTTTAGGGTTTAAGCAAGTATATGTATGGGTTTGTTCAAGTTGTGTTGATATAGGATTTTGTACCAAAGATTAATAAGAAGCACTCATCACTTGGTTATCCTCAATTCTGTCTTTTAGAATATTCTTCTAAATGCCTCTGAAGTTACATAGGTGTATGTTATTTATGCACTGATACTGAATTAAACAAATAAAAAAATACAGTGGTGCACATCTTCTTCTCTTTTAATGTTGCTAACACGAGTTTGGGTGACATCTTTGTCAAATAACAAAGCAGCTTAAATATTTCAATCTATAGAAAAATCTGATGTGATGGGTTTTAGTAGGGTTTTCAGGAAAGTTTTTTTGTATACCATGAAATTTTGAGACCAAAATGTGAGATCTTTTCATCAAAACTTTTGGTCACATACATAGTAAAAAAGAAAATTTACTTTACTTTATTGAAAAATGCATCTTGTCTCTCCGGATGTAGAACATATTAACCAGTCAAAAATATAGTATACTTACTTCTACTTTCTACCTCAGAAAGCTGTCTTGATACATAGAACCTGTAGAATCATACCAACAGACAGCAAAGTGTTGTTATCTTTAATAGGAAGCTGAATGAAAGATGAAAATACAGTTGTGCATGCGATTAGAAATAATATTCCCAGTAAAATGGCTGGTATGCAGCCTTTTCTCATCTCTCATTTAAAATGTTAAAAAGGATTCAAAATTTGCAAAATGATATTTTTAACAATGACATATAATCTTGTTTACAGAACATTTTCCTGGTACATTGAGGAATTAGAAAGCTGCATTTGTGATCTGTTTCAAATCAGAACCATTGCGATGATATTAAGGCCCATTAGCAGCCTTTATTCAAAGCCACAGCCCCAATCTATCAGATGAATTATGCATTGGTCTGGTTAAGAAGTGCACTAATTGACTTAAACCATCCATCACTTGTATTAAAAACCTCACTGTATTTAGCCTCAGCAGGTACATGTATTATCTCAGACTCTGCTGGAACAATTTCTCCTCTTCTTTTTCTTGGTATTTGCAGAATAAATTTAGTTGACATCAGGGTTATCTGGAACTAAGCAAATTCATAGATGACCCCCAGAATAGCCTCAGCAACAACTAACTGCATAGTCAATTTAATGGAAAAGTATGAATATCATTCTGTATTACTGTCCCACAAACACACACACACACAGTACTGTTTACTGCTCTAATGCTGAAATCTGATATGGTGAAAATTAAAATCAATTTACAAAGTCACTATTGTTGCAACTGATCGTTTGAAGGTACATACAGAGTTTTACAAATTTAAATAAGACACTGACATTTTATACATATTAAAACCAAACATATTAAACATTTTAATTTCAAGATTCAAATGTCCCTTTTTACACAGGTCACATTTCTGGACTATTTTTTACTTAGTGTCTTATATTAAAGCTCATATGACTGGTTTTACCATTTATGGACCAAAGACCAACACCCTGACGTACAGCACACCCTTCCGCCGTAGTGTTCCACTTGAATGTCATCCTGTGCTGGCAGGCCTCGCCACGGCTCAAGGTCACTTTGCTCCTTGACCCCTAAATGTTGTGCTCCTCTTCAGGTTGTACTTCCGTGACCTCAGCTGTAGTCTCACTGGCTGCTTTTGACCCATCATCTTCCTGCTCATCATCTGAGCTATCTGCCCAGCGTCCGACTCTCCTGACACCCTCACCTACTGCTGGGGCGTTAACACAGGGGTTGTGGTCATAAATGACAAGTTTCAACCCCTGCATGTGAGACAGGCCTGGGAATTGGCGTATTTTGTTCCGATCCACATCAATGACAGCTAGAAAGTGCATTTCCAGCAACACTGGTGGGAACTCTGCCAGCTGGTTCCCAGCAAGCCAGATACTTCTTAGCTCTTCCAGCCGTTTAAGTTCTTTCGGTAAACTCCGTATCTGGTTATAACCGAGGTGCAGGGTCTTGAGATTAGAGAGCTCACAAACCACCTTAGGGAAAACAGTGAAGCAATTAGTCTCCAGCCACAGAGTACTAAGTTCCTTGAGCTCTCGCAGTTCTCTGGGGAGGTGGTAAAGCCTGTTGTTACCCAGGTAAAGGATGTTGAGCTGGGGCAATCTGCAAACAGCTGCTGGGAGCTCTTCAAAGCAGTTAAAGTCAAGGGCCAGCAGCTGCAGCTTCCTTAGGCCCTCCAGCTCAGCAGGTAAAGTGCTGAGGTTGTTGTCACTCAGGTAGAGCTTCACCAGCTCGTCAAAGACACAGGCAGCAACAGGTAGCCGACGCAACTGCCGACCGCTCAGGTCTAGGGTCCGATCAAGAGGCATCTCCTTCAGGTCTCCTACTAGGAAGCGTTGACAGCGCTCTGAGGGAATGAATGCAATGACGCCTCGCATGGCGTTACCCATCTTCCTCAATGTCTCTGACACACCACTGGTCCTCCACATCAGTTTAGTGCCAGACAAGCGTTTGCACTCAAGCAGGCAGTTGGCGTCTTCTAGTGAATTTCATGGCATCCCATTAATGCTCCTCCACCGCCCCTCTGGAGTTATTGATCCTGATGAAACAAAACAAGTTTATAACAATGTAATAGATCTCTGTAATACTGCATCAGCATATGAAGCTGCATGTAGCAGCAATTACATGATTATGATGCTGAATTACACCATTTAATGTGATAAAAGCCATGATGCTAAGTTATTTAAAAAGAAAATAAGTCATCAGAAAGGAAACAGAAAACATAACAAGCGTAAAGATGATTATAATAAGCATTGAAAAACACCTACTTTCCAGTGTTTGCCTGCTGATGCCCATGACTCACAGCATCTCCTACAGAAAGCCATTTGTTTATCCAACTTAATGAGCTGAAAACCTATTGTATTCCCTGGGCAGATATTCCCCAGTGCAGTCCGTTCACTATCTCTCAGTGGCTCTAAGCTTTGCCCTGACTTTCATGGCAATAGCAACCACTAGCTGCTCTCTCCTCCCCATTTATGCCTAATGACTTTCTCCCCCTTATTCTCCAAGATGACAGAGGTGGGAGAGAGAGAGAGAGAGAGGGAGGGGCAGGGTGCCATTGATAAGCATAAGAAGTGCCTTGTGATGAAAGAGCAACGAAGGTCATTTACATTCTGTTTTAATCGGTCTGGACGCAGTCCTGGGTCTGTGCCACCGGGCCAGATAACTGGGCCTTCACTGTGGAATATTCTCAAGAATTTGTCAATGCTCAGAGGGAGACCAAAAAGAGTGTGTGCATGTGTTTTACTCTGATTTAGCCTGTAGTTTATCGTTGCATGTTTTGAAATGTTCCTGCATTGAAGGGAAATTGAGTTACAGGTTCCCTGGAAAAATAAGAGGTGTATTGAAGAGTGTTAGAGGGTGTATGGCTCTATAGATCTGTGTTTTGTCAGCGCCACATTGTACATGCCTGTTTGAGTTGCTCAGATATCAACTGTGGGGTCATTGAGGCAGCAAGACTTCAGTGCCATATCCACTCTAAAAATCCTCCAAATCTAAGGGCTCATGTTTCAGTTTTCCTCAAAGGCATGTAGTTTTCAAAGCGAAATAGAATTTCCTATTCATTTCTCTTTGTGGAGTCTTACTCCTGAATAGAAGTCACTAGTCATCCCTGACGACCTGAGGTGTGATTTCCCCATACTATCTTGCATGCCTTCATTAGTGTTATTTTCCAACTAGATAAAACTGGGGAGGAATTTCATTTCCCTTATCAGAAGGGGCAATGGTTGCCCCTCGTCTGTTTTCGCTCACTGACAGACTGTTTTTAGCACTTGTCCTTCTCCTTATCCACTAAACTCCCAGGGGCCTCAGACAGCCAACAGTATAGCACAGACTGAGCACAGAGACAGAAACATGTGTATGCCATAACAGAGCCTGTTCATGGCTGACATTTTGATATGACACAGCATGAAAAGCTCAGGTGTAATTAACTGTCCCATTATGTGATTACTGGAGCACTTCATGCAACTGAGTTGTCATTAATGTTATTGATTACACATGTGCTTTCCCTGCAATAACAAGTGAAAACATCTGCAGTAGAAAAGGTCTTTAAAAGTTCATTAGTAACATTTCAACCACATATCATGGTCCACCTCATCAGATGGAGCTGCTCAGTTGGAGATGGTTTCCTACACCATCTAATTCTAATTACTAAACCATCTCCATGATGACTGAAAAACTCCATCTGCTGAGGAAGACCACTAGATGTACAGCATGTGAAAGTGTCTGAAACAACAAGTCGTTTGGACTTTGTGTGAAGTCAAGAATATACCTTCAAGCTCAGTCATTATTCTTTTAACATATGCCATAATAGGTTGATCCTAATTCATCCAGGAAGGCAGCTGAAGGAGACACTGTGGTCTCTCTCATCCAAATATGATAATTAAAAGAAATATATTAGAGTATCCTGCAGGCAGATCTGAATTAACCTGCCAGTGCATTCCTGGACAAAAATAAGCTGCTGTGCCTCTGTGAACACCCCAGTCACCAACTGGCCACACATTTGTTGTGTGGAAATTGTATTAAACACAAATATTTGTAGGAATATTCAACATGTAAGCACACAACTGAAACAATAAGGTCATAAAATTAGATTTTGACACAGGGCCCTCAAAGAGGTTTGTGTATTATCTGAATATTGTAACATTGTTGAGAGAGGCATCCTCTGTACTGACTGAGAGCAGATAGTACAGTTAAGACACCTAATGATCACAGGAGGGAGGCAGAGGCTAGACACTGGTGTCCTTATTTATATTCACTGCAAAATCTACACAATTTTTTACTAACGTTTTTATTTCTGGTTCTATTTCTTGGTTGAAGTTCAGCATGCTGAAGTGGAACACACTTTCTGTCATCGGTTTTGTGTACGGAAGTGGTCAGCAGGTTGTAAGGTCAGAGGGTAAAGGCTATCCCTCTTTCGATTTAGAGTACACACAGCCATCTTGGATCTAACGAAGAGAAGGGAAATTGATGCGGTGAGGGTATTTTATTTATTTTTCGTCATATTAAAATGGTTCGAAACAAATGTAACCGCTCAGCATGAGTTATTTATCTCGCTGTTTCCCCGTTTCGGTACAGAGCGGGTGGTTAGCTTTTAGCTCCAGCAGATTGTCACTGCTGCTGCTGCTGCTGCTGTTGCTGCTGCAAACGGAGCGTAAACTAAGCCGAGAAAACGGACAGCTGACTGTGGATATATGGAGGCAGAGGGGGCCCGAATTGTTGCCTGATACTAACTGCTGATAAACCAGGGACTTAAAAGTTGATAGATTTTCTTATGTTGCCCTTGTTAGGATAGCCCCTTCGCAAACGGACGTTAAGCTAGCTATGCTAACACAGAGTGATCACAGGTAGCCTGCTAACGTTAGCTACACTAGTGTTGGCTAACTAGCTTGTTAGCACTGTTGCTGTTAATTTCCCCAACAGTGTTAAAAGAGGTATCTCTTCACCAGGTAAGACAAACTAGTACCCCTACAAAATGAACTAGAAGCAAACTACCGGTTGACTCTGTTATCGTCTGATGTATTCATTACTTATCATGGAAAAAGTAAATAGTTTATTTTGTTATGAAAGTTCAACATCCCCCCTCCCGTATGCGTGTGCATCGGTACAAACTATACACGCACTGTTCAAAACTTTATTTTAACAATCCCAAGATGTGTAATATGTCACAGGGAATTACAAAGAAATGAGAATAAATTATGTATCCAGATTACTCTATTTGATATGAAGGTGCACTCATAGAAAATGCTGTCCTCTGTATAAAAAGTTGACTTAATATTAGGTTTATGTAGTGTCAGTGATGTGCTGGAGCAAATGGATGCAGAATAAATGCAAAGCAATGGTTGGAAAACATTGAAACTACTTAAAGTGAAACTTATGTAGTTTGAAGGTGATATTGGCAATACTGAGGCTCAAGGAAATGTGTGTATTTAGAGTAGTAATGTGATGGCCATTGTGAAAATGAATTTGTGTTCTAGTTCTTGACTTCTTTCCCTTGCACATCTTTAACAGCAGCTCTGTTCTCTCTCCTCAGGTGACAAAAGGCATGTTTGGTGCTAGAAAGAAATTTGTAGAGTTTGTCGAGGTAGTCGATAACGACTTTACTGATGAAAGCATGTACTACAACCAGCCGTCGATGTTCCCACATCGGTCGGACAAAGATGTGAGTTTTGTCCCCATATCTGTACTTTTTCTGTCATTTCTTGAGTTAACTCCAGAGGATGCATTTTCCATCTTACTCTTTCCTGTCCTCTCATGTTTACCTTCAGATGCTGTCCTCGCCCTCGCCATCGTCGTCAGGTCAACTGTCGCAGCTTGGTGCAAGTTTGTATGGTCCACAAAGTAAGTGTTTTTTTCTTTTCTGGTGGCCGATCCCAGCACTTTTCTCATGTTGTATACTTGGAGTGGGAGGAAACGTTACATTTAGTATATTGCTTTTGAAAATTTACTTTAGCAGGTTGTTAGAGAGAGTCTCGCTGGTACAGCCAGAGCTACTGAAAATTGGAATAAGTGACATTTCCCAGATATTTTTTGGACAGAGAGCAGAAATATCTCCTGAGGGTTGCTTAACTGTATGTATGTCTTTCTGCAGGTGCACTGGGCTTCTCGGTAAGGGGCATGGGGAACAATACGCCTCAGTTAAACCGAAATTTAACGCAAGGCACGCAGCTACCAAGTCATATCACTCCCACAACAGGGGTCCCCACCATGTCCCTCCATACCCCTCCATCACCAAGCAGGTGTGTATGAAGGTGTTCATTTGAAGAATACCTGGAAATAGAAATGGCAGTTGCCCTGAAATGAGCAAAAGCTAAATCAGACCCAATTGTGTTCTAATAGGGGGACATTACCGATGAACTCGAGGAACATGCTGAACCACTCTCAGGTCGGTCAAGGCATTGGGATGAGCGGCAGGACCAATAGTATGGGCAGCTCGGGGCTGGGCAGCCCCAACCGCAGCTCACCCAGTATCATCTGTATGCCCAAACAGCAGCCAGCACGCCAGCCCTTCACCATAAACAGGTAAAGAGATCGAAAAACCTTTGTTCTTAATTTTAAGGGAAGGTAATGTTAAGTTAATGCTGACCTTAGCTTTGTGTTTTGGTTTTCTTCTCTCACTGCAGCATGTCAGGATTTGGTATGAATCGCAATCAGGCTTTTGGGATGAACAACTCATTATCAAGCAACATCTTCAATGGCACAGGTTAGTTTGTTTAACCTGGGTGGGTTAACCAAGGAATGTACCTGTGCATATATAGAATATTAAAAAAATAGAATTTAAAAAATGAATCCAAAGATTATTATTTAAAGATTATTTTGTTAAAGTTAGTTCTGTCATTATTTTTCTCTTCACTTTCTATGAAATATGAAATCATATTCTGAACTGTTGTTAAACAAGATGACCTTATTCACTGTAAAAAGTGCACTGAACAGTGTCTTGTTGAAGCTGGACGCAGAACTTCTTTACACAATGTGTGGTGACACTATAAACTTGTGGCGACATTAAGTTAAAATGATGTGGCTCTTCTGAAAAATCTGGGTATTTTATGAAGAAAATCCGTAAAATTCATTCTTGGAAAAACTGAAAGAAAACAGCATTGTATCAATTTATCTTTGACTGCTGAAACAGACAATGGGCAACTACTATACAAATTATTACTTAGGGAGGGACAATTTTTTCATTCATTTACAGTGTGATGAAATTACCTTATCAAGTTAATAATTGCCAAATTATTACACAGATAATTTGCAATGAAGGTGACATTACAAGTTTCTAACCTTCCTATTGCTACAGATGGAAGTGAAAATGTAACGGGACTGGATCTGTCAGACTTCCCCGCGTTAGCTGACAGGAGTCGGAGAGAAGGGACTGGAAACCCAACACCGGTGCTTAACCCATTGGCCGGAAGGGCTCCTTATGGTAGGCCATTAGTCTGGAGAAAGTGTCTTATTTTTACACACATTAAGCTAAAGGTAGTAGGTTCCCCTAGGAGAGGAAATGGCTATCAGCTCCTTGGGTTCATAATCCGAGTCAAAGCTTTGTTTCAGTGCGCATCTAAGTTCATAGAAAGAAGAGTTGTAGATATCAGTTTGTTGTAAAAGAATTGCTGATTCCGAACCTTTATAATTTCTACTTCACTTTGTTCATTGTCATCATCAAGTTGGCATGGTGACAAAGCCATCAACTGAACAGACACAGGATTTCTCCATCCATAACGAGGACTTCCCTGCACTGCCTGGCCCAAACTATAAGGACCCCACGTTGAACAACGACGACAGCAAAACTGTAAGTGTGAGCCACAGATGGCTTTACATTACACTCTGACTGGATGTCTGTTTTTTCTCGTCAAGGTTACACATCAAAGAATTATTTATCATGAATTTACATGTTTTAGTTTCCTGTGTTAAAAAACAATTTTCCTTTGTTTAGAACTTGAACTCCACAAGCAAGAGCACATCCAATGCAGATGGGCCCAAGTTCCCCGGAGACAAGACGGCCTCAGCACAGAACAACAACCAGAAGAAAGGGATCCAGGTGTTGCCCGATGGTGAGACCTCTCAGCCAATCGTATCGCTCCAATTCCACTGAGACATCCCTTCTTAATCGCACAACTTGGGTGAGGCAGTTGGGCTCTCTACCCTGCATTTGGGGTTAGATAATTATTGGATAGGCTACAGTGAGGAAACCAAAAGAATATGTTCACTATGATGCAGACCATCATCATCTTTCCATTCACTTGTCTGTGACCATCACGTATTAAAAAAAATAATTGGCTTGGTTTGCTCTCCAATGCGTGCACAAAGTGTGGTTTAGAAATATGGAGGTAATGTATTGACAGTAAGTATTAGCTGTAGATCACAGCCCAGTTTCAGCAGTTTGCTGAACTCTGATCTTATCCTGCCGCTGCAGGTCGGGTGACGAACATTCCCTCAGGAATGGTGACAGACCAATTTGGCATGATTGGCCTGCTGACGTTTATCCGGGCGGCAGAGACTGATCCTGGGATGGTCCATCTGGCGCTAGGGAGCGACCTCACGACACTGGGACTCAACTTAAACTCACCAGAGTAAGACAGCTGTTCGACCCTATTCACGGTTACGGTCAAATTTTCACCAGTTAGTGGGTACATGCTTACTTCTGGGTTGTAAAACATGTAAAACACAGTTATATGACTTGTAATACATTTTGCAGTCATTTGTCCAGCTTTCCTTGTCACTGAATAAATCATAGTTAAACTTTGATGTTGATCAGTTCCCAGACTACTAGCATACCGTTGTGATGGCAGAAATTCTCTGTAGGACTCATTGTAATTAAACAGTATTGCAAATTCTGCTGTTTATAATAATAGCGGTAAGAACTTACTGAAACTTTATTTTCCGACAGAAACTTGTACCCCAAGTTCGCCTCTCCTTGGGCCTCAGCACCTTGTCGACCACAAGACATTGGTAAGACATTAACGTGAAATATGTGGGGAGGGGATGATTTTTGGAAGCTTTTTTTAAAAGATTTGGGTCTCGATGTAGACCGAAGAAAAAGACTGAAGGTTTTGTTTGATTGGATGATGACTGAATGTCGAAGGCTTTTTCTTTTTCTTTTTTTAAAGGAAAGTTTCAAAATTAGGTTTGGCAGTGAATAGAGAAAAGGCTTCTAATAATATTCTGATACGATTATGTGTACTCTTTTCAGACCTGTTAACTTATCTCTGTGTTTGCCTTTCCAGACTTCCACGTTCCCTCTGAGTACTTAACCAATATCCATATAAGGGACAAGGTAATTACAGTGCCACAGTAAGTGGTTGTAGTCTTTACATAGGACATATGGGAACAAAACTAATTCCTCCTTATTCTTTGCTGTCTGGTCTCCAGTTGGCTGCAATCAAACTGGCTCGATATGGTGAAGACCTGTTGTTCTACCTGTACTACATGAACGGTGGAGACCTGCTACAGCTTTTGGCAGCAGTAGAACTGTGAGTACGTCACCATTTGAGTGGTGATTGCTGTTGAAATATTGTCTTTCCGTACTCCTGTCTGTAAGTTTACACTGTAAAAAGTTTTGTTTAATTAATCTGGACATTTTTGACAGACCTTTGACCTTTTCAAAGTCATTGTAGAGTTCTACAAATAGTCACGTATGTGTGTGGCAGGCTGTCGGCAGCTCTTCCCTCTTTAAAGTGAAACTTTGATTCGTGAGGTGTTTGAGGTTCATGGGGTGAAAACTTCAGGATGATCACTGGCTTTCTTCCCTCTTCCTCTACTCCCTCTTCATAATTTCACTCTCCAGCTTTAACCGGGACTGGAGGTACCACAAAGAGGAGCGGGTTTGGATAACAAGGGCGCCTGGCATGGAGCCTACACTGAAGACCAACACCTATGAGAGGGGCACCTACTACTTTTTTGATTGTCTTAACTGGAGGAAAGTAGCCAAGGTAAGAGTTGGTCTTTCTGCTGCTCCTTTCCACTTTTGTTGTGGATTAGAGCTTCTCAAATCACGTTAAAATTGTGTCTGCATCTCTAAGGAATTTCATCTGGAGTATGACAAGCTGGAAGAGAGGCCTCATGTGCCAACAACGTTCAACTACAACCCAGCCCAGCAGGCCTTCTAAGGCCCGACCAGTCCAAAGGCCGCAGCTGTTCCTGCACACGACATTGTTGTCCAGGAGAGGCGCTGTGGTTCACACAGCTTGGTTTTTATTCCTTGAGGATTTGGCTATTTGACTGCGGGGGTCATCGCCACCATCAAAACTGCCCTGCCTTTCCAAAATTACATGCTGCCCAAAACACCAACACTTGTTCTGTTTTTATTCTTTATGTTCCTCCTGGGTTTTTTTTGTCTTGTTTTGAGCAGGGTCTGTGTTATGTTTACGTCTCTGAATCTGAAGTCTGTTTTCTCCCAGAAAGGAGGACTGACCTTGTGGCACAGGACAGTGACAGAACAAGGGTTTCGCCTCGTATTTACAAGTGTTAAGAACAGAAAAAAAGCGGGGGAAGCAAAGTTAACTTCGTCAGACTCAAGTGAAAGGGTGAAAGAAATGCAATGTTAATTGTTGCACTATATTTAGTAATAAAAGAACACAAAATTTGTTTGTGCTTTTTTATGTGAACACTCCCTGATAACCCCCCCTCCCTTCTTCATTTTATGTTTTGGGTCGGGGGGGTGTTGGTGTGGGTGGGAGGGAGGGGTCAAGCTACTTTTCCACATGCATCCCTTTTCATCTCACCTTTTTTTCCTACTTTCAATTTACTTTGATACCATGAACCTCTGTATTTGCACCACCATCATACTTTGTTTCTCCCTCTGTCCGTCTCTCTGTGAGTTCTGTGCCAGCTGACCTTGGACACAAATCTGGGAGACTACTTTGGTGTCCTCAAATGTGGACGAATCCTCGCAGAGGCTAAACAGCTACACAACGTTGTTCCAGAGCAAACAAAACACTTTCCAGTCTTTGTTACAATTTTGTAAGAAATGTGTACATTTTTTGTTTCTTTGCATCACATAAATTAGTGTATGTATGTACGAATGTGTATATATGATTGATATATATATATATATGTATGTATATATATATATATGACATCTATTTTGGAAGAAATTTTGCCCTGCCTTGTACCTCGTTTTTATGAGGTGAGCATGGATGCAATATGTGGATGTAACAGGACATTTCTGGATCTGCTGGACAGGGTGTCACATGGCACTGTGGGCACTTACAAAATAATACAAAATTAAAAATGTCATTTAAGGAAAGGCCTGATTCTCAGCCAAAAAACAAAAACTAAACATGGAGATCATCCACCGAGGTTCGAGTCCAAAGCAAAAGAAGGGATGTATTTCAATTCAAGCTGTTTGAACAGCAGTGAACAGCAGCATTTCGTAGGAAACGGAAAACTGACAATTTGAGGAGAAAAAAAAAAATCCAGACCAATATTGTATTTTCTGAAGTGAAAAGCTTCTTTTCTTTGTATTAAAGCAGAAAAGGCTTTCCTGAACCACTGTGTGTGTATGTTGTTTATTGCCCTTTTTAAAATCGGGGGTCCCTCATGAGGTTCAACCTTCTTCCTGGAGTCAGTTTTATTTTTGATGTTCAAATTTGCAGACAAAACCTGTACATTGTTGCTAAGGAAGACATTCACGTTTAAAATTAATTATATATGTATGTATAAATACTACACAGGTTTAATGTTTACACTGGGAAACATGCATAGCAAACACTGCATGGAATTTGTGCTTTTAAGATCCTTTGCAGTATCTTAACTCTTCAGTACAAACTCATGATTGAGACACATTCAATTCTATTGAAAGTGCAAATTTTATTAGTCTTGAAAGACTTTACAGACCTTTCTCTTCAAGCAAGTTAATTCATGGAATGTAATTTTGACCCGATTGTGGCCTTTTTGTCACATGTTGATAGATACAAAATTGCAAAATAAAGATATAATGATACACCTCCAGTGCTGAAGAGAAATAGTGAAACTTTCGTACTATGCAAACACTCAGATCAAGAATCTGGTGTGTGTAGATGTATACTAAATTAATTAGGTGATCAAAACATTCTCCACAGTTTAGAAAGGCACATACACACCTTATTACACACAATGTATAAAATGGGCAAAACAAAAATTAGCAGTAGACAAATATGGCACACAAACGTGAAGATTACACAGTGAAACATTCTCAAGAGTTCTCAATAGTGTGCTATAGCCTACAGAGCTGCCATTAAAGGCCATGAACAGTCATAATGTTATCACAACCATTACACTGGACATTAACAGAGCGATGCAGCAATAAAACAGCACTGAAATCAAAACCTATGCAAATTAGTCAATGATTGACGTCATCTCTGATCAGCAGAGGACACACACACAGCTGAGGCTTCTACTGTAGAAAAATAATCCAGTCATTCTAGACCGAGTGTTAAAGTATCAAAAAGCTGTGTGGTAGAGGAAGGGATCCACTTCTACCCTATGCCTCACCTTTCACACTACACTCGCTTGTGTAAATGCTACAAATTCAAACTGAATTTATTAGAAGCTGACATACTTGAAAGCTGTGGGATGTTACATTTATGTTTCTGTAAAATGGAAACAAAAGAAAAAGACACTTCCTGCTGTAGCACTTCAAGAAAACATTCAATCTCTAATGAAGATAACCCCTTCATCATGGGACACAAAGAGTCTTCAAATGGTGTCCATCAACTGTCTGTTGTTTTATCCAGTTTCAAGTCTGAACCACACACACACACACACCCACACACACACACTTCAAAGTAGTCTACAGTTTGAGATCTTCTCTTCACCTCCTTCCGGCCAGGTACATGCTCTGCTCATGTGACAGTACTCTCAAGAGTTATAATCCAACACGAGATCACTGTCAGCTGGTTCACTTTGAGGCAGTGTCAGTGGGGATGGAGCCGTCTGAAGTACCTCCTGCTTTTGCAGTTTCTTCTGGTGGAGAGAATCGCAAAGTCACTTGTGAGATCTAAAGTCACAGACCTCTTCATTCATTAATCATGATACCATCTTTTTAATTCATTCATCTACCATGAAAAATCATCTACAAAATCCTGTATAACAGGGTGGGTGTGCTAGTGATTGTGCATAATTGAAGACTCGATTAATCATCACACCACCATCTAACCTTTATCCTTCTTCTCCTGAGTCTCCTCGGCTGCAGTCTTGTCCGCTCTGAAGAAGATCCTTGCGCTGCTTAAAGAGAAGTGGAGCAGCTCAAACTCCTGCAGTGAGAGATAGACAGAGAGGTCAGTGTGAAACATCATCTACATCTTCCACGCATGTTCTTTGTTGCTATGTTTGTCCACATTTGAAAGGGGGAATGAAAGGGAGCCGACAGATTTCTTGACACAGCCTGCTTTTTCTAGAACTGACATGACAATCGATGGAGAGACGCACTGAAAGGCCGGAAAACTGACACTGTACCTGAAGGTAGATATCCAGCCTCTTCTGGGTCAGGTTCATAGTTTGCAGCAACTTTTCATCCTGACTGGCAGATTGCACGTTCTGCTCCTTCACCACAGCATTCATCTCTTTCTTGTACTTATCTCTGACGGCCTGGAACCAGTGCAAGGAGTCGAACTCCAGATACTGGTCGAGCAGCTTCAGGATGTATGCCACGCCTGAGCGAGCGAGAGACAAAGCAGTGGTAGAGGGGAAATAGAGAGAGGAGAGTAAGTCAAGAGCTGACACAGAAGCAGTAAAGCATGAGGGCTTAAGGATGCTTTTTCAGTTAAAATGTGATTTATCACTTTTTGCCCACTTACCCATCGCAAAGCCATCATCTGTGAAAGCAGCCCCACTTTTGTTTTTCTTGTTGAGTTTCTCTTTGCAGCTGATGGAGTGCTCCACGAAATTAACAGTCTACAATAGATTTGTTGTGTATCAATTACTAGAAGTGCTACAAATCTAATGTAGTTTAACATAGCAGAAACACAAATGAAAATTCTCGGCACTGACCAGTGGAGGTACAATCATGTAGAAGTTCCTCAGGTGCATATTCTTGGCGCTGCGAAACTCAGCTGCAAACACCGCCACCAGCATCTTGAAGTACTCTGTCCCTTCGGCAGAGTTGCTGGTCAGATCTCCCAACACTGAGTCTAGGACACTGGGAAAGACACAAAATGTTTAAGAAGAACTGTGAAAACAGCAGGTGATGTTTCCCTAACATGTTTACAGCTGCAGTGCCACCTAAAGGAAATGCATGTGAAAAATAACATCATTTAACACATCAATCTAACACTGAATCTCACAGTTTAACATCCACTAAAGATATCACAATAACCACAATCATCTACAGGCAACACTGAAATAAAGGCATGTAACTTTCTAGAGAGAAAAGCAGATGATTTTCAAATTTGGCCTACCTAGCAGCTCTCTGAGTCTCCTCTGACAGCCCCTCCTCCTTCACCAGCTCCTCAAAGTTGACTATATCCTCCAGGTCAGGAACAAACCTGGAAACGATAGAGACATGACAACATTATAGTGAGATATGTCAGAAATAAACCTCCAATTTTCAGGGAGGAAATCTCATCAGTGAATCCACTTCTTTGAACATTTCCAAAGGTTACTCAAGAGCCCTTCATATCACAATAAAAGACAGCACAAAGGTATATTACACAGCATGACAAAAACCATCTTTCTTTTTTTCTAACCTGATGGCACTGCTGCAACAGTGGAGGCCTCCAGAACGGATCATACGCACATAGCCCATGGCGTTGCCTGGAAGAAAACGGTAAAATTAGCGTTGGTTTATGCCTGCGCCTGTGGTGGAATTTACACAGTAAGAAGAGTTCAACTGTATTTTATGTGTATTTGTCACCAATCTGACTGATGAGCTGTCTGAACTGGTCCAGGTAGCTCTGTCCATCAGGGGTGATGCCAAGCTTCCTGATGCCACGGTTAAACTTCTCTGCTCTCTCAAATGGATACTATGACAAAAACACAAACAGTTACAGCTGAACAATAGCTGGGAGTTACAAGTTATTTCACCTGGTGAAAGGAAGGAAGAACATCCAGCTAACTGATTCCAAAAACAATATGACAACTTAACAATATTCACCATCTGTCCCTCCTGCTTTGTTAGCGACTCTTATCTTACCTTCTGATCAGACTGGTCCTTTGTTTCTCTGAAGAAGCGGATGTCTTTGATCAGTCTGGACTTGATGTGTTCATCGTACATAAACTGGCTGAAGATGTAAAACTTCTTACGCAGGAACTGGTAGGTGAAATTCACCTGATGAAAGCAAAGAGGAGATGTGAAAAAAAAAAAAGAAAACTCAAGTAGACATGTCCAAATGGAAACGTATTAAAACACTTGACTGCCTCTCCTGTAAACTCACCGTGGTGTTCATAATGCCCGTGCCGTGGGTCCGGATGGAGTTGGCAATGTGACGGATGTTGATGGTGTTCAAATGCTTGTTGTTACTTGCCTTCTCTATGAAGATCTATTGGACAGCAATGATTTCAGTAAAAACTGCTTGGTTCAAAATAAAGAAGGGGAACATGGAAGCTTTAAGTCTTACCTGGTTGTTGAGGTTATAAAGGTAGCGTGAGACAAAAACATGAATGTTCCTCATGATCTCCAGAACATCCAAACCCTGATGAGACCACACAGAGGACACAGTTAATCAACCATTTATCAGCTACTCCTTTTAAATTTTAAAAAAAAAAAAAAATACAAAGTCTGTTAATGATGCATAAGGTGCAACCACACAGACCTGCTCCAGGGTCTGGCTGGGCAGGTGTGCCTCTGTCATGGTAAGACCATAACGCTGTGTGGCGAGGTTTCTCATCTCACTGTAGGTGGCCCAGTCGTGCAGAGCCACAGTAGTCAGGTTGTAGAAAGTTTTATCCAGGTAGTGGGTCACATAGGCTGGGAGGACATTAAGATTTTTTTATTGCTGTTTTCCAGCAGGTGTCAGCATTATACAGCACACACACACTATGTTCTTTTTCAATGAAAATGATTCGGTTTTACTTAGTTCTACCACTCAAAGATAACAGCTAGAAATATCACTTTCTGGATCCAGAGAAAAACAAAATGTTTTTTAAATATCCCACTAACAACAAAAAAGATAAAAACAAAAACAGGACTGAAAATAATCTGTGTGTGAGCATGCATAAAGAGTTTTTCGGCACCTTTGATATGAATGAAGCGGTTGAAGAACCGGATGGGTTTGAGGGAGAAGAAGTGGGCCAGATCCTTCATGCCAACTTTGAAAGGGTTCCTGTCGTCCAGTTTGAGGTGGGTGTGAACAGAGAGACGCAGGTCCTTCTCAATCTCTTTACACAGCTTGTCCAGCAGGTGCTACATGAGAGAATTACACAAAACCAAAGATAAAACAACGTTCACAAATGTGCAACAGCAATATGGAGGTTGCAATCACAACTCTGGTCAATAACATTTGGAAGAAATTCCTTCCCAACACCAGTCTGTACATTTCCTCTTTCGTCTCCTTACTCTGGTTGCAATATTTTATCTTCTCTCACCTCATTGAACACCTCCATGATCTCCTTGTCGTAGCTCTCCAGTAGCTGGTCACATGACTCCATGTGTTTGGCATGCAACATGAACGGCACGCTGTCCCGCAGCGCGCTAAACATGTACTGCTCCAGCCAATCACAGACGTCATCCAGAACACCAGAACAGCCGATCATCAAAAGCAGGAGAAGAAGAGGTAACAATTAAATCAAAGTGAAAGCAGTTTATATGCATTAGCATGTACAGTGTTTCAGATCTTCAAAATGATGTGTACATCAGAAGCCTGTCAGCCTACATGTATTCGTGCTGCGTCCACGGCGTTGTCGTATACATCATCTAGGTAGATGGGAAACACAGCTCGGTGCCAGTAAAGGAAACTACAGTCACATTGCAGCTTGACCCTGAGGAACAAAGGAAAACAGTCCTTCAGTATGACTACAGACTCTTAAAGTAGGTCAAAGAAAACATCAAACTGCTTGCATGAATGCATGGATTTGTGCCAAACAGTTCTGGCAAGGTCAAACATTAGCATCCATCCAGGGCCAGATGCCAGTAAACGTTTATCTTTGACAGATAACTGTTGACAGTCAACTGCCAAAGTGATGAATGTCAGCATTTAAATGATTTGATTATATTAAGCGTTTGGTTTTAGCCTGTTCCCCAAACCACTGTGCAAACTCTTTGACTGTGAGCCAGTGACAAGAGAGAAAAACAGTTGCGTTCTATTTCACAAGATGTAGAAAGCTGCCTGTCACACCGGCGCCACAACAAGCTGTAGCATCCCGACTAGTTTTCTTCACAGCCTAGAGGGTTAAACACTTTGCCAGCACGTGGCAGATAGGAGTAAAAAAAGGGATTGTGCCATGTATTGACTAGATGTTGCACTTGAAATTTTGTTGCTAATCAAAAAAAAAAATCGCACCTCTCACGCAGCTCACTGATCAGATCCAGCTTCTTCAGCACAAGCTGCAGCGGAAGCAGCTCCTCATCTTTGAATGTTTTCTAGAAGAAGCAAGAGATTGATTTCAATGTCAAGATAAAAATGAAACGAAATAAAGGGAAACAAGTGCCTGCATCCCATCAACCACCAACTTTTCCTAACGTACCAGCTGTGTGCCGACACACAGAGCCAAAGACACAACGAGGCGTCGCTCTTTTGTGCTGGGTCCACTGAGGGCATTTTCTGCCAGTACCAAAGACGACAGGACATCCAGCCTCTGCTCACTGTACTTCTTGTCAGAGATCACCCTTTTCTTTATGGAGAAAAGCATAAAATAATAGAAAAAATATATAAAAACACATCACTCCTGTGAGTACTAATAATTCAAGCTATGATTTGCGTGTCTGTGTTTACCTTGGCAGTGCCGATGGCGTTGAGGGCCTGTGACTGCAGCTGCTGAGTGATGTGAGACACAGAGTCGGCTACAACCATAGACCTCCTGTGAACTGTGTGCTCCACAGCCTGAGGGGAGACATGATTTCACCTTATTAGTTTTAATCAGACAGACAATGAATGTGCTGGAATGGAAATTGTGTGCATGCACCCACAAATACACACACACCTTGAGCAATTCAACCAGTCGGCAGAGCGCTTTGACAGAGGTCTTTGTCATGGGCCGCTGCATCGACATGTACATGTTCATGGTAGTCTTGATAATGGTGCTGATGCTGTAAGCATACAGGATGCCCTGTGAGGGAGAGAAAACACAGAGGGGGTCAGTTGTGAGAGTGTTAGAGTCAGTTTTTCATATGGAGGATAATCAATGCATCTTAAAAGTACTGGGAAAATGTGAAAGCCATGTGATGTACTGGTCTTTGTGGTCTCATGCTCTCCCCTGCTGTCTGGCTGAGCCTTGCTGAGAGGATTATGCTGTCAGTCTTTACCTGTACAAACACATTACATCTGCTGTTAAGGTCGTCTGCCAGCTTGTCACTTTTATGGTCCTTGGATAAAATGGACTCCATCTTCATCATCCAAGAGGTTACAAACACGTAGTAGGACTGAACATCCCTGAAGAGAAAGGACAACTGAAACAATTAGATTCTCAAATAGAAAAATCTGGTTTAAACAGAATATATGCGAGTGAGTTTTGGCCCTGCTGACTTTGTTAGTGTCTGAGCTCTTTGTTGCAGGTACGTGTCTCTCTGCGCTCTGATGGCCTGGAGACTCTTCTTATCCATCAGTTTAGCTGCAGCTGGGACCTTAGCGATGAGGAAAGTGTCGGGAAACCAGATGATGTTAGCAGTCAAAGTGACAGCTGGAACCTGGAGGAAAGGGCAGACAGAAACACGTGAAAAAGACGTTTCCACTGGATCCACAGGATCAGAAAGGGGTGTTACAACTAAAGAAAGACAGCAAGCCAAGAGCACAACAATACCTTTTTACAGACATCGAGCAGTGCCTTGTAGAGCTTCTTGTCAACACTCCTGAAGATGTGAAAGTGAAGCACAAAGAGACCACAGACGCCAGCATACTTATCTCTCTGGTCAATCTCTGAAGGTTCTCCTGAAAAGCACATGAACAAAAAAATATTTTGAAGTTCCAGGAAGAAGTTGCCACCTGTGAAACCAAGTGTTGATGTGAGGAGGAACTGACCGATCTTAGACTCAACATTAGTGAATATGGTGCGAATGTTGAAGGCGAACTCCTCAGCGAAGGCACTGTTTTTGGCAACAGCTACTCCTTCCCCAGGGTCATCGAATCTCTGTTCCACACAGGCCTGTCACACATTTGTAAACATTATGAGGTCAATGGTGTTAAGAGGACATGAACAAATTTACTCAATCAAGTGTTCAGCCTTAAAAGGACATATGCTCAAAGATGTAGAATTTAATCTGTTTGCATATTACCTCAAAACTAAAAACACTGGCTTTTTTAGCAAATACTTAATTATATCAACCAAATAAATCAATTCTATAACATAATAAAGGGCTGAAAAGAAGAAGATACCTGTAGTATCATGCCATCCAGCAGCTGTCCCTCCAGCTTGAGCAGGAGCTTTTCGAATGGTTTCAGTTTCTCTTCAGGAATGGAAAATTTCCCAGGATTATGGTGCACTGATTTCAATAGCCTATGATAGAATGATGAAGTTAGAAATGACTATAAACAGTGTAAGATTACAAAATTAATTCTTTAAATGGTTTAAAGAAATGAATTTAGGTATAAAAAAAAGAAATTCCTATCACCTGAATATGGGCACTATAATAAGAAATAAAATTTTACTTCAGCCTTTATTTTATCTCACTGGTTGCGATAGTTATGTGTGTGTGTGTGTGTGTGTGTGTGTGTGTGTGTGTGTGTGTTAACCTTTTATACATCTTCCAGTGATCTTTTAGTGTGCCATGATTTTCCATAATCTCATCGAGTGTGAGCAGTACCACTAACAACTCCCCGAGGTGTTCGTACACTATCTGCAGTAGGAACACAAAACAGACATGGTAAGAAATATTTAGAGACTGTGAACACATTCTCAAGACACACTCATAAAAGAAATGGTTAAATCTTAAACCAACCTGGAAATGGACACCTGACGACTCAATGATTTTTGTTGCACCCCTGAGATATGAAAAGAGAAATGCTTTGGTATGTTTTGTTTTCATTGTAACGGAGCAAAACATGCAAATAATACTCAAACCACAACTGCAGTGTGTATGCTCGGCTTTTCTCTGCATATAAAGTGCGTGAAGACTCTTTTCACAAAGTGGGTATTTAAACCAATCCAGCAAGAACAGTACATTCACTGTGTAATATGACTGGCTTCTGTTCATCAGACTTACTTGTTGCTGTTGTAGAGGGCAGCCAGCTGATGGACAATGTTGACCACCACTTCATAACATCTTGACACAAAGCAGGACAGTTCCTATCGAAAGAACAGAGAGAGAAGCCATCAGTGTTTTCTCAACTCCAATAAATTGTGGTATGAAAGAAATTATTCATTGCTCACCTGAAGGAAAGAGATGAATCTACCCATCTGAATCTGGGACTCTCCTTCAACAACACTGGTGTCTGACACTGTAGCACAAAAACACATATACAATGTATTTTTAATGTACTGTAAGCCATAAGTTCAAATAAGGGCAAATCCAGGATAAAAGGAAGCACTGCTCCCTGACTGATCACCTCCTTCTCCATAGTATAATGAGCCATTGTAGAACTTGGTTTCTGCCTGCAAGTGGACATAAATATCAAACATTAATAACAATGGATACAGAACATACATATAAAGATATTCTGCTTAAGCAAGAGTAGGTGTAGAGTGCACTGTTTTGACCATTCTTACCTCATACTTAAGCTTCTTCACTTCACTACAGAGTGCAGCATAAACTGTGATGACTTTGTTCAGAACCTACACACCATACAAAACAAAACTGATCATTAAAAAGGAAAAACAACTTTGTGGATATGAGACTTTAACAGTCACAGACTCTCTTTACTTACCTTGTTGTCTGTTTTAATTAACTCCAGTAAGGATGACTGCTCATATGGGAGAAGCTGAAAGAGTGAAGAAAGTATTAAGGAGGAAATTACACAAGTTTAAACTGTGTAAACCCAGTTTTGTACATCTGACGCATGCATAGCCACTGGTATTTTACCTTCAGGGTGATGGGGTCCAGAGTGAAGTCCCAGACATCTCCGATGGAGTCATCCAGAGCCTCCTCGATACCCCTCAGCTGAGATGTGTACTCCTCCAGAAACTTGCTGTAGTTCTTCAATTGGACCTCTGTGTGTATTTCTGTGGCATGGAGGGTTACATCAAAGACATTGTCAGTGGCTTGAAATCACACTTAGTACTTATATTAAAGTATTTTTTGAGTCTGTAAACTTTTTATTTTCTTACCTCTACTCCCCTACATTCCATGGGTAAATACTATACTTCTTACTCTAGACTAGATTTACTTATTCTTATTAAACATTATGCACTATTCAATTCATTACCCAATATTATATAGTAAACAAACTCTACCTTTACCAGCTACAGCAGTTATAAAATGCTAATTACGTATTAATTAATCTTTAATGAACAAAATATACTTGTGATAAACTAACCTGTGTGTGTTTACATGTGATCCTGACCTGCATTCAACGTTTTGCTCAAGTACAGAAGTATCATGAGTAAAGTACACTTTAAGTATGAGTGAAGGAAAAGGTATGCACATGATTACTTCTTCCACTGGTGACTGGTACAACAATGTATATCCTGAGTCTTTTCTACCAACCACAGTTGAATGATGGCTGCTAAGGTCCATGTTTTAATGTGGTTTACGATGAATGTCTGCCCGACTAGCTAGCTAAATATTTGTATTTTATGAGCCAGAGAGAGGATGTAGCATCAACACAGAAAATATTCAAATGCCAACGTTAACCTGGGTATTTACTGTTGTTGCCCTTTTTCATGGGCGTTTAACACGAACTCTTGTTGTGAAGTAACGTAATGTTATTTAAGCTGTTTTTAGTCACTGTCAAAACTAACTGTTATTACACTGTCATACTGAGGTTGCGGTGATTAATGTCAGCTAACTTATCGTCGTCACTTCATTTCACGAATTTACACTTCACATTTCAACTAGCCTGGGTGTGCTGGGTGTTCATTTCCAGTAAACAGTACGCGAGATAATCTCAAAGATGTTTATTTGATGGGCATTTGTTTGCAATGAACCGGAGGAGGGGTTCCCTTCCACTAAATAGACGGTGCCCGGTGGCAAAGCATCTTGCTAGCAGCGTAAGCTAACACTGGAGGTTAATGTAGTTGTTTGTTTTCTCTGCATGTCAGGACTGGACGCAGCACTTACTTTGTGAACCGTCGTCAAAACGGTCAAACTCCCAGTCAGGTGCGATGGTTTCTACCGCCATACTGCCAGGATAGGTGACCCAAAACACTGGTGTTAAAAAGTGAAGCTACACGGTCCCATGACGGGTCTCATGATTTTATGAATGGTCGCTAGTGTTCATGGGAAATGGAGTCCAGAGGAGTTGACTATCAGAGGATAGATAGATAGATAGATAGATAGATAGATAGATAGATAGATAGATAGATAGATAGATAGATAGATAGATAGATAGATAGATAGATAGATAGATATTAACATTATTATTAACATTAGTAAAAAAAAAAAACTATCTATGGACAGATATTGCAAACTACAGTAGCAGTAGTGGTTTATGGAATTGGTCTATAAGAAGGCTACTTGTCCCTATAAAAAATTAATGTTAAGATAAGTAAAAATAAGACAATACATACCATGTGAAGGAACAACAAACATAACAACTTCGCTATAATACAGTCTCAGGCCAGCACTGGACAGCTCTTAACAAAGAACTGTCAAATATGTGCGTATCCTGCAGTCTGCAGGGCTATACACAGGCTGTCACTGTATTTGAATATGCATACACAAGACATGGTATAGGGCGCAAGAGAGTGAGAGTTATGTGGTGTGTGTGTGTGTGTGTGTGTGTGTGTGTGTGTGTGTGTTTGTGTGTATGTTTGTGTGTGTGTAGGAGGGTTTAGTGTAATGCCACAGCGAAGACTCAGCACACCATTCAGAGGACGACAGAGGCCACGAGGAAGAGTCAAGGTCAGTACTGGAGTGTGAGAACAGATGCCTCTTCTACTCCTACGGTTTCAAATTAAGGGTAAGGCCCTTTTTTACTCTTCTATACTACTCCTAACTATGTTGCTCAGAGTATTAAAATAAAAAGAATATTGACATATTTATTTTGCATGAAGTATCTGTGTTTTCATATAATATATGAAAACACAGATACTGGAGATACTAGGAGATACACAAGAAACTAGGCATTACAAATTAATTTGATACGAAAATTAAAACTCTATTTGAAGTTCTTATTTTGGCCTTAACTCTTGGATTGTGATCTCAGAGCTGGTTCTTGCCAAACTGTAGAAAGGCTTTCATAATACAGTGTCTGTTTGATGTACCCTGCTTTGCTTTATGTACTTCTGAGCATCATACTGTGCTGACTTTCGCAAAGTGTGCTTGTAACTTTGCTGAGCATTTTGATTAGATATTGCTTGGATTATCATTAGTAAGAATATTTAACATTATACAATAATGCAAAGTTATATTTTCTTAGCTGCCAAACCATAGTTAGGAATATAGTAAAGTTACCATTCATTCAAGCCTTTTCAATGGGATAAAGCTGATTATTGAGCGTATTTTTCATCCACTGACAACATTTTTACTGTTAAAAAACATGTTGTACAATTCCTCTCTTACAACTTGGTGAGCTCAGCCTTTTCGTACCTGATCATCTCTTAGGAATGTCAAATGAAGTGCATTGTCTCTGTCAGACAACATAGCCTCAGTGTTGCTGATGGGAAAGAGGCATGAAGAATGATAATGCAGGCAATCTCTGCCATCAGATGACTCTGAAACAGCCTCATGCAACAGCAATACGTTCTACGTGCCAAAGTTGCAAACTTGATTTTTCATGGAAGTGAAAAAAGTTTAGAAGTCCTTTTATATTACAGATCCTCATTGTAGCACTTTAACAGCTATTGGTAATGTAACACTGCCATGCATCCACCAACTCTTAATTATTATTTATTTATTTCTGCTTCTGTGCAGTTTATTCTGTCTTTTTTCTGTCTAATTTCAGGACATTTCTGGTATGTAGTGGTATAGAAGGAGAACCTTTTTTCTGTTGTGTATGTACTTACTTTGTAAGTCACAGATGTTGTTATAACAGTTATATCTCTTGTATTGCTGTATTGTCAACCTTGTTAATGAACTCTATTCAAAGCAAATCATCATCCTCTTTTTGCCAACTGTGTGTGACCAGTGTAGGAGATTCTCAGGAGCTGGAGCAGCAGGAATAACATCCTGCAAAAACTCAACTTTGCACCATGGTTGTCCCACAGTCACAGGATAGGCAACAGCCCACAAGCAGCTCTGGGGGACGAAGCCCCAGCCAACAGTACAGATCAAACAGATCCTTATCCCAACACTCTGGAAGTCCACAACATTTCAGCTCTAATGGGAATATTTCACCTGTCCACACCAGTCTCCATTATGAGCCACAGGAGTACACTGAGACAGACTTTCTGCTCCCCAATCAACTTTACGGTCGGTCAAGGATCAGTGAATCCGTGAGAGCAAAGGATGCAGATCGCCCGGTTGTACCTGCAGAGTCCATCTGTTCCATGGTGCTGCAGATCCTGGTGCCATTTCTGCTGGCTGGGCTTGGGACAGTCTCTGCTGGGATTTTGCTGGATGTGGTTCAGGTGAGGAAACGGGCAAATGCTGAGGAGGACACAGAGGTTATTAAAAGTGATGTCCCATGGAAAATCATCATTTCTAGTCTTTCCAAATGCCTAGTTGCTAAATCAAGCAGACAAGATATTGAAAACATTCTAATTTTTCAAATAAGTAGAGAGATGAAGAGAGGGGAAGACAGTTGAAAAGGAGAGAGAAGATGAATAAAAACTCCTTTAAATTGTAAATTTGTGTGTTTATTTTAAATAAAGAGGATTTATTGTGTTTTTGTGGTATTGACTGTGGCTCATTTATTTTGCACTGTGTGTGTGTGTGTGTGTGTGTGTGTGTGTGTGTGTGTGTGTGTGTGTGTGTGTGTGTGTGTATGTGTGTGTGTGTGTGTGTGCGCGCGTGTGTGTGTGTGTGTGTGTGTTCACGGCAGAACTGGGACGTGTTCCAGGAAATCACAGAGATCTTCATCCTGGTCCCTGCTGTATTAGGCATGAAGGGGAACCTGGAAATGACTCTGGCCTCTAGACTCTCAACTGCTGTGAGTGTCACACACACACACACACACACAGAGGGAGAGAGAGAGAGAGAGAGAAAGAGAGAGATGTGCACACTAGACAGCAATTTAATGAACTCACAAGCTCACCATGATAACACATAAAAAGTGACATCTTGTCAATCAACTATTTACTACAGAGGCATAGGTGACATATATTGAGTAAATTACATACAGTATAAGAGAACAGTTAACACAATAAAACATATAGCTTAAAATATATTTAGTGAAATAAATAAATAAAGAGAGGCAAAAATACATAAACTGATACAGCTTCTTTCTCAGAACAATATTTTTGCCCTCTTGCATCATGGGTGTGAAACTCCTCACAGAGCTGTGAAGACCACAGCAGGACATCAACTTGCAATACAATATTCTGCAGGACGAATCAATGCTAACAACAGTCCAACATTTCAGATAGCCTAACCTGGAAAGATGCTCTCCTGGGAACGGTGATAATATAATGATCAAATGTCATGATAATTATCATCCATTACTGTAACATGTATTTAAAAAAAACAAACATTTTCTTATGATGAACATGGACTCTGTAGTTTATTTTGAGTCCATCCCATTCTGGTGCTATGAATAATACTAGGGCCAAAAGTGTGTGTTATTCTGCAGCTGAAAATAGTTCCCTATTAATGTGCCATTTCCATCTAAATACTATTGTGCTCAGCTGTTTTAAGGAATTATTTAGCCTTTTTTTTTTTTTTAATTCCATGTTAAATTTTTTAATTTTGTCTGCTAATATGAAAATTAATCACATTTTTATTTGCAAGGCTCTAGTTTTTTTCCATTTAGCTTTACATTTACTTGTTAGGTTGGATTTTAGTATATATCAAAATTATTAGTGCCTCTGCAAAGATTTGAAAAATATATTTTTAAATATGAAATTCCATGTTGTCTGATCTTGTGTTGTAACATTATCAACAATATTTATCTATTTAACTTCAAACTTTGTAAACAGCTGGAGCTTTCAATCATATCACATGATCGTCATCAACTAAATGAGGTTGTGCAGTTGTCATGGAAATGTTAATGTTCAAACATCCATATTTATTGAGATAATATAGGCTATATGTGATGTTGTCAGGTGAATGCAGGGAAAATGGACTCTGCCAGAGAAAAGTGGATGCTGATTGTTGGGAACCTGGCGCTCAAGCAGGTACATCTTTTTTTCTTTTTTTTACATCATTACCTGTTTATCTGTATAATTTTATTCCAGTCCACTAAAACTTGTGGATGTTTAATATGACCACTCTGATTTTATAGCTTCAAGCCACAGTGCTGGGCCTGTTAGCCTCCCTGATGGCGACTGTCTTGGGCTGGATGGCAGAAGGAAAGATGCCCTTTAATCATGTAGCGCTTTTGTGTTCAACCAGTGTTTGTACCGCCTTTGTGGCTTCATTGCTGCAAGGTAACAACACAACTTTGAACCACCGTCCTTGATCTTTCCTTCAGTGTGAAAAGCTTTGATGGGTGCAAAAATACAGCTATACACATATCACCATTACATCTGTTTAAAACATTTTGAAGTCCTAGTTTTCTCCCTCTCTGTTTTGCCCATGACCTCAAGAATCCACGTTTAATTAACTATCACACCTACATTATACATTTACAGGTGTTAACTCCCTTGTCTCTGTGTCACCCATTCTCTCATCCCTCTGTTTAGGACTAGCGTCATACATCCCATCATTCTTTCTCATCATTACTTCTTTCTTTTTAAGCCTCCTCAAACTGATTCTTTCTTTTTTTCAGAGGAAAACTTCCTTGATTGCTAATATGCACTTTTTCAGAAGATGTTTCCTCTTGTTTAGTTAAGTGAGCTGTTCTTCATGACACAAATTATTCTAGAAATGGTAATATGAACAAGAGGCACATTTAAAACATTTAAATCTATTTTACATGGAGTTTTTCATGTTTGGTTTCAGAATGTGTGAATAAATTTCAGCATAGAGAGATTATCAAAACCTCAGTGCCACAGAGACAGAGGTGTAGCTGGGAATTATGGGCCCCCCTTTACCTTCCCTTTGGTCTCCAAATCACATCTCTTCTGTTTATCACGCTTCATGTTTCTTTCTTTATATAACACCATAGACAAACATTTGTATACACATATGATACACACA